TTAATGTTTTGTATGTAAGTTTATGCTGGAAATCCTCACCTGAGTTTAGTGGTAAACAGTTTGTTCATTGCTTGTGTTCGTTAATTCTACTTACAAGAATGTATCTTTTAATATGGTTGTTATAAAGTATGAACTTGCTGGAGGCTCCTTGGTGATGTATGCAGTAACTTTGTTGGAATTGTTTTCCTGGGAATGTTTGAATATGTTGGTTGTTAGTTCAAGGGCTACTGAACTGAAAATCACAAAATTTCTTGTTTAGTGACTTGTTTTCTGTTGAGTGCTGATTGATTACGTAGGGAGAAGAGAAGAACTTCTGAGATCATACATTCTCTTGATGTTCATCGGTCTAGAAATCACACATGTCTGTTAAGATATGAATACTCCCATATATTAGAATTAATATGGCGGTAGTGAATAGATAGTGTCAGTAAGCTTATAATTGGAGGCTAAAAAGGCTAATGCTTCTTCTGCATTGAGATATTAGAGTCATATTGTTAGTTGCCTGCCTTCCTTGGAGATTTGTCATTTCATGCTTATATGCCAGCTTCTAATCGATAACTTTGTTTGGTCTAGTGAGACATTTTTGGAGCTCCTGAAGCTTTATAGTTAGGGAAGAACAACACTGTCTGAGGAATTTCTACATCCTAGTATCCTGCACATGTAATGTTCCCATCTTTGATAAATAATTACAGTGTTAGAGGTGCTTCCGGGATTTTGGTATTTGTGTAGTATGTAATATAGGAATTTCTCTTTCATTGATTAGTCGAAGGTGTGCCCTTGTTGTTATCCGTTTTGCTTGTTCCCTCATTGTTCTGTCTTGTAGGCTGGAGGTTCTTCAAGAACTATATTTTAATGAGACTTAATATACCAACAGCAACCCATTATCCTCTCAGGAACTGGTAGTGATATTGCAGCTCACTCATGGGAAATGTAGTCAAAATCAGGATTTTAAGTAAAATCGAAAACTAAGGTAGAATCGGAATCGTAGATTAAAATCGTAAAATCGTAAGATTTTAAGGTTCATATTAAATAATCACTTAAAACACCAGATAGTAATAAAAATGCATATCCTGGATAACAATCAACCACATATAACATAATTACTTCCCAAGATAAGTTTGTTTGCTAAATAAATACAACTAAATCCATATATCTATTCTTGTACATAATATAAACACACAAATAAGCAACCTGAAACCCCAATGCAATCACTTAATTAATAGTTAAGAGTAGAAAATTACATAAGATCGTTAGGGATCAACATTAATATCACTTACACATCATCATGATCATCCTCACCCTCACCCTCACTTTAACTCTCATCCTTGTCTATTTGCTTAAGGACTAATATAATTACTCTTAAGATCACTTGAAATACTTTCACCATTAACCATAATTCCTTGATCACAAAGATAACTCATTGATTGGTGCATTCCCTTCTTAATTGATAAAAGGTGGGGGATAGTGCTGCTGAAGGATTGAGAGATGAACGAAAGATTGCAATGGAATGGAGATTTGGATTTTTGTGAGGGTGGTGGGAAAAACCTACAAGCTAATTGGGAGAGTGGAAGATATCGTTGAAGGAAGGAGTTGAGCGTCGATGTGCGAAAGAGGAAGATACGAGGAAGAGAATGAACATAAATTGAGTGTTGTCTATTGGGTTAGGGTTGCGTTGTTCATTATGTTGGGTCGTGAGAAGTAAACTTGACTTGGTTTATGGACAGAACCGAACTTGACCAGCCTCATTTTGCTCCAATAGGAAGATACGAGGAAGAGAATGAACATAAATTGAGGTTGTCCATTGGGTTAGGGTTGCGTTGTTCATTATGTTGGGTCGTGAGAAGTAAACTTGACTTGGTTTATGGACAGACCGGACTTGACCAGCCTCATTTTGCTCCAATTGATGCGAACCTTGAAATCGTACAAAATCGTAGAAATCGTAGATTTTAAGGATTTTAGAGTTTTAAATCGGGATTTTATGGGATTTTAAGGTTCAAAGATTTTACAATAAAATCATGATCGGAACCCATAGGTAAGATCGTAAAATCGTAAGATTTTAAGATTAAAATCGGGATTTTGACTACATTGGCTGCAACAACAGCAAAGGGAAATAGCAGCTTCAACAAAAGCAGAGGGAAGACAACAATAGCAGCATGACAATAGTAAAAGGCGGATGCTTGAACTCTCCCACGCGCAAAGGAAAACAACACTACCATTTGTTGAATGGAGTGGTTGTTTGTTGGATCAATGAGTTTATGTAAGTTAACATTTTTGGTTTAGCTGCTGTGTTGTAGGAAAACCAAATTAAGCCTTACTATCTTATCTCTGTAATGGCCTACATATTGTGATGAATGTAAAAGAGGACGAGCTAGGTTTTGAGCTCTCTTTGTTCTGAAGTTATCAAGGAAGGCTTGTTGCGGGGATGTGTGTCTTAGAGACTTCACTCCTATGCAATTCAATGCCGCTGGGTACCAATGTTAAAGACTACATGTTCTGGGATGGATTCCACCTTTCTCAAGCTGCTAATAAGATCCTAGTTCAATCCCTGCTTTCCCAAGTATTGTCGCTCATATCTTAAACTCCATAGTTCCATCAATGCTACAAACACAAGCTTCATAAAACAAATAAACAATTTTTTATTCCCTGGTCAATAAATGTGCACCATCCACATCTAATATATTAAATTCAATAGAATGTCCTCTAAGTCTCAATTTGTTGCAATACTATCTTCCCCTTTTGGAGATCATTCTACCAACTTCTCAATGCATCAGAAGCTAAAACTTGTCATCGTCAGTTACAACAACAAAATCGTATCCAAGATCATTGGCGCGGAGGTACAACTCATCCATCTCTCTGTTGGACTTGGATTCTCACCAGCGTGTTAGCTGCAGTCCCTCCCTGTAAATTTAGTAAAAACTATTTACAGCAGACTGAATAGAGTAACATAAATCTAAGAAAGAAAGAAAGCTCTTTGAGAATAAACAAACCTTACATCTATTGTGGAACAAGGTAATGTTCCATTGGGAACTGGATGCATCAAGAAGCTTGATTGGAGTGATGGGCCTTTCTAGTAAGACGAATTGACAGAGAACCTCATCTCGAACAGAGGATCTGTCGCCAATCTGTAAACAACAAAGCAAAAAGTTCAGTTGCAAAACCAAACCAAAATAAGGTTCTGACAGAGTAATAAGTTCAGCTGCTGCTTGCTCAGACATTCACAATTCCTATGCGAAGCCAAATATGTATGTAAACCTACAAACTTACCGACCTCTAATTAGCTGAGCGAGGATCCTGATCTAGATGGTGCTGCAAATATGATAAGTCCTGCACATCCATATAGTACCCAAGGTTGACAACTGCAAATAAAAAAACAAAAGTGGGTTGCCATGTATTTTGTTCTTCCAAAATGCTTTATTGGTAAGAGATGGTAGATAACCAAAGTATGGGACTACCTAGCTTTTCATAGTTCTCAACTACATTGATCTTGCACAATACATTGATGTATGAAAGTTCCTGTGGAAGCATTGTTGAAAATGACATTAACAATCAACTAATATAATTGGCAGCATCATTACAAATGAGTTGAACTCTCGATCATAACAGAAGGGGATAGGGGGCATTCCCAGCCTTTTATGAAATTTGAAAATGGTTTTCTTGTTCGGTGGCTTTACTCTTATTGAATGATACGATAGAATCGTTGAACTCATATACATTTACATTTGTTATAAACGCGCTGCTACGGATTGGGAAATCGCAGGAATCAACAAAGCAAGAATACGAAAGCGAGAATCGAAAACACGACACACGATTTACGTGGTTCACTAACACGATGTGTGTTAGCTACGTCCACGGGCGAGAGAGAGCCAGTTTCACCATATCAAGGAGATTACAGATTACAGAGGAGTAGGAGAAGTATTTGTAGTACTTCTCCATGTGGGTCTAAACCTAATCCAATCTGGCAAAGGAAACGGTTACAGACCAGGCCCAGAACCCGAACCCAAATAACATTGAGCCCATACACCGTGGGCCGGGGGCGTTGCCCCCGCACCCCCACCGGGGCATTGTCCCTGGACCCCACTCGCTGACCGGGCAGCGAGACCCCCGATTACCAGTCGTAGCGGCTGATAATCCGATTCAAGTCATATCCACAACATTGACAAAGAAGAGCTAATTAATCTCTTAGCGCATTACAGTTGAAAAATATACAGTTGGTTTTGGCCAAAATTAAGTTATTTCTACACATCATGTCAATAGAAACTGCCCTGATAACAGCATTTCATACTCTTTAATTTTTATCCATCAGCCTATAGGTAGCAGCAAGTATCAGAAAATTTACAACAGACTAGGAAGTAGCAAACGATCAGAGGAGCACCGATCGATTTCATTTATCTGGCAAAAAGAAAATGGTGAAATAGGAGATTACTCTTCTAGGAGAAAACTGATCCAAAGCGGAACACCCACCAGCAACCACCTCTTTTTCGCTATATGGGAAGACTAACAGAAGGTATTTAACTTATTCTCGGATTTGGGATACCATGCCGGCGAAAAAGATCGATGGAGACAAAGGCCCACGAAGACGTCGGATTCCTTCGCCTCTGGAGATTGGGCCGACGACGGACAAGTCGCCCGAATTAGTTTATAGAGACCGCCGACCGGCCGGAGAGGGAGCCAAAAGATTTTTTTTTTGGGTGAGAAGAGCCAAAAGAATTACTTTAATGAAAAGCAAATACAGAATAAAGGGACGGAGATTTGAATTCCGTTAGTTTGGGAGAGGTCGGTTGGACCAGTTCTAATGGGCCACCAGACTTTGGACCAATGTTCATTAGCCAGCCCAGACCGCCACATCAGCGCCACGTGGGCCAATAAAAAACGGCGTCGCTGGTGCCGCACTTTTTAGCGCGGCACCGTAGTATTGGCCAAAAAACATTATTAGAAGCCTATACAGAAAGTGAACTGGCCCATATAGAAAGTTAAAGCCCTTAGATAGAGTGGCCGACTGGCCCACCAAAAATACATTATTAGAAACATATACAGAAAGTGGACTGGCCCATATAGAAAGTTAAAGCCCATAAAAAAATTACTATTGTCTGAGCCCAGGTTCAAATTGGGGACCTTTAGTGTGTGAGACTAACGTGACAACCAACTACACCATTAGGGATGGCAGTTCAACCCGGACCCGCAGGTACCCGACCCGACCCAACCCGGTCAAATCGGGTAAAATCCTTGTTGACCGGGTTCGGGCCGGGTTCAGGTTTAAACCCGGTGGCTGGTTGGGTCGGGTTCGGGTTTGGGGGAACACGACCCGTGGATACCCGGACATAACCCTACAAATCAAAATTACCCGTCCCCCAGCCCAGACACCCACTCCCCAGGCTTAGCCCACTTCCCTAATTCCCTTCCCACCCTAATCGGAAATCGCAGATCACAAATTCACAAACCCTAATCGGCGCCACTCCTCTCTTCCTCTCCGCGCGACTCCTCTCTTCCTCTCTGCGAGTTGCGATAGTGCGACTCCTCTTCCTCTCCGGCGAGACCGGCACCGCGACTCCTCTTCTCCATCTCCAGTCCCGACTCCCAATCCGACGGCCGCCCTCCCCCTGCTCTTACTTCGCTCCGGCTCCGCCTCTCCGACACCATTACCGGTCGCGCCTCTCCGTCTCTCCCTGCTCCGACACTGAGACACGCCAGTCGTCGACTCCGCCGCCAGACGCCACTCTCCCTGCTCCTCTTCTTCAGGTCGTCCAATCCACTGGCGCCACTCACCATTTAATCAACACGGCTGTCTGCGTCTCTCTTATTCCTTTCCTTTGTAAGAATCTAAGCCTCCTTGACCGGTTTCATAAATACCCTAGGCTACACACTATACACTGAGGGATATATGCCCCCATAGCAAGAAACGATTTATCTTTTGTTTAAAGAAAGTCCCTTTGCGCAAATTGCTTTAAATTGGTGACGATGGCGGCGACCGCGGCGGCCAGCAACTGGCTGAACTGGAGGTTCTTGCTATGCGTAGTGTGGGTACTAGTGTCGATGAACATTGCTGTGTTGCTGATATGGAGGAGGAAGAAGAAGAACGGTGATGAACAGCCTGTAGATAATGACGGTAAGATTGGTGGAGAAGAAATTAGCAGGAATCAAGCATGGAAGGATGGTTGTCTGTTAAATATGAGGTGGTTAGGCTTGGGAGGGAGGTTGTTCTGGCGATGGTGGAAGGTAAACGGAGAGGGCGGAGGCCCTGGAAGGAGATAGATCTCCTAAAAGAATTTATACATAAAACATTTTCAAATAGAATTGAAAGAAAATGAATGTAATAACGTGGAAGGGGAGAGGCTCTGGTTTGACTCACCATTGTTGTTTTTTATGTGCTGTTAGATATGAGATTTGGTATTTTGGATGTGTTGCATATTTTTTTCTATGATGTTGGGAAGTTGAAACTGTCACTCAATTCACTATGATTTTGCTTTGTGTAGGTGCTTGATATGGCTTCAAATGCCTCCGAAGCCGGAACTCCAATTGTTAGTGAAGGTGATGAGACTATTGGAACTACTTCTACACCTACTGCGGGATCTCAGTCCCAACTTCCTAATCCCACTAGTGAGAGTGGTAATGGTAATGGTGCTGCTGCAGCTGCAGCACCTACTGGTGTAATGGATAGTGGACAACCAACAAGATCTGATGAGGTTAATGTTCTTGATACAAGTGGGCTTAAAAGTGATGTTTGGCCGCATTTCAATAGAATTTTGAAGAATGGGATTCTTAGAGCTGAATGCATACGATGTAAGAAGCTCTTATCTGCTTCTACTAATAACGGGACCAGTCATTTGCGCCAGCATATTCTACATACATGTCCGAGGAAAAAATGCAAAGATCTTAAACAAATGCTTTTGACAAAGAATTTGAAAGGAGATGTTAGCAAAGCAAGTGGCAACAGATTTGATGAGGAAGAAGGGAGGCGTGCTTTAGCTTCCATGATTATATTACATGAGTACCCTCTCTCTATTGCTGAGCATATTGGTTTTAGAAAATTTCTCTTCATCATTCAACCTTTATTCAAGTGCCCTTGTCGAAATACATTGAAGAGTGACATTTTCAAGATCTTTGAGGTTGAGAAGAAGATGCTTATTAGTATGATAGAGGAGAATTCGAATAGGATAGCGATAACAAGCGATATGTGGACTGCTACTAATCAAAAGAAGGGATTTATGGTGGTGACTGCCCATTTCATTGATGCTTCTTGGACAATGCGGAGCTACATTCTTAGGTATTTAATCCTCTTTAATCATTGCTTATTAATTAGTGATTTTTGGACTGTTTTGTGTGCTTTTTTGGACTGTTTTATGTGATTTTAGTGTGCTGGCAGCACCTATTTTTGGCCTTTTCATGCTTGGGTTTTTGTTCTTGCAGCATCTAACCTTTAGTTTGTTGTTATATTTTGATTGTAGGTTCATATATGTACCTTGCCCGCATACTAGTGAAGCACTTGCTCAGGTTCTTATCGAAACTTTGTATGAGTGGAATGTTGATACGAAGTTGTCTGCAATTACTCTAGATAATTGTAGTACGAATGATGCATTGATTGACTTGGTCAAGTATAAGTTGAATCCTGAGCGTTTGATGTGGTCTGGGGCTAAAATTCACATGCGTTGTTGTGCTCATATTCTTAACTTGATTGTCAAGGATGGATTGGATGTGATAAAGCGAAGTGTAGAGCGCATCCGTGATAGTGTGCAATTCTAGACAGCAACTCCTAAAAGGAAAGAGAAGTTTGAAATAGTTGCAAAACAATTGAAAATTTCTTATGGTAAAAGTTTGTCCTTTGGATTGCCCAACTAGGTGGAACTCTACCTTTTTTATGCTTCATTCTGCTTTGAAGTATAAGATTGTATTTCCTCGTCTGAAGCAAATGGATAAGGATTACAAGACTTTACCTAGTGAGTCTGATTGGGAGTTTGCAAGGAAGGTTTGTGACAAGTTGGAGTTGTTTTATGAAGTGACTGAGCTGTTTTCAGGGGCTAAATACCCAACTTCGAATTTGTTCTTTGAAAAGGTGTGCGACATAAAGGTGGGCATCTCTAATTGGATGTTGGATGATGATGCTTTCATTAGAGATATGGCCAAAAGCATGATGACAAAATTTGAGAAGTATTGGAGTACTATTCATGATGTTTTAGATATTGCTGCTGTATTTGATCCAAGGTATAAGTTTACCTTGTTGGAGTGTTATTTTCTAGATATCTATGGCGTTGAATCAAGGGCATGTATTGAGAGTGTTCGACAATTGTTGGTTGAATTGGAGAAGAATTATAAGAAGTTAAATGTGGATGGGAGTCAAGAAGGAAATCCGTCTCATGATGGGAGTTCGATTAGTCAAGGTGGAGGAAGAATGACAGCATATGATAGGTATGTAGCATCGTTGACTACTAGCTTTGTAGATGTTGAAACTGAGTTGGATGGCTACCTCAAGGAGAAAGTCTTGCCCAAGACAGCTGGATTTGACATTTTATTGTGGTGGAAGGCAAATGAGTCAAAGTATCCGACTTTAGCATTGATTGCTAGAGACATACTTGTCATTCCAGTGACTACTGTGGCTTCTGAGTCTGCTTTTAGTGCCGGTGGAAGACTAGTTAGCCCTAGTCGCAGTAGACTTCTCCCGGAAACTGTTGAGGTTCTAATGTGTGCTCAAAACTGGTTGCTCAATTCAACCATTCCAGGTAGCTTGATAACCTTTGATTGTTTGATTTCACATATGAACTTTAATACATGTTTTGAGTTATGATATTGTTGGTTACCATTATTTGCTAACTTGCTATCCTATTTGCAGATGGCTTGGAAACAATTGATAAGCTCATGACTTATGCCACTGTTAATGATGACCTAGATCCAGATTGTGCTTCATGTGTTACCGGTATATTTAATATTATAATTATCTTCTTTAAAACATCCATCTTTCTTATGTTTGTGGAGACATTTTTAATTTTGGTCTATCTAATTCTGTAGAATGAAGTCGAAGTTATGGAGCTGAGAGTGAAGCTAAGATGACAATGTTTAAGTTCTCAAGGAGGAGGAAACTTTAATTAATCATGTCGTGTATTGATAATTTGTGACTTTGAATTTTTTAGATTGGAGTTGAACAATTTGTATGGATAGTGTGTGATTTGCTTGAATTTTCTAGAACGATGTTTTATGTATGGATAGTTTGTATGGTGAGATTTATGCTTGATTTTTATTTTTATAGTTTCTTGTTAATTATTATTTTATAAATATTTTACCAAAAAAACCCGCGGGTAACCCATCAACCCGCGGATACCCAGCGGGTTGGGTTTGAGTTTTTCAAACCCAACGGGTTTTACCCCGGGTTTTTTTGACGGACAAACCCATGAATTTGAGTTCGGGTTTGGCAAAACCCGCCCCAACCCGATCCATTGCCATCCGTATACACCATCCAGACATAGCTAATCTGTTTTAGAAATACAGTCCTCTATTTATTTGAATAAATTAATATGAGTTTGAGGAATCAACTTCCCTAATTTGAAAACCTCTCTCTGCAACGAAACTCATAATGGAGCTCTGAAAGGCGAGGGAGATCATCCTCCGCCTGTTAACAATTCTCTCTGCCATGGACGCACGTCACGCATCTCTTGGTCGACGAACTGTACTCATCTACTCATCTTCCCACCCATTTTTCACTTCATTTTTGCTCTCTCATGTGCCTGAAATTGAGTTCGTCCCTTTGCAATCTCTGCAGCTGGAAGAGATTCGACAAAAGCGAGCGGCAGAGAGATTGAGCCAAGCATCGTCTGGAACAGATCTCAGCAAATCTCCCATCCTTGCAGGTCTCCGTAGATCTCCAAATTATGGTTTTTGCGAAGACGGGCTGCACAATTCATCCCGCGGCGGCTTTCTTCTTATTGCAACGTGCATTTGATTATCCTCCTTTGTTTTTCCGCAGATAATGTTGGAATAAAGAAATCCGAGAGTGCCAATCGACTCTCAGAGGTGGGAATTGCGCATCATAGTTCCTTTGCTCTTTTATCTCTTTTAATGGGCGCCTTTTTGTCGGCCTTAATGGCTGTTTGGTTGCTGAGGTAGTTTACCCACGAATGCATGGTAGCTAAGAATTGTCTCTAAACTTGGTACAAGAGTTTTCACATCAAAAGGATTGAAATTCTATGTGTTGCTGAATTAGCCTGCCATTGTTGTGTAAGATTAGAAGGGAATTGGAAGATCATGGTTGGCTCCTGATCGCAAATCAGACTCCTCAGGTACTGAATTTTTTTGTTAGTGTGTGCAGGCTGACGTTAGTGGTTTAGTAGCACAGCTGCAAGAACTTCAGAAAAGGAATTCGGAGTTAGAGGAGAACAACAGGGTATTGTCTTTGAAGGTATTAGTCCAGCCGTGTAGTCTTAATTCAGTGTTTGTTATCAACGTTAGTTCTTGCATAGTTCCCATTATGTTATAATCCTGAATATTGTTGCAATGATGAATTTCCAGCTTCAATCAGAGAATACCGAGAAGGAGACATTGCAAAGTCGCCTAAATGATCTGGTAAAAATCCAAACGTCTTCTCCGCATTTGCCCCATCTCACTTTATTGTTTAGAGAGTGAAATTCTATTTGATTCCTTGTTCTTTGCTCCAGCGTTTTGTTGCTAGACAAAGCCTGGGAATGACACAGCAATTATTATCCCAGTGGTTTTCTTTAGGAGAATTTCATGCTAAATAATTTGAATTATGTAAGTGATCATTATTCTGGGATAGGGGTAGGTGAGAAATCCAATGTTAAATGCGAAACTTATTGCAAAAGAGGGGAAATCGGCCCAAGTCCCTGTTGTGTTACGCTGCTATTCAATAGAGAGCAATTGGTGCATGAAATTTTTGATGTCAAATCCTTACATCGTTTCTGACGCTTGGTCTTTTCTTATCTACTGCAGGAACAGAGTACTGTTCCATCTTTAAGGAAAGCCCTTAAGGATGTAGCAATGGAAAAAGATGCAGCGGTTGTTGCAAAGGTAAGAATACTTTACTCAAAATTTCTCTTCTATTCACTCATCTCCTTTCATGCATGATCAAAAGTGCTACTGCAGGAGGACCTTTCAGCCCAGCTTCGTACTCTGAAGAAACGGTTAAAGGATGCAGAAGAGGAACAATACAGAGTATGTGAATGCTTCTGAATCTTGACAATGATACAGAGTAATTTCACTTATTTTGTTAGCTTGTTCGGAATAGGCTGAGGAAGATGCTGCAGCGTTAAGAGCAGAGTTGAACTCAATTCAGCAGCAGGCAATGAGTAATCAGCTCAACGGTATAACTTCAATGGGTATTCCAACAGATCAATTACAAAGCTTGGAACATGAGTTGGCTACTTTGAAGTCTGATCTGCAGGTTTGAATCATCTTCAGATCCCTGCTGAATTGATCATCCCTTATCTCTAATGTGGTCCAAATTTTTCAGCAAGAGTCTTCCATGAGGCAAGTAGAGCAACAGTGGTTGCTGGAGGAGAAAGTCAAGGTCTCTGCCCTTGAGTCTGAAAAGCAGCAGCTGGAAGACAAACTTCTTTCTCTGTCACAAAGGGCACCAGGTGAACCAAGATGCTAGCCGTGAAGGCTTTTATCTTTCTCAATCAAGCCTTTTCTAATATTTCTTGTTACCTCGTGTGGCTATTATTTTGCATTAATTTGCTAAATGCCGCCTTGTGTTTGTGCAATGCAGAACAAGTGTCAGAAGGAGCTGTTTATAATGTATTTTCAATGGTATGATTGCTATTTGGCTATCCATTTTGTTGTGCTATTTATTGTAGGTGAATTATATCCAATCTGTCATTTTCCAAAAAAAAAAAAAAAAAAAAAAAAAAACAGTTCCAGTATTTTTAGCAACTAATTGCATTTCGAATTTGGCTTTGTTATTGAAACCTGAAGGAGGATAAAGAGAGACTTGAGAAGCAGTTGCATGATATGGCTGTTGCAGTTGAGAGATTGGAAAGTAGTAGACAGAAGCTTCTGAAGGAGGTGTAGTCTCTGTTTACCTGATTTCCTTTTATTTATAGGTGTCGGTTGCAAGGACACTTACCGCGCTTAATGTTTTTCATATTTTTGCCAGATTGATTCCCAATCTTCAGAGATAGAGCAACTTTTCGAAGACAATTCTCACCTTTCACATTCTCTTCAAGAGGCAATGAACACTGCCAACCAATGGGAGAGCCAGGTAAATTCCTCCATTGTTCTTATGCTTTTCCTTATCTTTATCGCTTGGTGCACAAACAGCATTGTTCGTCAAGGAAATCTTGATTGTCGTCGAGATTGTTTGTTATTTTTCTGTTACCATCTAGTCACTTGGTTGCTAGATGTTTCTGGGATTCAAAGCAGGTTTCTATGATGTTAGTCTACTTATTTAGATGTTTGTTTCTCAATGCTAACAGCTTTCCTCGTGCTTGTCCAGTTAAAGGATTGTCTCAAGCAGAATAAAGAACTTCGTTTAGTGCTTGATAAATTGAGAACAGAACAGGCAGCTGTACTGCCTTCAAGTTGCAAGGACGGGCAGAGAGGCTCAAGAGATGCAGAAAGAGATGGCTTAAACTCACAGGGATCTGCAACTGAAGTTCTCTCTCTCAAGGTTAGTGAGTAGTCTGTTCAGTTTCACGTTTTTGTTTTACTTCACTCTCATCTCATGATTTCCATCCTCTCCGTGATTCAGGGGGAGCTCGTAAAAGAACAAAGCAGAGCAGAAGCTTTATCGGCAGAGGTCATGCAGCTATCAGCAAAGCTCCAGCAGGCAACACAGGCATACATTGGTCTTGCCCACGCGTGAGTTTCTTCTGTTTCCACTCTCCAAGTTCTTTCCCCCACACATCTTATGATCTTTGGTTCTACTTTAGAGTCTTCCCACGGCAGATTTCCTAAAAGAAAAGAATGTACTTTTGTTCATGGGTTTCGCAGCTATAGACCAGTGCTTCGGAACATTGAAAGCAGCCTCATCAAGATGAAGCAGGATGGCTCCGTGACAGCTCAATGAGAAAGCAGAGAACGCTACGATTCATCCATTGCCCTCATGTTTACTTTCTGCGTTTTGGGTTGAGGGAAGTGATGTGGGGATACCAGATATCATTTTCAGTTACCTGGTGTACAATGGTTCTCTTTTCTTCTCACAATTAATAGAAATTTACCTTTTTTCGAATATTTTGCATTTGGAGCAATTGAAAGGCAATTGAGATACTTATTAAGTAGAGAACTCGCCAACCTTGCGACTGGAAAGAAGAAATAAAGTAATCAGATGGAATGGCTATTACCAAATCTCATAAGGGTGTATTATTTTCTCAAAACTGTAAGGTATATGCGCTGATATACACGTTGCCCCGAAAAGACGAAAACTTTCGGCATCTGTTTTGTCAAGAATGTAAGCAGAAGCAACTCAAGAGAAACAGAGTAAAGAATGATCTTGATTCTCACCAATAATCCCCACAAGAACACACCCCATCACGGAAATGGTGAAAGCGATTCACATCTCTCACCAGAATCTCTTTACGTGCAAACTTCGATATGAACTTGGTAAAGGAGTGACAATCTTCACACAGCCGCAGGTTCTTGGTGATCCGAATTGGCTCTGCGTTGCTGGTGTTGATGAGTCCAAATGCTAGCGCTAATTTTTCGCTGTGGCCAAGCACGATCCTCTCTTTCTCCTCTTCCCCAAGGTCATACAGCACCACTTTGATCTGCGGCACATATCCTTTCTCCTTCATCTCCGACGATAATTCACACAGCAGAGCATGTAGCTGCTCGATTTGAGGATTAAACTCATCAGTCGAGACAAAGGAATGTATTTGCCTCTTGACTTCTATCCAGCTGCGACCGGGGACTTTCTGTAGTCCTCTGGATTCAAGGAGCTTTTTAACTCTTTTTACTTCGTCCCACTTACCAGCTTCTGCATAAGTGTCAGCCAGCAGCACGTAGTTCCCAGCATTTGCAGGCTCGAGTTGGAAAAGCTTTGTGCTCGCCCTCTCTGCAAACTCAACGTTACAATGAATCCTAGACGATCCAAGGAGAGATCCCCAGACCTTAGGCCCTGGTTCTATCCGCATATCATCGATGAATTTAGCTGCTTCCTCTAACTTATTCGCCCGCCCTAGAAGATCCACCATGGAAGCATAATGTTCCACACTAGGAATTATCCCATACTCTTTTCTCATCGCCTGAAACAATGCTCTTCCTTCATCCACAAGACCTGCATGGCTACAAGCTCCCAGAAGACTGACAAACGACACAGGACTTGGTGATATACCGCAACTGATCATGTCTTTGAAAATATCTATTGCTTTCTTCCCATGCCCATGAGCTCCAAACCCTGAAATCAGAGAATTCCAAGAGACGACATCTCGTTTATCCATGCCGTCAAAAACTTGTTGTGCCACTTCGAGTTTGCCGCACCTTGCGTACATTGTGACCAGTGCGCTGATTACTGGCAAGATGGTATCAAGACCATTCCTCAGAATGTATCCATGTATTAACTTTCCTTGCTCCAGGGCTGCAAGAGCAGCACAAGCTTGAAGGACGCTGACCATTGTCACGGAATTGGGACCTACATCCTCTTCTGTTTTGAGCATCATTTCCCTGAAGAGCTTCAATGCCTCGAAAGCCTTCCCATTCTTCGCATAACAAGCAATCATGGCACTCCAAGAAACCACATTTTTTACCGCCATCTGGTTGAAAACAGCACTAGCATAAGCCACGCATCCAAACTTGGCATACATATCAACCAATGTAGTCATAATATGTACAAATCCCCCATACCCATGTCGCAGAATATGAGCATGAATCTCCTTTCCCTTCCACAGCAACGATACTAAACACTCGGAAGCAACACAAGCCTTGAGGGCGTATGTATACGTGAACCTATCAGAAGGCATCCCAAGAGAGCTCATCGTGCGGTACAAGTTCAAGACCTCTTCCCCATGGCCCGCCAACGAAAGCGCTCGAAACAACGCGTTGTAAACATAAATAGTTCGCTTCCGAGTTTTGTCAAACACCTTGCGTGCATCATCAATCAGGTCAAGAGACGAATACATATTGATAAGTTTCGTTGCCAAGAAGGGATCTTGATCAAACCCATTCTCATGGAGGTGGCGGTGAACCCACTGTGCATCGACGAGCGAGCTTTGGTGGATGCAAGAGAGAATTAGGTGCTCGTAGGTCCGTTGAGTCGGGTTGGACTCTTCGCTCATCAGCTTCACGGCCCGCTTCAGGTTGCCTTGTTTGCATAGAGATTGTATAAGCTGGTTATTGTCAGCTGTGGTCGAGGTCGAAGGATTCAAGGATACGAAACAAACGGCCAGCTTCCGGGAGATACGTGGGATGAAGGCGGATGAAGGAGACGGCTGAGCACTGGGTTGAGGAGAACTAAGAGCCCACATTTGGATATGGCGTCTGATTTTGAGAACTAAGCCAAGCCGCCAACAAAGGGTGGAAACAACTCTCCCCTGCGGTGGTGGTTGAGACTTGTCAGTCCTTTCTAATCGGACCAACTGTTGGAGTAGATGAGAGATGGAATCAATGGAGCCGATGCAGATGAAGTCGGAAGTCACAGGCGGCACAAGAAGCGGCAGCCTGAAAAGTAAAAATCTGCTGGAAGTGGGGACTATTGAATAAATTTAAAGTAATGTATATTTGTCATTCAAATCTTTTTTTTAATTTTTTTATATTAGTTTAGTTTGGTCCTGCATTCGTTTTTGCAGAAGCAGCTGGCTGGAGCTTTTAGATAAGTACTTTTAGATAAGTACTTTTAAAAAAAACAGCTGAGTGTTTGGCTGTAAAACTATTAGAAGTGCTTTTTAATATAAGAGGTTGTGTAAAATGACTATAAAAGACTTTTAATATAAAATATGAATAAAAAATCTAAACAATAAAAAGTAGTCAAAATGGATCTGGTTGGATTTCTTTTATATTTTATTTTATTTTTAAAATGATATAAATGAAGGAAAATTATACTTTCTGAAATAAAATTAAAATATGGTAAGGATAATCTTGTATTTTCAAAACCGTTTTTGGCAGAAGCTCCAAATCGGAGTTTCTGCTTTTATGTTATACAAAAGGCTTTTCGGCTTTTCAAAAGCCGAGCTTTTACAGGTGTTTGGCCCTGCTTCAGCTTTTGAACCGAAAAGCACTTCTAAAAGCCGGGCCAAACATAGGGATTATTCAAACCGATCGAAATACTAAGAATTAGGTAAATGTTATTTTATAGTTAGCAATTTTGTTAGTAATATCGACTTGCCAACATGATACTGACTTGGAAGAGACACATGAAAGTCAATATTCTAAAATTTTAGTATTGTAACTAAGAGCTACAAAATTATTAAATATAACATAAAAATGGCTAATTAATAACATTTTAATAAGTTTGGATAATATAAAATAATTTGAAAATTTTTTGTATAAAAAATAAAAATTACCCAAACTTAAAATACTTTATGGGTGTCAAACCAAACAATAAATTATGATATTTTTATACAATTTCTTTCCCCCGGATCAATAAGAGGAATCAAATTAATGGAAAAGACTAGCATGCTAATATACTTTTTTTTTTTTCATGGTGCTAACAATAGGTTCAGCCAATAGGAACATTTCATTTGGATGACTTTTCTATTTAAATGAGTTGATCATAATTAATTAACGACAAAGGAAGGAGCGACACGTTGGTAATTAAAAAAAATTTGGGAGAAGGGGAGAAGGGCCCAACCCTCCTTTTAGCATTAAATGTGAGGAAGTGAGGTGGACCACGGAAGTAGGCCACAAACTCCATAAAGTAGGTCATAACCTCCACAAATTAGGCTAGAACCTCAAAGTAGGTCAGAACCTGAAAATAGGTTGTAAGCCAGAAGTTTTTCAAAGCAGGCCAGAAGTTTCTTAGTAGTGTATCTGTTTATAAATTTTAAAAAGTTTAGGTACCAAAACGTAAAAAATAAAAAAATAGGTATTAAAATGTAAATTTTCATCAATATTTTTATGTCTTAAATGTATAAAAAATAGGTACTAAATATTAATATCTATCAAATCCGGGTATAAAACTGTAATTTGTAAATGAAACATAAAAAGCAATGTGAATGGAAGGGGGATGAGAAAGAGAAGAGGAAGGGGAAGGGATAGTTACTATAATTAGAGGTGAAAATCGGTACGGTATTGGTATCCCAATACCAAATACCAAAATTCTGAATATCGAATTACACCCTAAAATCAATCTCAATTCCCATCCCTAAATAATTTCGGTATCCCAATCTCTAAATATTTCGGTATACCAATTGGTATTATTGAATACGAAATTAGTTACCTTTAGAATTAATAATTAAATATATAAATTAGATTTGATGATTTAATATAGGACAAAGAGACTAAGCAAAGAGTCTTGAGTTTGGCTAGAGCTAGGATATGGATAAGGAGAATGGAGGAGAGGTGACATCTCAAGTTTTTGTCATTGGTAATCTTTAATTTGACAAATTGGAGGTTGAGAGAAGACTAATACTAGTGTTTACTTTTTGGTGTTATGAAATTAACAATAGATTGGTGGTTGAGGGTCGTGTAGTAGTGAATGAGAGAGTCTAGTTGAGAGGATAAAATACACACTAGCTTATATTCCGGTATTGTTTGGTATATACCAATCCCAATCCCGTAATCCCTAATACCGAATAACAGTTGAAATTGAATCCCAATCCCAAGAAAGTATACGTGTATTCGGTAATACCAAATATAGACAAATTCGGTATGGTATTCGGTATATCCCAAATACCGGTACCAAACTTCCAGCCCTAACTATAATATCCTTATAGTAAGTGTTAGTATGGTGAGGATTGGAAGTTTGGTACCGGTATTTGGGATATACCGAATATCGTACCAAATTTATCACTATTTGGTATTACCGAATATCGATTTATTCTTTAGGGATCAGGATTGAGATTCATTTTGGAGTGCTATTAGGTATTCGGGATTACGTGATTGAGATCTGGCTATACCGAAACACCGAGACACAACAAAAATTAATGAAATATAGCACACAACTTTTGGTGTTCCCCACTCTTTCGTGACTCACAAGTCTCCATCCAACTCAATTTTGACTTTCCAGTTTAAGTCACTCTCGTCTCTTATCTAATCTCTTATTATTTTCATAACATAAAAAGAAAACGCGGGTATTCGTCGTCTCTCAACCTCCAATTTGTCAAATTAAAGATTTTCAATGACAAGAATTTGAGTTGTCACCTCTCCTCCCTTCTCCCTAATCCCTATCCATGTCCTAGCTCTAGCCAAACTCAAGAGTCTTAGCTTAGTCTCTTTGCCCTAAAATAAATAATCAAATCTAATTTATATATTTAACTATTAATTGCAAAGGTAATTAATTTTTTTTATTTGATAACACCAATTAGGATTCCGAAATACTGATTAGAATACCAAAATATTTAGGAATTGGGATTGGAATTGATATTTAGGGATAATTTGATATTCAAGATTTCAGTATTGATATTATGATATCGATACCATACCGATTTCCACCCCTAAGTATGGTGCTAACTGCTAACACTTAAAACTGTTAGCACCCTATCTACTTCCCAAATTAATAATTACACTAGTAGCGAGACACGATATTGAGCACAAAAAAAAAATCAATGAGAGGAGCTCTCTCCTCTCTCCTCACGCTGAGTGCCTGGATCGGCCGCTGCCTCTGGGCGGTGTTGATCGCCTTCGTCTCGACTAGCTTACGCAACCAGACGTTCTACTGCAGAATTCCTCTGATTAAGGAAATTCAGTCTTGTGTGGGAGTGAACGGACACAACCGACGTTGTGGATTGGCTATGCAGGGGGCCCTCGCCGAAGGAGCCAAAATACGCTCAAAACCGATTCGAGATCCATCGACGGGTACTCTTGATTCGGCAAAAGAAGAAAAAAAAGGAGATTTGAAGCTTTGAGTGAAGGAATAGAGCTCTCCTATGTTGTTCGTGTGAAAAGATGCAGAAAAATGGATTTGAAGGGGTGGCAATTCTGGCTCCCCCTTCGTCTGTGCTGGACGGGGATTTCCTGTCTCCTGGTTCGTTTCCATTGACGAACGAACAACAAACAGAACCCGTAATGGGACCAATACAACCAATTCGTGGATCTAATTGTGATCACCCCTTCGGGGAAGATGGGCCAGTACCGCCGTCAAAATATGGTCCGGTAATAAGTACAGTGAACCCAGGTTGTTGCTCCGGCAACGTTTTTGGTCAAAATTGACTCCTGCCGACGTGGCTTCGCAAACCCGATTTGATCGCTCATTTCAAATCACAACGGAGGGTCAAAGATTTGGCCCTGATCCCCCGGTGTTTGGGGACGGGATGCTGTTCGACATTATCTCGCCAAGCAAACTGAAAAAATAAAAAACAGTTAGAAAAGCGGATAATCCGATCCTAAGCAAATTTAAGATTCCTAGTCCCTTTAGACTTATAAGAGAGGGATCTGACTGGCAGATTGGTGGCCCTTAAAAGGATCTATTACTCCTGCTGTCTCGTACAACACTGAAACACCTAGAAGCACGTACAACACTGAAACACCTAGAAGCAGAGAACGACGAGAGGCGCCGCTGCAACCTATACCTGCCAGCGAGGTTCTCACAGGTATAATGAATAAATCCCTAAGTTCATTCCCCTGTGCTGAGAAATCTCTTAATCCCTCTCTACAGTCTAGTTTTTTACCCCCTTCCAACATTGTGTCGTGGCTGAGATACGATCAGGAAACCAAAAGTTTGGCTTCGAGCCTTGTACTGATTGATCCTCCTTATCTGTTTCAGGGGTTAACAATGTCTCGCGTAGCTGACGACCAGGTTGTTGAGTTCTCCCTGGAGGAGGTTCAATCAACGAAATTTCATGCCTCTCGGACGCTGTTGGGACGAGTGTTCACGGGGAGCCAGCTCACAAATGTGGAGCTCAGGGAGGAGATGATTGCGGCCTGGCAAATTAGGGGTCATCTGCGGGTCAACTGTACCAAACATGGGCTGCTGGAAATCATTTTACCAAGTGAAGAAGCAAAATTTTGGATCTTGAAACGGGCTCCCTGGGTGGTCAAGGATAAATTGATAAATCTTCGTTCTTGGACGCCAATGATCAGTAAGCAGATCTTTGACGATCTTGCTATCTCCCCTTTCCGCATCCAACTTTGGGATGTGAAGGAGGATTGTTGTACCAAGCAATTCGGACACACAATAGCGGCTCCCACCATTGGCAAAGTCTTAGAAACTGGGGTTTTTGCCTGCAAAGATACGAGGGAAAGCTTTGTGAAAGTTCGTGCTCTGGTTGATTTCTCGAAGCCCTTGAGGTCTCAACTCATGGCAGTTAGTGAAGAACTTGGCTGCTTTTGGGTTCGGTTGAAATACGAATTTCTCCCAACCTTCTGCAATTATTGTGGCTGTTTGGGGCATTCGCGTCGTGACTGCTCTTTTGATCCTCCAAATGGGAAAGAAAAATTCGGCCCCCACATGTCTACTAAGAAGCTTGGGTGCAAAATTTACGATGATTTGGAGGAAAATACAAGCTTTAAAAGCAATCGAACTACAGTTTGGGTCAACAGGCATGTCCGACAGCAAGTGGAGGGGACTTGAAATTCTAACAAAGGTCGTGGGCCTGTAACCCAGCTGGGTGAGATGGAAAGAAGAAATCGGGGAACATTCTGGGCGACAGAGCAGGCCCACACTCGAGAGCTGGAGAAGTCCAATTCGCCCAGGCCCATGTCAAAGCCCAGGACCACGCTCCCTAGTCCAAGGGGATTTCCAGTCCGAAAATCTCATGTTACCTGCGTTAGTGGTGGGCCTCGCAAACTGCGGCGGCAAAGCCCAGTTGGTGCTCCTGCTCGCCCTCTTGCGCCCGACAGCAGAGGCAGGCTGATGCAGGCCCATCGGCGGGGAGGTGGATCGACCCAAAACGCCGACCAGGCTATCCCTGAAGTGCATTCTGAAATGAAAACGAAGACGCCTGATCCTGGAAGAAGGCTCGAATGATGATGATGTCAAACCGAACCATGTTGCACCCTCTGACCTGAACATAAAAAATGAGGAGCATCTGCACCATGCCCATGATTTCAAGTCTGGCAGTGGAAAGGTTATTCGTACAAGTGCGAGGGAAGAAACGGGTCCACAAGTGAACGCAGGGGATGGCTGCTTATACTGATCCGCCAACCTATCTGCAAGGTGCTCAGCAAAATCCTTTGTCGAAAACTATTAAGCGCAAAGGTAGGCTCACACATGGCGGCCCATCCCTTGGTCCTGCGAGAGCTTACAAAATGAAAGCTCATGGCGTCGCCAGTGTGGGAGCTTAGGAAGTCATTTCCTCCCCGGGCATGAGATCACCCTCTGATTTGTCAGATACAGTGAAAGAAGGAAGTGTTGCTAACATCAATGAGGGGCAATTTCTATAAGACTCAGACTCAGAGGAGGAGATGCCACGCTTTGAGATTAAGAAACGTCTACCTCAGAAGACCGGGAAACAACCAGCCCAGATTCCCTCAGGCCGTGTCAACAAAGTTGTGGCAGCCTTTGAAGCTGGCCTATCTTTGGTCCATGAGGGTAGAAAGGGAAGTGATTGTGTGGAGAAGATTCCTATTGATGGTGCTCCGAGGATGCGGCAATTAGAGGAGGTGGGAGACACTGGGTTGGGTCTGGATGAGTACGACTCTAACATGCCGAACCCGACTTTTGATTCTCGGAAGCGTTCGTTGGAGCATTTAGAAGGGGACATGGGTGTCCCCCCTACTCCGAAAAAGCAATTTGTGGAAGCTGATGAAGTCTCTGATCAGGTGGAGGTAGCCAGCCTTGAATGGCCCCAGCCGGATAAATGAAACTACTGGCCTGGAATGTGAGAGGAATTGGACCATCCCTCACATTCCAAACTGTTGTCGGTTTAGTTCGTTCCAATAAACCGGATCTTGTGTTTTTTTCGGAAACACGTTCGAGACAGAGAGTAGTTTCCCGCCGTTTGCGCGGGCTAGGGTTTGAGTCTTCTTGTTGTTTTTTTGTTGATGCAATTGATGCTTCTGGAGGTTTATTTGTAGCCTGGTCCCCCAAAGTTGAGGCTTCGGTGTTTTTTCATTCGAATTTCTATGTTTGTGTTCAAGTTAATGAAATGGAATTCTCGTATGTGGCGATCTTTGTTTACTTTAGTTGTAATGTTGCCATCCGTGCCACCCAGTTGGATCATCTCCAGGACGTATGCGCGGGCATCCAAGTTCGCTATGTTATATTAGGTGATTTTAACAAGACTCTCCATGAGAGCGAGAAGGATGGTGATAACCAGTGGAATGCTGCGCAAGCTCTTGGTCTCCGTAATTTTGTTCAAAACATGGGTCTTCTAGACCCTGGCTATCAGGGGGATCTATTTACCTGGACAAACAAGCGGATGGGGCGGCTTGTATTCGAGAAAGACTGGACATGGCTCTTTGCTCCCAATCCTGGCTTGATCTCTTTCCTGATACCTTGGTTAAATACTTTACGGATTAGGGATCGGATCATCGGGTGCTCCTCCTCTCTGATTGCCCTATGTTCAAAATACTCACCCTCTGTTCCGGTTTGATGCCCGTTGGGCGGATAACTCTAAAGTTAGGGCGATGGTCTCTAATGTTTGGCAGGAAGACATCCAGGATACGCCGATGTTTCGCCTTTGGGAACGCGTTAAGAAACTGCGTCATTTATTATATGACTGGAGCAGAGCTGGTACCAATAATTCCTTGCGTAACATCAGAACTCTCCAGAGCAAAATTGAGGGGATCAAGCTATTCCACCCTATTTAGGGCTGGTAACCGGTTACCGAATTAACCGGTTACGGTATACCGATAGCTTCGAATGCCCGCCCGAATGCCGATATCGGTAAGTAGACGGTTAACCGGTTACCGAATAACCGGTTAACGGTATCAACCCGGTATTACCGAAATGCCGAGTCAAGGAACCAAAAACACGTTTCGGTTCGGTTAACCGATAAGTAACCGGTACCGATTGTGTGCAGAAGCCAAAAATTCAGCCTATCCTGATTCCTACGAAGCAATGTCAAATACTCAAATTCAAAGCTCCAATTTCCAAACATCACATTCATTCACAATTTCACATACATTTTTTATTTTTCCGAATGATTCAATTTGCTGGCTGGCTGCTGCTGTTCAGTTCTTGTTAATGTTATGCAGTGCTGTCCTGTTCTCTGCCGTTCTTGTTCTGCACCAAAATTACAATTTACAAATCAACCAAAATGGCAAAATTGCCTCGTTCTCAATTCTCTAACAGGAGGGGACGAGGGGTAGGGACTGGGGGAAGAAGAAAGATGAAGGCAGAAGGCAAGAGAAGGAGAAGGAGACTTACAGAGTTGCGGCGACTGGGGAAGAGGAAGACTGTTGAGTCGGAGAGGGAGGAGAACAGGAGAGAGAAGGGTGGAAGGAGGCGGAGCGGCGTCGCGGGGCGGCGGAGCGTCGATGGGCGATGGCGGAGCGGCTCGTGGGTCTCGGCGGAGGGGCAATGTCGCGATGACAATGGAGAGTTGGAGGCTTGGAGCGGCTGGGTCGACACTCGACAGTCGACTTTAGCCTTTAGGGTTTTTTGGTTTCACCCTCCACAGTCCACCCCCTCCCTGCGCTGCGTTTTGAATTTTTGCGAGACAGACGGTATCCGGTTAACCGTCCCACCGACGGTATTTACCGGGTGGGGAGGCGGTATACCGGTATACCGGCGGTTACCGGTTCGGTAACTGGTTATGCCGATAACCGGAAAACCGAATACCAGCCCTAACCCTATTGATCGGGATGAGATCTGCCGTCTCGAAATCGAATTGACTAGACAATGGGAGGCAGAGGAAGTCTATTGGCAGCAGAAATCTAGAGTTCATTGGTTAAAGAAGGGGACAAAAATACGTCGTACTTCCATACGGTGACTAGAACTCGTCGTAAACGGAACTTTGTGGCTGGTTTAAGGAAAGAAAGTGGTGAGTGGGTAACTGAGGAAAAAGGGAAAGCTGACATATCTACTTCTTTCTATGGCCATCTTTTCACGTCTGAGAATCAGGTTCTGAACATGGGGGAGCGGGTTGATGCTCTGCCTATCGCCCGTAGTGTTACCCCGGAGATGAATGTCGCCCTGACAGCTGCTGTCCTCCCAGATGAGGTTCGTCAAACTGTCTTTGCGATGGGATCAAAGCAAGCTCCGGGGTTAGATGGTTTTACGGGTAAATTCTTCAAGGCCTTCTGGGGGATTGTGGGTGATTCAGTGATTGACGTAGTATGCTCGTTTTTTACGACCAGCAAAATGCTCCGTAGCTTCAATCACACCTGGCTCACGTTAATTCCCAAAGTAGATAATGTGGAGACTATGAAACAGTTACGCCCAATCAGTTTATGCCAATTTGTTTATAAAGTTATAACTAAAATATTGGCTGAACGATTATCGTGTCTCTTACCGCACATTATCTCGTTAGGCCAGAATGCGTTCATTCGGGAGCGTCAAATTGTTGAGAATATTCTCCTTGGTCACGAGTTGATGCATTACTTGAAAATCAAAAGGCAAGGGAAGAAAGGGTACATGGCTCTTAAGGTTGACATGGAAAAGGCCTATGATAGAGTTGAATGGCCGTTTCTTCTTGCGCTTTTGAACAAGATGGGTTTTAACTCAGTATGGCAGGGTTGGATACATGAATGCCTCCGCTCTTCGTCTTTTTCAGTGCTGGTGAACGGTACTCCGTCAAGATACTTCATGCCAACCAGGGGCTTACGCCAAGGGGACCCTTTATCTCCTCTTTTGTTTGTGCTCTGCACGGAGGGGTTTGCGGCACTTTTGAATAAGGCTATCTCGGATAACCGGTTGGCAGGGGTCAAAGTTGCACCGCGTGCCACCCGAATCTCGCATTTATTTTTTGCTGATGATTCTTACATGTTCCTGCGTCGTAATCTCCAGGAATGTGAGAATTTGATTGAGGTATTGAATGAATACGAGGAACTTAGTGGCCAGCGTATCAATCTGGCTAAATTGGCGGTTTGCTTTAGCAAGAATATTACTCTGCTGACCAAGAGTTCCTAGCTGCAATTTTGGGCGTGGGAGCGGTAGGGGTGCATGATAAATATCTGGGGCTCCCTACTTTGATTGCTCGTTCTAAAATGGAGACTTTCCGATACTTAGAAGAAAAGTTGTTGGCAAGGCTTCAGGGATGGAAGCAAAGGACATTGTCTTGGGCAGCTAATCCTATCTTGTAGTAAAACCGGAAAGTCCGGGTATCGTCTCTCAGGGACTGGTACAAACTTAAGATTTACCGATTTAATAGAGCAAACTATAGGTGAAAAGGGTTTAATGAGATTATTAACTACTAGCAAAATTAACTAAACAAGCAAATTAACGTGTCGGGTTTAAATCAATGGGAGAAAGCTCTAGGAGAAACACCGGGATTCACTACCTATCCTATCCAGATTAATTCGCATATTCCAATCAGTTTAATCCATATCCCTACAGCCAGGATATCACGAATGTGCTAGCTATCCCTGTCGGGAATTACTACGTACTAAATAATCAATTAAAATCCTACTGTCGTAGCTCAATGAATTAACTATATAGTCTGAAGATCGATATCCTATTTAAGACCGCATAGCACCTTATTTAATCCACTGTCGCTTCGATAAGTTACTATGTCACATGAAATAGGTTCAGATAATAGGGTTTCACTGTCGCTAATAACCTAATTTACTACGATTCATTGTATTGGTGGCCAGTCAACACAAAGCATTAAGAAATTTCATGCAATAGAGATTGGAAGAAAAGAATCATGAATCAATCCATCAAATCAAGAAATAGCTACATCCTATGGTGTTTCCCCCAGAAATCGGGGTTTAGTTCATGACGAAATTGAGATAAAACATTAGGGTTTTGATCATCATGTTCTAAATTAACAAATAACAACTAATTTGGTTTAGAAAATCCAACCAACTAATCGCTCTCGTTGAATTCGGCTTAAACCGTCTTGGGAAAGTTGATCGAAATTTGCTGCTCGCCTTTGCTCTTGCTGCGCTGCGCCCTTTTTCTGCCTTTCCGCCCAAGAATTTTCCTCGCGCGATGCCTCTCCTCCTTCAGAAAAGCCAGCCGCCTCCTAAGACTTAATTTCCGTCCACAATAATAATCCCCTTGCCCGCTGCTTCCCTTGTCCAAGATAATGCCGCCTCTGCCCTTTCTTTTCTTTAAAAGTTCCGCTCCCAAACCACAAAAGAGACTCCCCTCGTCCAAAGTAATAATTCCGCCTCCAAAAAACCAAAACAAAAGTCGCCTCCCTCGTTTTCAAAAGCCCGCCGCCAATTAAATCCAAGCCCAATTAATTATCTCCTCCAGAAATCAGCCGCCAATTACACTTTTTATTCCCCAAGCTAATTCCGTGTCCGGCCCAATTTCCTCAAAATGACAATCGCCTCCTTTTTCGTGCTTTCTCCACCTGTAATACATCAAGCTCATGGCACTAGGTAGTAATGGTTTTTCAACCATTCTCGGGTTAGCGAGCCCTAAAATAGCACCAATTGGCTAAAACATACCACAGATAATCACATAAAGTCCAAGAATTCAATATGTTAAAGCCGATTATCACAACCCCACACTCAAGTGTTGCTTGTTCCTAAGCAACGACTCAAAAGACATAACCACATAACTAACCATAACAATGACACACCACAGACTCACTAATCAAACACTCAAAGCAAAACACAAAATTTCCTTGTACTCTTGTTGTAATCAGTAGTTTCTTTCTCAACGGACAAGTTGTGCTTTAATGATCATACCTTTCACCCCACACTCAAGGTCTTTGCAACCCTTAACCATTGACTGACTCAAACCCATCAAAAACTCAATTAGCAACACTCAATTCAGGTCGTCGGTAGTGGGTGGTTAACAACTTATGGTGCAACAATTATTAGGAGAATCTAACCACATCAGTGAAGTGCATATCTCGTGAGGACAATCTGGCTTACTCACACCAATCATAAGCAATTAACAAAGCATGAGTCTCAAAAACTAATGGGGGAAGCCTTTCGCAAACATGATTTTAAATTTAAGCACATCACTACCTTTTATGACAAGGAGAGCCTTTCTCTCTTTCTGATTTTGCTTGCCGAGAAGTCGTATTTAGTACAAGTGGGATTTGTTTCTTACTACCGGTGACCGAGCAAGAGCAATTTCTTCTTCTTAGCACTCGCATAAGGGCTTCTTTTAACTCCTTTTCCTCGGTCCGTATGGAGGGTCATTGCATCCTCAAATGGCACTTCACTCAACTGGGGATCGTACTTGATAAGCAACATCGTACGGTCGCGAACCGATTCTCAATTGAATCTTTCCTCATCCCCATGTGCAATGAGTGATTGCCTCACACGATTTTGGCATTTTTACCCACACTTTAATTGTTATGGCAACTTTCTTATCTTTTACTTGTCAGGTAGTGTTTTCTCATTTTATGAAGATACAGTTCACCCCATCATAAAACCTTTTAAAACAGAGAAACTCGTTGCAAAATCAAAAGCTCACAATTGATGCAAGTAAGCACGGTATCCAAACATGTCGAATGGTCAATGTTCTCCACCTAACTACTTCACCAAAAGTCATTACACTATCCTCACAAAAGAGAATGTTGCTAAAAGAATTGCTCATTCAAAGCATATCAAGTCAGTCAAAACATTCAAGCTCATCGTGAAGAACTTTGCAATTCAACACTAGTGGGGAGATTTTGTTGATTTCATTCAAGCACAAACTCATTTTCAAAGCATCATTGTCATTTACATCATGTTACCACAAGAGTACAAGGTTTTGTTTTAAATCTTTCTGATTTTTAGGTGTTTTTAAGCCATTAGCTTTGCACAGGCATCTCTTTTTGCACAGCCAAATGACAATTTTTTTTTGTTTTTGTTTTTTTGTTTTTTTACCACATGCAACAGGGACAAACAACACTAAGACTCACCACCCCACACTCAGGATGGAACATTGTCCCTAATGTTCAACTCATAATCTAAACATGCACGGGTTTGACACAACAAAAAAGAAAAATAAAGAAAAGAAAACTTACATTGGGTTGCCTCCCAAGAAGCGCTTGTTTAACGTCCTCAGCCTGACGTTCATGGAGCTTTCAACCAATGGGTATGGTAAGGTATCCAGAATACCCTCCCGAGCAATGATAGAACGCATAACCTCCATCCAGCATATGAGTCACCTCTGCAGGGCCAGGTGTGCGAAAATTGGGTATGACCTTCTTAGCTTGCATGTTAGACCCTTTAGTGAGGCGTAGGTGGTATTGCAGTGCCTCAAGAAAGTACTCTTCCTGTTTCAATGTCAGTGAAGAAGGAATAATAACAGGAAGATTGAAATCCTTACCCAAATATCTATAATTGAGGTGCCCTGGCAAGGATTTCTGGCCTTGCTTTGATATCAGACTTTGAGCTGCTAGGACATGTGATAGTTCTTTGGGTGGTTCACTATCACAGGAAGAGGAATTTTTCCTTTCTCGAGCTCCACTTTCAAGGTCATCAATTGCATCGTGATTATGATCAACTTGAAAGACATTAAAAATTTCCTCCTCCTTACCTACTCGGAATGTCAACTTGCCTCTCCCAACATCGATGAGTGCATCACCGGTTGCTAGAAAAGGTCTCCCAAGAATGAGAGGCACTCTCGATCTTCTTCCATCTCCAGAATCACAAAATCTGTTGGGAGAATAAACTTCCCAATCTTCACCAATACATTCTCCACCACTCCTTTTGGAATTTTCACTGATCGATCAGCCAATTGGAGAGTGATCCGAGTAGGCTTAAGAACATCTCCCAATCCCAATTTCTTGTAGACTGAGTATGACATCAAATTAATTCCTGCTCCAAGATCACAAAGTGATTTATCGAACTCTGTACCTCCAATGACACATGGAATGGTGAAGCTGCCCGGATCATCCCTCTTTTCTGGTAATTTATTCTGAATCACAGCACTACATTCAGAAGTAAGGGTTACCTTCTCCAGATCAGCCCATTTGCGCTTCTTCGTCAGCAACTCCCTTAAGAATTTAGCATATGTAGGCATTTGTTCAAGTGCCTCCGCCAACGGTATGTTGATATGAAGTTGCTTGAAGAGATTCACAAATTTCTTGAAGTTCGGGTCTTCCATGGGCTTCATTAACCTTTGAGGGAATGGCGCGGGAGGTTCATAAGGCTTTACCTCTTCATTTTTCAATTTTTCCACTTTTTGAGGTACACGGGCAGCATGCTTTTGCACAGGCAGATTGCATGCAGTTTGCCTGTGCAAGTCAGATTTTTCAGCTTTTGCACTTTCTTCATCCTCTACCTCTGCAACTCCTTCTTTTTCAGATTTTGTTGACTTCCTTGAACACTCTGGATCCTCCAAGGCCTTTCCACTCCTCAAGGTGACGGTTACAACCATGGCGTCCTTCGGATTCCTCTCAGTATTTGCTGGTAAAGTCCCGGGAATCCTACCTTGAATATCTGCCAAAGTTTGAGCCATCTGGCCTATTTGCCTCTCCATAGCTAGCATAGATGATTGCATATTATTCTTGATGGCTAGCTGTTGAGTGACAAATTGATCAAGACCCTTCAAATTATTGTCGGTTTTCTGCATGTGAGCCAGAAGCAATTCTTCAAGTTGTGGTTTCTTCTCTGGTTGAGGTTGTTGTTTCTGCAGGCCTGGAGGTGAAATGTTGCGAGCACCAGCTGGGTTGTTGTTTCCCAGGACATATTGGGGTGATGTCTCCATTGAGGGTTATATGTATTTGAATACATACCACCCCGACCTTGACTTCGTGGATTATTGATATACTGAACATCTTCCAACTGAGCAGCTCCCAGCAGACACATATCCTTATGATGAGGACCCTCGCAAAGTTCACATGAAGCAACCTCCTCTTGTCTACCCAAAGCAATCTTGGCCAGCCTTCGTTCGAGTGCATCGAACTTGGAATCCAGCTTAGCATCAATCTTTGCTTCTAAACTTGCAACTCTGTCTATCTCATGCAAGCCTCCTCTCCTTCGAATACTGGTCTCACTACCCCATTCAGTGGCTTCTGAACAGATCTTCTCTACTAGATCATATGCTGCTGGTGCCTCCATGCTTGTGAAACCATTTCTAGAAGCATTATTCAGGGCATCCCGGAACTCCCTTCTGATTCCATTGAAGAAAATAATGATCACGTTCCAATCTTCAAGACCATGGCTTGGGCATCTCCTCAACAGCCCCTTGTAGCGCTCCCATGCCTCAGTCAGACTCTCAACATCAGCCTGCTTAAAAGTAACAATCTCTTCTTGCCTCTTCATTGCCAAGGCAGGTGGGAAGTATTTATCCAGAAATACCTTCTCAAGCTGACCCCATGTCGTGATGGAATGTGGTGTTAAGTTCTGAAACCAGTGTGATGCATTCCCTATCAGAGAGAATGAGAACATCCGAAGACGAATTGCATCATCAGACACAGTTGGGCTCTTCATCGTATCACATATGCTCGCAAACCGGCGAAGATGCTTGTGAGGATCCTCACTGCTAGCCCCGGAGAAAGTGTACCCATTGGTGATCATATTTATGAATGCTGGGGTAATTTCCATGGTTGCATCCCCAGCCGGGATGACAACACATGAAGCTCAGGCTCCAGTCCTCCGATTCAGTCGAGCCCTGATTGATCGATCCTCGTCTGCCATGATGTCTGGCTCAACCTCACGAGGTGGTGGTGTCGGTGGTGTATGGACGACAGGTGATGAGGCCTACCCTCTCTGTTGACGATTCTGGGTTAGGGAAGGCCTAGGAGTTGTGGATGTGGTAGGCTGCTTCCCTAACTTGACCTGCTTCCTGTTCTGTCGGCAGGTCCTCTCTATCTCTGGATCAAGTGGCAGTAAATTGCCGGTCGTCCTCCTTGGCATGCACGAGGAGGATAGACCTGAAAAATTCTTCTGCACACTAACACCCAGATCAAAATAGTTCACTCACAAAAATCAACAAAAATAAGGTATGTCAGTCCCCGGCAACGGCGCCAAAAACTTGATAGGTCAAAAGCGTATGCCTTAATCCTATCTTGTAGTAAAACCGGAAAGTCCGGGTATCGTCTCACAGGGACTGGTACAACCTTAAGATTTACTGATTTAATAGAGCAAACTATAGGTGAAAAGGATTTAATGAGATTATTAACTACTAGCAAAATTAACTAAACAAGCAAATTAACGTGTCGGGTTTAAATCAATGTGAGAAAGCTCTGGGAGAAACACCAGGATTCATTACCTATCCTATCCAGATTAATTCGCATATTCCAATCAGTTTAATCCATATCTCTACAGCCAGGATATCACGAATGTGCTAGCTATCCCTGTCGGGAATTACTACGTACTAAATAATCAATTCAAATCCTACTGTCGTAGCTCAATGAATTAACTATATAGTCTGAAGATCGATATCCTATTTAAGACCGCATAGCACCTTATTTAATCCACTGTCGCTTCGATAAGTTACTATGTCACATGAAATAGGTTCAGTTAATAGGGTTTCACTGTCGCTAATAACCTAATTTACTACGATTCATTGTATTGGTGGCCAGTCAACACAAAGCATTAAGAAATTTCATGCAATAGAGATTGGAAGAAAAGAATCATGAATCAATCCATCAAATCAAGAAATAGCTACATCCTATGGTGTTTCCCCCAGAAATCGGGGTTTAGTTCATGACAAAATTGAGATAAAACATTAGGGCTTTGATCATCATGTTCTAAATCAACAAATAACAACTAATTTGGTTTAGAAAATCCAACCAACTAATCGCTTTCGTTGAATTCGGCTTAAACCGTCTTGGGAAAGTTGATCGAAATTCGCTGCTCGCCTTTGCTCTTGCTGCGCTGCGCCCTTTTTCTGCCTTTCCGCCCAAGAATTTTCCTCGCGCGATGCCTCTCCTCCTTCAGAAAAGCCAGCCGCCTCCTAAGACTTAATTTCCGTCCACAATAATAATCCCCTTGCCCGCTGCTTCCCTCGTCCAAGATAACGCCGCCTCTGCCCTTTCTTTTCTTTAAAAGTTCCGCCCCCCAAACCACAAAAGAGACTCCCCTCATCCAAAGTAATAATTCCGCCTCCAAAAAACCAAAACAAAAGTCGCCTCCCTCGTTTTCCAAAGCCCGCCGCCAATTAAATCCAAGCGCAATTAATTATCTCCTCCAGAAATCAGCCGCCAATTCCGTGTCCGGCCCAATTTCCTCAAAATGACAATCGCCTCCTTTTTCGTGCTTTCTCCACCTGTAATATATCAAGCTCATGACACTAGGTAGTAATGGTTTTTCAACCATTCTCGGGTTAGCGAGCCCTAAAATAGCACCAATTGGCTAAAACATACCACGGATAATCACATAAAGTCCAAGAATTCAATATGTTAAAGCCGATTATCAGCAGCTAAGGAGAATCTTATTAAATCTATTACTTTGGCATTAACGCTACATGTGATGTCCTGAGTCAAATTGCCCCTCTCGCTGTGTCGCCTTTTGGACAAACATGTGGCTCGCTTCTGGTGGGGTGATAATGAGGGCCACTCTCGAATTAGGTGGATGGCCTGGCGTGACATGTGTAGGAATAAACATGAGAGGGGAATGGGGTTCCGTCGGTTTGAGCATTTCAACCAAGCTCTGTTAGCCAAGATTAGATGGCGTATTCTTGTGAAACCTAACTCCCTGCTGGCCCAAGTCTATAAGGGCAAGTATTTCCCTTCAGGGCACTTCCTCACTGCTAAAGCTCGATCTCGCCCTTCTTGGGGGTGTCAAAGAATCTTGTATGGTCGGGACTTACTGGGGATGGGCCTCAGGTGGCAAATTGGGAATGTGCGTTCGGCGTCTCTACTTTGATCCCCATGTATTCCTCAACTACAACTTGATCCTCCGCGGTATAATCCTATGGTTCTGCCAGAAGGGGGTGACCCTACAGTGGCAGAGGTGATTTGTCAAGGGGAGGGGCGTTGGTGTGATCTCAAACTCAGCCAGTGGTTTGACCCCCCTACTTACCGCATTATCAAAACTATTCCCCTGCCGCGGCAAAACCTGGAGGATAGGTTGATCTGGCACAATACTTCGGATGGGGTGTTCTCGGTAAAGTCAGCCTATCATTTGGCCGTCTCACTAGATAAGAGAAAGGGTCGGTGGAAGGCGTCAGCGAGTTGGATGGATAAGGCCAGTTGGATCCGTTTGTGGGAAGCTAATATCCCCCCCCCCCCCCCCCCCAAGCTTAAGGTGTTTGTTTGGCAGATTCTGAACCGGATCCTCCCCACCACGGAGGCCCTCATTGATAGAAAAATACATGCTCATCCTCAGTGTCCGATCTGTTGGGGTGGTCCGGAAACCATGGAGCATTTGTTTTTGGATTGTCCGGTCGCGCGTGCGCTTTGGGGATATTCGGGGCTGGATTATTTAGGAGAGGGGTTGCCTCAACATACTGTTCCTCTGTTCCTTGAGCGTTTAATGGCTTTAATCCAATAGCCTCAGCTTCTTATGGCAGTTGTCTCCATCCTGTGGCGCATCTCGAGATCTCATAATTGGGTTGTCTTTGAAGGCAAGCAATATGTGTTCCCTGCGTTAATGCGACAGTTTTCCCAGCAAATTGAGGAATGGGTGGGGTTGCCGGTGGAGGCGCCCCCCAGCTCCGTCGCCCTGTAGTACAACAACCTGGGCTGTCGAGTCCCGCTGTTGGGATTGTTTGTCAATGGGATGGGGCTACTAGGAAGGGGTCTCATTCGGCAGGTGGGTGGGTTCTTCTCGCTCCGACTGGGGATGTTCTTCTGGCCAGTGGGGTCCAGTTCCCTGGGATTGATGAATCGGCTGTGGTGGAACTGTTTGTGCTCCGAGAGGCTATTCTTTGGTGTTTGGGCCATGGGTTCACGGAGGTAGGGTTTGAAGTGGACGCCAAGGTGATCATTGACAAAATCAACCAGGCAGATATTCGAGATAACCAACTGGGCGTGGTTCTAGAAGAAGTGTTGCAAGTTGTTGGCGGTACCTCTGGGTTTAGTGTTTGATTCATAGGTCGGCGTAGTAATAGGGTAGCCCATATGGTGGCTAGAAAAGCCCTCGCTTTGTACCCGACTATGAGTCATTTTTTTGATTTTCGAGCCTAGTTGATGTCCATGATGTAACTATCTTTGTTTGAAATCAATATATGATTATCTTTTGTAAAAAAAAAAAACACGATATTTACTGGACTACACAAAAGACGGGAATAAACTAATTTCCTCTAGATGACCTTCATTATCAAGTTCGAGTACGAAGCTTTGTTTGACAGAAAATATTAGATGACTACCAAAACCACAACAAAAATTACTTAAGATACAATTTCAAAGGTACCGCTATAAAATAAAGGGGAAAATTTGGCAGCAGGCTGGGTTGCTGCCCGCAGCAGCTGCCTGTCCACATGGAGCTCCCCCATTGGCTCAATATTTATTATTTTTAATTATTTCATGGCTAGCCATAATTGTCTATTGGAATGGACGGAACGAAACGAAACAATTTCCGTTCTTTCTTTTTTCCCTTTCCCACTGTAATTAACTTTACTGAGCCTATATCAAATAATATAGTTTGGTTAAAGTTTAATACCTAACGAATATAATTCTATATAAATTAAGTCTAGTACAAATAAATCATTCAAAATGGTATCAATCAAAATTATATAATCTGTGTACTTTTTCCCATTAACGATAAAAGTAATTCTAAGAAAATAATCTCCTGAAATGCAATAATCCTTCTGAGATACTTAAGAAAAAATAAATGTTGTCAATATTCTGCACCGTGTAGATTAGGATTTGTCATCATGGCATCCTACAAATATAACAAAGACCATAATTATATTAGTGTCTAAATTTTAAAAGAAATTATTAAAATAAACAATAATTGGATCTTCTTTATACCTGTAACAATTGTGTGAATGATATATTGCTTAAAGAAATAGCGGAATCAATGTTTCTCCAACTAGACTGATAATTGAACTCTAAGACTGGTGCCCAATCACCATCTGAATATTATAATAATTATTACATTATGATTGACAAGATACTTTCACGTAGACTTTGATATAAGTGAAAACAAAATACTAGCATTCTAATTTGGATGAAAAAATATATATGCAAAGTAAAACCTGATTGTTTTGTTTTAGCACTTCAATAGTGCTTCCAAAATATATAATAAGAACTAGCTTTGAGCTTCTTACCCTATATATAATAAGATTTTCAAAATAAATAATATAAGAAGATAGTATAATACTTTTATCTTATAAAACAAACAGAAAGGAGAAAAAAGAACCTGTGATTTTGATTGAACCTTGTGACTTTTTCCTCGCTCTAATGCACCTTTCATTATTTCTTTCAGTCGTCCAACCGTAGCTTTTGACTTTACTCCAACTACATTTGGATAATCTTGTTCATGATTAGAGCATAATACCTCATAAGAAGTTCCAGCATGTGAACTTTTTTCATTTCCTGCAAATTCTTCAGCAAATTTGAAAAAACTTCACATGCATGCTCATACATTCTATCGCTCTCGGCTGCCAGTGTGGATATCTCTCGAAATTATAATGCAAATCGAAGTAACGCTTCCCAATGAGTTTCTCAGAACTTCCCTGCACTCGACTTGAACTGCTGATATATCCATCTTTTGCATCCTTTGTCCATCTTTTTTATATATATTGCCTTGGGATTTGCTTTATATTTTTCTTGTCAAGAACTTTCAAAGCATGAGAACACAAAATCCACACAAACTCAAACTTCATGCAACTACATTCAACTCTTTGAGGCGAAGACTCAAACCAGACACGATGCCCTGCACCTCTACCAGCATATTTCACTTTATATTCCGCCCGACCTTTGGTTTTGCTCATCTTATCAATTGTGAAATCCCAAACTTTCAGATATTCTTCTTCGAACAGCTTAAAGATTTTAGGAGTGTACACTTCTGATGCATGCCTTAACATCTCAACATCGGCTTTTAATGCAGGGCTTGTGTTCCTCAATTTGAACTCTGCAAGTAGTTCTTGGTACCTTCTATCTTCTACCAATTGATCATAATGATAAAAAAAATAGTATAACATATTGTGTTTCGGCTTCAGGTACTTCTTTAACACACTATTCATTGATTCACTGCGTTGTGTACTCTTCATATCAGTAGTAAACATATGACGCCCATAAACCATAACCCACTTTTCTTTTACTGAGAATATCCCTTGCAACCATTCATTATTCTCCAAATCATACTTTTTAAGCATAGCATCCCAACCTTTATACCATTCATCTTCATAGTCATATACACATGAACTAAAATCACTAGCAAATTGGTTGGATGCATGAAACACTTAGCTTAAGTGTTTAGCATCATTCTGATAAATATGCCAAACACATAAACGATGATGAGTTTCAGTAAATACCTCTTCAATTGCTTTGGCCATAGCAGCTGATTGATTTGTCAATATGGTTTTGGGTTGCCTTCCAGCTTGCACCCAAAAATGCTTCAAACAACCACTTGAAGGAGGATATTGTTTCATCATAAAGTAATGCTGCCCCAAAGATCACTGTCTGCTTTAGATGATTGACTCCAAAAATGGAGCAAACGGTCAGCCATACTCATTAGTCCTATATGTTGTATCAAAACATATAACATCGCCGAAGTACTTGTAATCAATTATTGATCTGCCATCAGCCCAGAACATATTCATAACAAAATCATCATCATCAAGCTGCAATGAGTAAACAAATGATGGATCCTCTGTTTGTGCTTTACGAAAATAATCCATAATTGTCTGACCATCTCCTTTAATCATTGTAGCTCGCCTTTGTGCAGCAATATAGTTTTTGTAGTCTGAATCCAAAAATCCATTATTTTGACGACCTCCATTTTGGATTGCTAGCAAATCAATAGTTGCCTTGATTGGCAACCCAGCTCTCTCAACATCATTTGCAATAGCTTTTTGAGCATAACTTATCTTTCTGTTGGACCTCAACATGTGCTTCATAGGAGTGGGGGCAAGGTCATGATTATGATTTTCTTCAAAAGAAACAATCTCTAGCAAGCCATCCTTTTTCAGTTGACAAGTCATTTGTGCTAAACAACTGATTCTGGTAATTGGTCGCTCAAAAGCCACATTCTCACGCCTTTTATCGAAACCCTTTTTGCCTTCTTTAGAACAACAAAATGTTCTTCTTTTCACTTGACCTGCTCACGTTCGCTTGACATAACGCTTCTTTACACTAAAACCAACACTGTGGACATATGCTTTATAAAATGCATAAGCACTATCATCGCCATCGAACTTCATGCCTATACATGGCACTTCGCTTTTTTCAGTCATATTATTTGCACCTCGTGTTTTGGGACTAGTATGATCAGTATCTGAAAGATAGAACATAATATCAATTTGTAAGCATATAAGAGCTAAGTATATCGTAACACAAAATATTGAATGATCACCCATATCAAAGCAACCCGTAAATACATAAAAATAGTACTCAACTAAAATAGTTCCTCAGTATTCATACCAAAATTTAAAATATACTGTGGGTTCGCAAGAACAAGTAGCTTAGTAGAATAGAAAAAATAATTCCTCATTAGCAGTATCTTTACAGGTATCAAATAGGTAAAAGCTAGTGCAAACATGATTATAAAAAGAGAACCCGTTGGCAATGACATTGTTCAAAATAAACCCAGCACGAAGATGATGATTCTTTTCGTTGAGAGGCGCTCCTGTTGCGGCTTCGGGTGAATCGGAGTGCAAAGAAGTATAAAACTCTTAAGAGGAAAAACCTAACGGGAAGCAATTGAACCTAAAATCAAAAGTTATTAATTATATAAAAGTGCAATTCTGTTCCACTTCTTTTTTTGGTAATATAATTCTGTTCCACTTCCATCTTGGAAAAAGAAAAGGGAAAAAAGAAGTCCATTCCAATAGGCAATTATGGCTAGCCATGAAATAATTAAAAATAATAAATATTGAGCCAATGGGGGAGCTCTATGTGGACAGGCAGCTGCTGCGGGCAGCAACCCAGCCTGCTGCCAAATTTTCCCCATAAAATAAATCAATCACTCAGGTACGTAACACTTTGTATAATTGTTGTCGCAGCTCAAAGATTCAACATCCTCTTCATATTATGGTAACAAAGATACAAAGAGAGATTAAGCGTCCAATTGTGCAGCTCAAACTAATCCATAGTATCCAACAACTTGACCCCAGTAGATAATCTAGAATCTTAAAAATAACTCTCAAGAACCATCCAACATGGACAAAGCCTTTCTGATGGTTGTCTTAGGTGAGTAAAACACACTTCAATACATAGATACAGTCCATTCCCTACAAGCACATAGCAGAACTTCTTGCTGCGGAATAAATTACAGAGCTTGCTTGACAAAAAGTACAGGTAGGTGCCGCCATGCTCGATGGTCCGCATCAGAAGCTTGGTCATCATACACCTATAAGAAACACGGTGTACATCCAATACTTCCACCTCCCAGCTTCGCCTACGTGGTTGTGGGATCGTTGATCACGCCCAAGAAGTCATCCTTTATCGTACCAATGCAGAACTGTTGATGCAACAGAGATTTCATTAGTAAACCTCCCGAGTTCATTAGGGTAGACCCAAGATACATATCAAGGAGAAACACGTTTCTCTGATTGAGATAGCTATAGCATATTTGATAGGCATTGTTGTTTAGAGATTCAAGCTCTTGGCGAGTGGTTAATTTCTTAATTTATGTGCAAATCAATTCAAATCAATTCAATGACATTCACATTTACTTCAAATAACACTGTCAGCTGAAGGACTCCCTCATTCCCGATATATGGATAAACCAGTGACATGCGCATTAGGCACAAATTCAGGGGGTCTAACTGAAAGGAGGATTCAAGAACATACGATTTCTGTAGCATCAACACGAGTCCCGATAATCTTCAAACGCACTTCACTATCCTTCTGGATCTTAACCTGGAAAATGCGCAAAAGTAAATGACAAGAAATTAGAGAAGTAGAGAATATTATATGCATTCATTATTGTTAGCAAGTAGATCACAGAAAGCCAACCGATCCATCAGAAGTTGTATAATTCGGCATGTCTCCAGACTGAAACTCCATGTCATCAGGTATCAACTACAGAACCAAAAGAAAATATTAGCACCAAGTTGCATATAGTAGATACATACTACAAGGGTTACTCATTCTTCGCTCATCAAGTTTCTTAGACAAAATTTAACAAGATATCCTACAAACACAGATACATGAAGCTTAAAAGTTTAAAACAACAAAGTTCAAGTTCCAAGTTCAGGAAACAGCTCAAGTATATATGCCAAGGTTAAAGAAGGCTACAATGGGAAGTATCAAATTGCTTCAATTTTAACAATCATGCTCTAACCTCCAGTTCCCACGTAAAAGGAAGGCCAACAACAGGAAAAATATCAAATGTCTTCAATAACAACATATCACAGTCAATCATCTTATACAACTTACATGGTTCGAAACAAAGATCTGCACTGGACCAGCTTCAGCGAAAAATCCCATCTACAAGGTATTATATTAAAGAATGTAAGATCACCACACTCCAAAAGTAAGATCCATGAAAGATTAACTGAACTACTTCCATACGAGAGACAACCATTCTACCTTGTTTACCATGGTGACAACAGCTTCTAAGATCTCGCCCTTAAATGGTCTGAACACAACACACTGGTACTTTACTGGAAAAGTCACGAAACCTGTACCATCTCTGATCAAACCTTTCCCAACGTTTTCTATGCCTGTTATTGCTACAACGAACCCATGTTTACCACTGCAGTAGTACAAAACAGTTGATTACAGAGAAATATATTAGAACCGTTTAAACAAGCCAGGTGTTCCAAGTAACTGAAACCAAGTTGAAATGGACGTTTTGCATTCACAGCCACGAGAACATAGCATAGAATCTGACACTTAACAAGAAATAAAAGCATCTATGTGACTGCAGTGCTAATATCAAGAATATGAGACATGAGCTACTCGCTCCTAATATCAATTCCTTCCCCTCATTTAATCACATGTTAAATGGAAGCAAAATTCATCTGAAGGTGAAGGCAACCTAATTGTTCGAAATTCTATGACGAAAAAAGGAGATCTGACATAGCAGCGTAGTCACTGAAGATCCATAACCAGAGTGATCAGAACCACTAGTATGTTCAAGGCAAGGAGCTCTATTAGACTGGTATCAGAAGTAACGCGAACTAAGATTAAAAAAAAAAAAAAAGACTCTTCATTTAAGTCTGCTCTTCCCTGCTACAGATATATACAGATAAAACCCAGAAACCCTGCCCCCTAAGGTTCATCAAAACTTTTGCCCTAAACTTCCAGGGAGTCCTCAATTTCTGCCCTGCCTACTTCATAGTCAAGTTACAGTAATTCCGACCCTAAAAATCATCGAACTACCATCGCAACTATACGAATCGTCCGAAATGTATTATCTTTTAAGCCTATCTCGACGAGAGGCCAGAAAAAGTATTCTCAAAACCTAAGTCACTGCTCGTGGTACAATATTTTCTTCACAGCCAAACGGAATCCCAGCAAATCGAGCGGGAAAAAGGAGAAGCGCGATCAGAAATGCTAGGAACTCAAAATCGGAAACCACGTTAGGGAATGAATGGAAAGGAAACCTGCAAGTCCCCTCAACATCTTTCATGAGCTTTGAAACGAGGTTATCTCGTAGGTTGCGACCGAAGTAGCGAGGATGCAACTGCATGTTCCTCTCCAATACGATGTGGAAGAACATTGTTGCGCTCGAACCTGTCTCCGAATAACCCACGTAGAATTCAGCGGCCCTTTGTTCAGAGAAGAAGAAAGAGAAACGGCCAAGTTTGTGTCTTTCTAATTTTTATGGTTGCTGCTTCCGGAATCGAAAGGGAAAGGGAAAGGGAAAGGGAAAAGGAGAAGAGGGTGGAAACCGGAAAGCAAAGAGCAGGGAAGAATTGGGGAAGACGCGTCTAAACCGATAATTGGGCCGTGCACCCGGTCCTTTAAGTTCTGGAGACCCGGCCCATGTTTTTAAGTGGAATTAACGTAGGTTTTTTAGACGTGGGTTGTTTGTTAGTTGGACTTGAAAATGAACATATGTGTCGAATTTTTGGTTTAAAAATTGAAAGATTTAAGATGCATTTGAATTGTAATATGAGAACTTCTATAGTATTGGTGCTTTAATGTACAATTTGAAGTTGTACCATAACGTTAAATGTATAAGTTCAGGTTGTACCATAAAGGAATTTGTACAATTATGTTAAGGTACAACTTCACAACTTGAAGTTGTACCATCACATAAATGTACAAGTTCAAGTTGTACCATAAAAGAATTTGTACAAAAAGTATAGGTACAATCTGAAGTTGTACCATAACGTTAAAAGTATAATAGGGGTAAGATTTGGGGTGAAGATTTGGGAAAAGAAGTCAAGAACAATAAGGGTCAGTTCAGGAAAGACGACGGTGTGGCTTTAAAGGACAAAGCGTCAATAGACGACGATATTGATTCAAGATAAGAAGGATAGATGAAAAGTGTTTGGTCGTCGCTACCACTTCGAAACTCGTCCTCCATCTCGTCTGAAAACATAAAAGAAAAAAGTGGGAGAGAGATGGTTGGAGGCAATCCATTTTGTCGGAGAAGGAAGCAACTTGAAATGCTCGCCGAGAAATAGTAAAGGACAAAAAAATTGTTTGGAGGTGAAGAGAGGGAGGGACGAGGTCGGATTCAATTTTGGAAGGGATTTGGAGGCATCTAAGGAGTCATTTGGAAAAAGGATTTCGACAATAGATTTACTGAATTCGCGGATTTTGTAGGAAGTTAATTTTTTTTTTGTGTGGATTTTGAATTTAGAGATTTGATATCTCTAAAGCCAAAATCCACAATATAATCTCTAAATCTGCGGATATCGTATCTCTCGTAAGCAGAGAGATTATATATCTTGATTCGTGAGATTTTTTCCTTCTACTTAATACTTTTCTTTTTTTATTTATTTATCCCACTAAAAATATGCGTATAAATAAATTCTCAATATATCTCGAACCATTTAAATATTTTATTATGGATAAAAAATTGAATTTGAATTTTTATTAAATGTTAACAATCACAGTTAACTAACAATAAACATTTTAAATATTTTTTAGAAGACCTGAATAGTTAAACATCTTTGGATTGTTTATAATCTATAAATTTAGACTCATATTCTCAAAACGACCCCTAAATCGCGGTTGGCTATGCTTTAGAAAGATGAGGTGGTTGATTGTGAACTATTTTTCCTCTAAAGTGCATTTGACCTCTAAACTTGGGCTTAGAATAGTTGAATATAATTTTGAAAGGAAGCGAACTGTAGCTAAGGAGGAGATCCTCCCCTACGGACGCGACTAGGTGAGTTCTTCTCTATTTTGTCTTCTTGTATTCAATATGAAAGGGACATACACTATGCTTGGGTCGTTCTTCTTTATCTTGTCTTCTTGTATTCAATATGAAAGGGACGTACACTATGCTTGGGTCGTTCTTCTTTATTTTGTCTTCTTGTATTCAATATGAAAGGGACGTACACTATGCTTGGGTCTCTATTATTGATGTGCATTGTTGTTGTCCCGTACATGCATTATTGGAGACGTTTAATGCCGTTGCATGTGCTTGTATCATCACATAGCTGTCCATTTCCATTCCTATAAAACCGTTCATATCTTTGAAGGGGATTCTCACAGTTTTCTTCCTTTCTCGAGCCGTTGGATGCTCTTTCATTCTTTTTTTTTGTTATACTTGTTTCTTCTACAGTTGCATAATTGTTCATAGGATGGTCATTTCATGGAATTCATTGTTATTATCGCCAACCATTTCCTGTGGTTTCTCAGGAGCTGTAGCCTTCCTTTTTGAGTCATGACGCGACTGGTTGGGTAGGTTGAGGCTGTTGCTATTGTTGTGGAGCTGATGCACACAATACTGTTGCTGCCATTTCTTTCACCGCCACCGCCAAGTTTACTGAAAGACAATGTTGTTAATGAATTGTTGGTGTCGTCTGTGGCAACAGCTGTCACGGTGGTGATTGGGCTGGGGGAGGTGGAGGCGGGAGCGGCGAAAGCGGTGGAGGTGTTGGTCGTGGCGACGCACTGGCATGAAGGGCACATGGTGAGGGTGGTGGCAGGGAGCTGCATGTAGAAAGGCTGGGGTACGTCTCGACATGACCGGTACCTGACGACGGAGTTTAGCTGGTCGGAGTGCTTCCTCGTCAGGTCCTCGTTGACCACTCTTTCAGAGATTGGCTAAGAGCTCGCTTTCTTCGCCGAACTCACACAATTTTGTTGTCTGTTTATGCATTGCCAAATATAGTCCACTGTATCATTCAAAAAAATATGCTCATACTTCTTTGCTATGGTGAATGTACATGAAAGTTGTTGTCACTGTCGATTACCTAAATCAAGATTCAACCATAAACTAAATATTGCAGTAGCTGGATAAATATGCTAAATATTGCCGATTTCTGGGTACTTACTCAAGTCAATTTTTTAGCCAGCTACTTAGAACCTGCATGCATCGCGATCAACATCCAATTCATGGTTAAAAAAAACTCAGAAACGCTTTGGCTAAAATTTGCATGCAAAAGAAAACAACAAATCGAACTTAGAGCAAAGAATCGTACGGACAATTTCCAATTTCCAACCGCCACCAATCTACTTCCAGGGAAGCTTGAATCTAAAGGAGCACCCAGGCACGGAGCGTCGACGATGGATTGTGACCCTGTGATATTTGGAGGTAGCGACCGGAGCAAAAATCAACTAAGAAATTGATTCGGATGAGAATGAACGCTCTGGTCTTTGTCGTGCTGTCATGTTTGCGGGGCCTCTCGATCAGATTATGATTTCTTGTCCCTCGTGAGTTTTTGGCGTTGGGCTGTCCTGTTTTGTTCTTCGAATGTTTGATGTTTGTCTTCGTTTCTTTCCTCTTTTTTCGTTTTTTGTTCGCTCTTCGCTGGCCTGTTGAGGTTAATTACTCTTGCCGGTCTCTTTGTGTTTTGTTTCATATCTACTATTTTCCCCTCCAGGTTGATAAGATAATATCTTCTAATCTCTGTTTGTTCTTGTCAGACTTTCTTTTTGGCCCAAACATCTCTTGTAGGGAGTGACATATGAAATGGAGGTAATGATATATGTATGTATGTATTAAGATTGATATAAATTTTGATCCCTGAATTGAGAGTAAAACTCTTAGGAAGACAAAACAGGCATAATTTTAGAAAGTTAACGTCGGTGGTCAATTATTATGCTGCCTGTTGCAGTACTGCTCATAGGAAGACAAAACAGGCATAATTTCCAGACTTGAAACTCATTTATTATGGACGATGATAAGTCCAACTTACTATTTATATACAGTGTGTTGTACGTTTCTAAAATATGGTTGTTATTATAAAGCAAACAGTTCTCAAAGACAGTTTATGCATGGAAAGATTTGTACATTTGTTTTTTATATGTTTTAATTTTACATTTTATAGTATTTTACGTCAATACCTCGATTTTGTGTGGATGGTATTATGTTTATGTATTAAATATGCAGGTGTAAGGTTGGAGTTGACGTTCACCTCATTTGTGGTCTGCTCTTCACATATTTCTCGAGTAAGCTATATGAAAAGGTAAGATTGTTATGAATAACTAGAGAGTTTTGCCACACAATTTCTTTGCTATTAGATTTGATACGTCTAATTGACATGAAGAGCGGTAAAAAAAATAACCAATTGAGTTGGAGACCACTAAATTAAATTGATCCGTTGTAATGTAAAGCAAATATTAGTAATTGAGGATTTGGTTGCCAATTAATCCTTGCTCGTGAAGTTCAATGGAATTTTGAACATATGAAATCAAGTTTTAATTGCAATGAGCATAAAAAATCAAAGATTGTAAAATTATATTGAAAGGTGTGCAGGAAAAGTCAGGACGTGATATTTTATGTTGAAAATATAATTTATATATGGTTCAACCTATTCGTATCGCTAAAAATCACATACTAATTTAAATTATATAATAAATTTCTCACGACCAAATCGTGAGATGTAATAGACAAATTCATAATTACTAATTATCTAATTAGTAATTATAAAAACTCATCGATTACTCTGCATGTCAAACAAATTCATTATGGCCACAATAGTAAATATACTATTCTATTTACAACCCCGCCATAATATCTCCTATTTTCCCCAAATACTTTTGTCTTTTTCTACCCAAACAAACCCTCCAAAGCCCTTTTCTTTCTCAGCTTCTCTAAGCAGCTCACTCCATAACCGTCATCCCTTTCCAAGCTGTCGTCCCTTCTTGCCATCTCACAACAGCTCCCTTCTCTTTAAATGTATGTTGATTTGTGACTTTGTATCTTGGTAGATTTTTCTTGTCATGTCGATGGATTATCTTTTGCCAACTTTTATGCAAGGTAATTTTTTTAATTGGACTACCTGTGTATGTGGCGCATGTTGTTGTCTGTCTCAACCACGAAATAATGGATGTTGTATTTTTGTAGATCCTATCGTAACTTTGTTGCTCATTCGTCATCTGGGTGGATTTGCTGTGGATACTCATATTGTCGCGAGACTTATTCATATGTGGACGACAAAAGAGTGTGTTTGTATGACCAGTCCTCCTGTTATGTATACACATTGGGTTGACAGAGAGGTTGTGTTTATGTTGTGGTTTATTTACATGTTCGAGTTGCTTGTTATTGTGATGATTTGTATGAGTTTTCGGATGCAGGAGGACATCATTGAAGGTTTTACCATCCCCGGGGATAGTGGTGTTGTTGGTGCCCTTATTCGTGTTGGTGGGATATACAACATGAAACTTGCGCCCTTGATCCCGGCCAGCACTACAGGAAATTCATTGTGAAATGCTCCGTGTGATTTGCGATTTCATTTGACAAGAACCCAATCTTTTGTCAAAATTCCTAACAACAATCCGCCGAGATTGGCTTTATTTCCTTTGATGATTTTAGGGACACACAATTTGAGGACTTGGTACAAATGTGTGATGATTCACAACACTTGGCAGTTGATTTTTTCCGTTTGTTAAGTTTAAATATCTTTAATTGGACGCTAACATTTGTCTATTTTCATATATAAGTGGGTGTGTTCTTTCATTGTCGGATCAACAAAATATCTCAAATAGATTCATGTCATTTGATATTGTTCTCGAGAATTCAAGGTCATTGTTCGTAACTTCTAGTGATTTATTATGTTCGTCGTTTGGTGTTTTTTAATTTTTTCCAATTGATGTGCAGGAACAGGTTTGTAAACATTAAGTACGTTGGTAAACATGATCATTATATTGGAGAACTTGCTGGCATAGGTGAATTATTATCTCCCGTTGTGCTAAATTTTACTAGCATTTTAGTTGCGAAGACTACTAAATCAGATGACCTGGGTACGTATTGGGGCATATGATTATTTTATTGCATATATTTTTTTTGAGTTATTTTAGTTTTTTTTACATATTAAATTTTTTTGCAACATAGATTTTTTCAATAGTATTTTTAGATGAATTGTTGTGCATCTTGTGGTGAAAGGGTACTTTATTCTTTATTTCCTGTTTGTTTGGAGGACTTCATTTGGTTTTTATATATGTTGTTAGCTCGCCTTTGTGATCTGATGTACTTTGATACTATAGTTAACTTGATTTCAGACTCTCTTTTTATGACAAGCACTCTAGGCAGTCGTATTATTTATGGTTATTACACTCATCGATATAGGACACTATATGATCGGTAGGTTTTTCGACGAACATCAGGCGATTCGAAAATTTGAGGAATCACCACACCATCCTCTTAGATTCCGCCGTGGTTCACTTCCTTCTCGCGTGACTATTGATAAGTTGGCTTCACTGTACGAGATCCAGTGTAGTGATTTTCAGGTTTTTTATTTTAATTATTATTGATTGGGATTATTCCACGTGGGGTTTCATTTTGTTGTTGTGGTTGATTTTGAATGGGGTAGCGTGATGTTGTATTTTGATTTTTTGTGTGTTTCCAGGGACGTTATTGGTGTTTGGTTCGAATCGTTAGGATTCCTCATAATCAGGAGGTCTGTTTTGATTATAATGGTTGGCAGAGGTACAATATCCTGAACAAGCACGATTTTTTTAATTTAACTTTTTTTTATATTTGTTAATAGGAATCTTGACTGTTTCAGGTTTAGGAGTATCGTTTGTTGTAGAGATGCCACTAAAACTTGCAAAATTATTTTTGAATCTTCTCCACTTACAGCATTGTTTCGGATGCCGGTTCAAGAGCATTGTTTACTCAGTCTCGATGAGCGGATGAAATTTTTTGAATGCCTTGAAGTGCGTGTATGTTGTATATGGGATCCATTATTTATATCTTTATCGTCAACGTAGGCATGGTATCCAAAATGATCAATCGTGGTAGACGGTACTATCTTGATGTAATTCCTCATTTTCTGTGGTTATGTCTTTTGTTATGTATCACATTGTAAGCGGTTGTTATTTTTGTGTGTTTTCTGTCAAAATTTGGTGAACTTGTGTATTTTATGGAATTTTTTTACCAAATGTTATATATATATTAGGAGATGGTCCTCTTTGTAGAGTTGTAGTTGAAGTTTTTTCTTGTGGATGGTCACGTTAAAAGTTCATATGAACTTACCTTTGATATTTTACAACTTAATTTGGATAATTAGCAAAGTTTATGGTTATTTTAATAGTATACGGGATATAATATTGTTAATTTATGCTTTTTCATTTTAACATTATACAGAATATTGATGGATCAAAAAGTAGATGTAGATCTATATGGATTGTCGGTTTGCGTGGTCGAAAAGGGTGCATGTGGTGCACTTATTGTGGTAGCTCTTTTTTGTAATGAAGAAATAGTTTGGTAAAATTTAGTAAAGTTAGTGAAAACGGATCGCATCTATTGGGGATGGGGAGAAAAGAGAAAATAAAGAGAAGAGGAAAAGATGGAAAGGAAAAGGAGAAACAAGTATGCCGGGAAAGCTATAAGGCATCCCATATAAAAAGTAGTGCTACTATTAGCTGTGAGTCTACGATCAACATATGAAAGACCAAAAAGGTTAGAGTAAAAAAAATAATAGTTGTAATTATTTGATTAAAGTATTCTGTCGAACATGTCAAATCGTTCATCTTTCTTTGGATGGCCAATTTCATGTACATATTTCTATATAATAATGTACATTTTGCTCGTGATCTTGAAATATATCCCAGAGTAATGCATCTGTCTGTTTGCAGTAAAAAACGCTTCATTTGCGAAACCGAAACACCAAAATGTCATTGTTTTCTCGCATGAGGGAGCTAAAACACTTTGTGCAATCTATGATCAATGAGGTACACGTCCTTGTTTCTTTGGTTTAGTTACTTAGCCCATCATTGATTCGTTTTTTCAATCTTTGTAAATTCTTGTTGTGTTGAAGGGAATTTTGGACCATCAGTTTTCCCAAGTTCGAGCTCTCCATGATGCTACTAATCCTGAATTCGTAGCTGAAGTTATCAACTCTTTCTGTTGTGATGGTGATAGGATCGTCAGAGAGATCAACATGTATTTGTATGATGTTTGGCTATTTTTTGTACCATGTATTGTAATTCCGTCTATTTTTTGTGTCATTATGGTCGCCAAAATTTTAAAACGCCAGTTATTAATTTTTTGTCCGTGCGTTTTGCAGAGGTGTTGTTGACGTGAGTTTTTCTAAAATGGAAGAATCCTTGCATCAAATTAGAGGCAGTAGCTCCACGTTGGGATCTTGAACTTTTTTTTAATGTTGTTCGTCATTTTTCACAGGTGTTTTGGTGTGTGCTGTAACGTTTAATTTGTGTTGCTTTGTATTTTTAGCATTGGGGCACGTCGCCTGAAGGTTGTTTGTGACGAACTTCTTCAAGCATGTATTGACAGAAACAGGGATAGGTTAGTTCACCGTATTCTTGAATATCAAAACAATTTTCTGGGTGTGTGGGTTGCATAGTTCATTCCTTAAAGCATCTCTGTGTTTTTTCTACAGGAGTATACGTGTTGCTAATGATGTCACTCGAGAGTATTGCATTCTTTGCAACAAGTTGGGAAGTGTACTTGAGGTAGAAAATTTTCCGTTATATACTTATTTTACACTTTCTGATAGTATAGACAATTTATTGAGCTCGTCTTTTTATTTCCAGATGGAGGTTGCAATTTTTGCAATCCAAAGATCTCAGAACTAGAGCATGGTTGGAGGGGGTTTGGTAGTACGTGTTTCTGTCGTTTAATGTATCTTTGGGATATCTTTTATAATATTGTTGTCAATGAACGATGATCTTCTTGTATGAATTGTTATTTTTGGGAATTGACTTTTTACATTTTTGCTTTGCTTCTTCATTATATATGTGACGATTATGGTTAGTTGTTTAGCCAGAATGTTAATTGTTGTTGGAAATCGTTTAGCGTGTCGTCGAAAGTAATGTGTCGATGTGCGTAGGATTATCTTCATGATGAAATGAGCTTGATATTAGTATGTTGTATCATTTTCTAATTTTGATTGTCAAATTCATGGCACCGTTATTCCATTTTTCCCCAATATTGACAAAATTAACAAAATTTAGAGGCATGTGTTTTACTTTTAGAACTCACCGGATTATTTGCTGAAAAGTTGGGAACTATGTTGTGGTCCTTGAACGAGCAAAAATTTGGCAGGGAAAGTTTGATTCCTCTTTAGTGACTATCCATATCACACCCACAGTGCACCCTCTAACCCACCATCATGTGATCCATTCATCAGGAGACCATCTCTATTTGGGTAGCGACATGTGTTGGGGTGCTATATATACAGCTTTGGCATTTTTGGTATTGTTACTGTTTCAAATTGTCGAATTTTTTTTTTGTCTAAAAGAGTTTATTGTATATTTTATCTTTTTTTGATAACTTGTCCACTAAATTGCATAGAGACTCTAATCATAATCATTAATGCCAAAAAGGCACAAATACAACAACAGTTCTGTATATTTGTCAATCATAATTTAGTGGCGTTGAAAATAAGGTGCGCCGAATGGTTGAAATAATAAAGTGGCCGACAATATTAAGAAAGCAGAGTATTAACATGTATGAAAGAGCGTGTGAGGAAAGATTGCAGATGCATACAAGGACAAACGTGCGTTGCTCTTGATTTGCCTATCCGGTCGATGAAAATATCGAACATGTAATTCGGACTTGCTTGTCGTTTGTTGTATAGGGTATTTTGTCTCTTGATTTTTCTTATGAAGTATTGGGTACTTTGTCTAATTATTTGTATGCTATTTGGTCGCGTCAATCGCTCGGACCTTCTCAATATATTCCATATTTCAATTCACATATCGTTGATGACAAATAATATTTGTTATCGGAGTAAGAAACCAAATTATTAATTATAATTTTCACCATTAAAACGAAATGCCTCACATTAATTGGTATATTTTTTAATTTATATCACCGTGAACTTTATTCGCAACTAATTTGTTGGGTATTGGACACGTATTTTCATGGAAGATTAGGGATTTTTCATCCATCTAAGTATAAAAGATATGCATCTTTACATTTTACAGTTTTGAAATATCTGAAGTTAAACTCCACGCTACAAAGAGAGAAAAATAACTTATGCTAGATATATTGATCTAATGAACCTATACTCAAAATTCTTTTATCCAAACGAACCGTAAAAGCAACTTTACATTTTGATAATATGTGTTATTTTTAAAACATATATTAAAGCAAACAAAGTCTAAACATAAGACGAAATCAAAGATTACTTAGTATTTCTCGAGAACTCGAAAACTTTCTTAGGAATTTATGAGTCATTTACTTAGTCTGTTGCGTTTGCACTATTTATTTGGTTCTTGAGCAAATAATATATCTAAACCACACATACTATTCTTTATCAATGTCTAAATAGTAGATAGACAAACCAACCTGATGAAATAACTGAAATTAAAGAATCAAAGATAATGTATGTTTGGTGTACACGGTGTCCAAATAGTAAAATTCATGTTACAAAGAATAAGAAATTGATAATTTAACGGCATGAGTTTCTTTGAGTGACCAGAGGGAAAAGATACAATGCCATTAAAGGTAGCCGTGTGGCATTTTTATTTTGGGATGCATAAATATGCCAGTCATGTGACATTTTTAATACATGGCTCTAAGTGTGTTCCGTTCAGTCGTACAAACCACAATCCCAAACAACCTTAGGTATATGGAACGTGTATGGTACTGTGTTCGACCCTTGTCGGTTTCATGGAGGGTAGTGTGGTTTGATTATGCTTGCAAGCTAGATGATGGGTCAGTCCACCAACTATAATTTATTATCCTTCTTTTATTTTACCTAAGGGATTCACTATTCAGTGCAAGTGAAATGTACAGGAAGTATTGAATATAAACAAGAAAATACCACCATGTACGCGTGTCGCCCGTGAACATACTGGCAGGGTAGCAGCTGCTCCAGTCAACTTGTTCCATGAAAAAAAATGAAGTAATAGCTACATATATACCGCTACGGCTGCCAACTAGAAGAGTCGTAGTAAAGAAGATGGTGGAAGATGAATGATAGTACCAAAATTATTTGGAAACTATAATTAAGAAAATTCGTCATTTTGTAAAAACTCCCAAGGTAGGTAGATGGGTATTCTACTAAAAAAAATAACTGAAAATCGAATGTAAATGGCTGGGGACTTGAGCTGTATCAAATCAGCATGAATTCAAATCCTCCTATGTGGACAAAATATAATATGGGAAGGTAGATATCTTTAAGAGATTGTATCTTGTATCTCAATTTTAAGGTAAACATAGTAAAGATAATATGGTAGAGATCGAATCTTGAGTCGTGATTTTTTATCTGAAACTCTTTCGCCATTATTATTTCATTTGACCATTTTCCCCGTTTGCCTTACGTATGTAGACAATGACAAAGGGTAAATAGTGGGACCAAAAAATAAAATCGCTTTCTGGTATGAATTGGATCGCCCAGACTAATTTTTGTTTGTTGTGCGTGACATGTTGCACTTGTTAAATATTATTGCATACGATGTCTATATATAGCGTAAACAGCAATTAAGGTTGAATGTTTCATTTTTTTACATAAATCCTACTGGTGTTTGATAGAAGTTGAGAATTTCAATACAGACCAAGAAGTTTTCTCAAGTTATCCTGAATGGTAGGTATATGTTAACTTATTTATTTCGTTTCTTAATATGAACGGAATATTAATGTTTCTGATTGCTTCCTCAATTTCATAATAGTTATTTGAGTGTGATCTCCCGTGGAAATGGAACGACTTTCTGTGATTTGATGTTCCGGCAATGGCTTGTGACTACCTTGCTGAAAACTCCATTACCGGGGTTCAAAATTTTTGCAGTTGATGACAAGCATTGTCTGATGAAGTTAGCAAACAACCAAGTATTCACTGCAGATGTGGAAATAGTTGGACCTGAATCACCTCTCTCTGGTTTAATCAATGTTACTTGCTTATTGCATCCATTGACATATTATTTGCCCAATATGTAATAAAGTTATCAATGAACAATTGTTTTTCTTATTATAAACAATCCAGCCATTATTTGGGTGACTTCATTAAGGTGTCGCTTGTAGGGGGTTCTGGGTAGTTTTGTTTGTATAGCTTTTTTCCTCTCATGATATCACTCGAAAATAAATAAATAAAAAACAATCCTAGCCATTATTAATGCTCAATTCATCTGGTATTTCTCGAATTTCTTGGCATGCATTTTTTATATAGTTTTATTATTTTTTTAATAATTTAGTGGGTTTCTATCTTATGTGAATGTAAAATGGTTCGTGCTTTGCATATATATAGATATATATTCCTTGCTTCTCATTTATCATAACTATTGTTGTGTTTATTTATTATTATGATATAAATCAAAATGTTTACATTGTTTTTTTTGTTGGATTCTGTAACTATCATAATTTATACACGATAATTTAAGAGTCCTTCACGCATTCTCCGCACCGGAGCGCGGGCTTAGTTGCGAGTAGATGAATAATCTAGGATGTATAACCTTGCAGAACAAGATCTAGACTCTTGAGTTTAAGTGGGGACAGTTAGTAATAATTTTTTTTTGTTTTCTTAATCGGATTTTATTTTCTTTGTTATAACTTGGATTTCAAAAGTTTTTGCACAAATGGAACGAGTTCGTTGTAATCTACAAAATGAGATCATTTTTCAATATATTTTGAGAAAAAATAAATTATACACTCGCTACCACTTGATACCAGCTTCATTTTTAACTCGAATTTTGAAATTTTTTGCCTAGAAGGAATGAATTCATCGTGATCAATTGGATCTACTAATTTCTATGGGTGAAATTTGCAAGAGAAAATATACCACCCTGGTATAGGGTGGTAACTGGTGGTAGATAATGATTGAAACGCTATTACACAACACTAAACTATAACCAAGTGTAATAGCAGTTAGGAAATGCAGAATAGTGGCAAGTTCAATTTGTCAACCCGGGGTCTAGATCTACTGCCTACTACGTGATTATCTATTATCTAATGAGACTAAGTTGAGTGAATGTGATTTTAAGCTAAAGCAGTAAGAAAGCAGGAAAATATCGAAGTTCTTAAGCAAGGGAAGAGTCACTCGGGAATGAATCCCCCTAGCTCCTTAGTTAGGTCAAAGTTGTAATTCCTTTTGGTTGATTCACTGTTGATTAAACTGCAGAAGATCCTAAATTAGCTTGGAATCTGTTAGGCTGACCAAGCCCTATTAGACAGAATACCCGACAAGCAACTAGCCTTCACCGGAATAGACTGCTAAGGCGATTCACACGGATCTCCACTACTAGAATGAATTCTAGTACAAAGCAGTGAATTGACTAACTCTCGTATAATCAATTCACTACTACCGATTGAAGAAGCTCTAACAACCTAATAAGATTCTATCTATCTCAGGTTGTAGCAGAAATCAAGAAAAGTTGATCAGGCTTCAATTGACTCAATCAAAACACTTCAATCGATTATAATCAAGCAATATATCAATCCAAACGTCATTACAATCAATATTTCTAACACGTGGAACTATGGTTCTTCATACCCAAGTGAGAGAGAGTTCTACTCCATAGAGAGAGAGAGAGGAAAACAAAATACAAAGCAGTCATATAAACATAATGATGGGAAGAATATGCTTTGGGATGAAATCTTCACTCCAGGGATGAAATCCAAGCTTGATTGATGAAACCCAGCTAAAAAATCACCTCTAGGGTTTGTTCTTCGCACTTTCTCTCTCTAAGGCTCTGTTTTTGCTCTGGAAAATCGTATTCTCCCTCTTTAGCTTGAAACAACCCTTTTAACCCGAGACTGGGAAAAACACGGTCGAGGACACGACCGTGTTTTACTTTTCTTGCCCGTGTTTTCGCCTCGTCTGTGAAATACACGCTCACGCTTAGTAAAACATGGGCGTGCCCAAGGAGTGACACAACCGTGCTTCAGAGCAGCCGGCGCCCGTGTTTTGGACTCCTCTGCAGCAATCACAATAAGGCTCTCAGCATAAAAAGCATGGGATGGGAACACGGTCGTGTTTAGGGTCAATGGTGACCGTGTTTTCTCCTTGCAACGATTCTGCTCGCTCACTAAAAAGCACTGGCGTGCTCCTAAGTGAAAATGGTCGTGTTCTGGAGTGGTATGCCCGTGTTTTTGCCCCAGCTCCACCGAATGACCTCCAAACGCCCCGATACTGTGACAAAATAGCACAACCTAGCGTAAAATAGGCCAAAGATATACGACTACGAGCCGCAAACGGATAAGAAATAAGGGTGTAAACATGTGCAAATACATCGTTATCAAATTCCCCCACACTTAACCATTTGCTTGTCCCCAAGCAAACCAAGTCAGACACAAGGTGCTCAAAACATCTTAACCATGCAAGCTTTAGGGATATATCATAACGGCGAAAAACACGTGAATCATACTAGCTTTTAGTCATCAACATATGAACAACCTCAACCGCAACCTAGAAAACTACCACAGATGACATTCGAGTGCGGCAAAGTCGAGCAAAGGAAAAGTCTCCCTTCTGTTCACCAACCAACATAGACTTGACTCAACCACTTATCCAAGACAATCACTTCATGCATAAAACTCAAGACATCAGAATCAAGATTGAGCAATCTAGTTCCTCACCGGGGTACAGAGTGTAGAGAATACAAGGAAATGAATCGCTCACTCTCGACCAGTGGGGTAAGGACAATTTGAGGCGAAAATTGTGCATGCTTATTCTCTCAATTCCTAACGTCTCTTCACAATGACGGCAACCTCTAAATGTTAGAGTTCACATATTGGGTGTCACCACTAACTATTCCGGAGGTCTTAGACACATGTTCAGATGACTGGCTAGGGTCTTGGACATGGGGAAAAAGCCTTTTAGGTGGTGGAAGTATTCATAACACAAGGTTCCACAGTTTCAAAACCAACTACAGCAACATTCATTCAAACCAATTACTTTCTTTCTGCCATTCTGCATTAATCACATTCTTAAGAGCACAAGAGTGAAGGAGGTCACAATAATGTTAGTATTTCTAAGCCAGACTGCTAAGAAGCACTATCTAATGAGCATGATTCAGATTTTTGGTAGTGGTTCTCTTTTGGTTTCATTCATTTTTTTCTTTATTATTATTTTTTTCTTGAGAGAACCACCACCTCTGCACGTTTTTCAAACACATGCCCAACTTTTAAGAACTACCTCCAACCCTCACATTATATTTAGTAGAAACAGCAGAGAACATGCAAAAACCACTCTGTGGAACCTCTAAGAGATGCAAAAGGGTGATTTTCATTGTAGACTGAAAGAAAAGAAAACCACACGACTCAAAGGGGCTGACTAGGGGGTATGACATTGGAACAGTCAATTTGGTCGTGGGCTAATCCTATGCCTCCATCATCTTAGCTAATGGCAACGTGAATGCTACACATCATGGAAGAGGGATCTATCACACCAGAAAGAAACAAGCAGAGTCAAATCTTACATGGCTACCTATATGCCCTATCTCTCATTCCGATCCTCTGAACTAGATGCATAAACGACTATAGAAAATAAGTGATCAATCCAAGTCGCAGTTGGTAAACAAACAGTTGAAAAACTGAACCCCCTACACAACTCTACTGCACGTCTCAGTCATCATTAACGGTTGTCCTAGTCACAATCAAGTTTTCATGCATCAATAGTAACAGCCAATCGATTCACCACATAAACCACAATGCCCCATATGATCATGCAAACATTAGTACTTGGAGCCCTCAAATCTCAAGATTTGGACAGCGGACTAGGCTCCAAGAACACACATATACGCTCCAATAAAGACAAAGCACCCCTCCCACTGAAGTTAGACATTGTCCTCAATGGAGTAGAGGGAAGGGGAACGATGTTACCGTGAAATGAAGAGCAAGAATGAGGACTGGAAGGCAGTCCAGTCAAGAGCAGGGGACTCGAAGGGGACCAGTCCAATTGCACAGCGCTAGAGTCATGAAAACACACACACACACACACACACACACACACACACACACACACACACACACACACACACACACACACACACACACACACACACACACACACACACACACACTGGGTGAAAGAAACCATAGTTCCATGTCTACAATCCAGATAAAAAAAAGAAAGAAAGAAAGTAAAAAACAAACGACATGGAGTCTCAGTCTGGAAAAGAAAGGCAGTACATAACCCTCAAAGTCCCACTAGAACACATCGCCAACTCGCCTGTGGGAGGTGGGTAGTCATCCTCGTGCCCAGGCGACTGCACGAGGGGTAGTGGAACGAGTTCTGGTCTAGGCCCAGTAATGCATGATGTAGTGCTGGCCAGACATGAGACGGCAGCCGCTGTCCCGCTCAAGATCGAGGCGGGTGTGGATGCGCTCCTGACTAGTTTGAATTTGCTCGTTTTGACGAGCAATGGCCGCTAACTGGTCAGAAACGGAGATCACGGGGGCGCCAAAAGATTCGGGGGCAGCGGCAGAAGGACCCGTGGGTGCATGGGCACAACGGGCAAGAAGGCGGGGGCCACGTTGCCCCCAAGCAGCAATCAACTCTGGCCGGTCGGCCCCGGCAGGAGCAGACACAAATGGCCTAGTGAGACCCGTGATCCATGTCAGAAGCCCTTCTCGCTCGAGCATATGCTGATGTCGGAGAGTAGCCTCACTGAAAGGGGTCGCGGCGCGGAGCATGGTCATGCAGCAGTGTCGACCCCATAGTAGCAGGCCAAGGCTGTGATCAATGATCCACAGACAAGATAGCGATCCCGACCAGCGGAGGCCTTAGTGAATGTGCGAGCGACAACAGAGCCCAACCCTATAGTATCCTCCTCCAGGCCCATCGCATGTATGAAATACAATGTTTGGAGGGTGACCCGGTTGGCAGAGCCCCGACTAGGAGTGTAGGACTGAGTGAGCAAGTGGTTAAGGATCCACCACTCCGGACGGAGTAGAGTGGCTCGCGTCTGGCTGGGTATGCACTCCTCGTCCAAGTTCTCAGGGAGGCAGATGCGCTCGAAATAAGCTTGGGCAGGAAAGGAGGTGGGATCAGTCTCTTCCACAAACAAGGCGCGATCGTTGGCATGGGGGGAGTTCAGGCCAAGTGCGGTGGCCAACTCCCAGTAACTTGCGGAGTGCTCGATCCTGCCGAGTGTGAAACAGACGACGTCAACATGGTCAGTCGGCTTCCTCTGTAAATGGGAGAAGGAAGCGTAGAACTCCCAAACGAGTTCCTGATAAGTCGGCCCAGCGAGGCAGAGGAGGCATCGCCAGCCATAGGCGCGAACAACGGCCTCCATCTCCCCTTAGAGCGTGGAGCGCCTCGAACACCTCAAAGTCCAGATGCAGGTGCTCGTAGATATGGAGGGTGCGGATGGTCCGCAGGTGGTAGCGTTGAGTAATGCTTAAGAGGTCCAGGTAGTCCTCCATGATCTTGCAAAGCAACAGAAAGCACAAATTCCACACAGCGGAGTGGGTTAATGTTAGGCAAAACCACACCGGGAGCCCTCAAATCGAAAGATTTGGACAGTGGACTAGGCTCCCGGTGGAACAAACAAGCAAACCAACCCCAAATAACCATCCAATCAGCCATTCACCAAGAAATTTCAAACCAAGCATACAAGGACACAATTCTACACATGAAATTGGTAGGCCGGCAAAACTAATTCATGGGAACAATAATTTCAAGCATATAACTCTGTCGGCCTACCAAAATGATCCAAGTTCGGGCCAAAATCTCAAGTTCTTCACATAGAACCCTAGGTATCAATTCTCCAAAATTTACCAAGATAAAATGAGAAACACACCTGGAGACACAAGTAGATACCACAAGGAAGGTGAAGATAAAAAATGCACTAAAAAATCACCGGAGAACTCATCGGAAGACTCGTCGGAGAACTCGCCGACGATGACTCAACCTCTGCCAAACAGGACCAAACTTCTGGGGAATGTGCTCCCCGAATCCAGGAGCGTTGTGGTGGTCTCGGTTTTAGATTTGGAGGTCGGGGGAGAGAGTTTTTGCCCGAAAACCACCAGGGGAGGGGAGAGGGCCGATTTTTCAGCGAGAGGAGAGAGAGAGTGGTTCTTGAAAAAATGCAATTTGGGGGAGGAGGGAGTCGAATTTTGCTTTTTATAGGGGGGAGTAAAAACATGGGCCGGCCTAGAACACGACCGTGTTTCTAGTGCGTCACGCCCGTGTTTTTACTGTCGAGGTACGACTCCCCCTTTAGCAAAACACGGGCGAGAAGGGGTCGAAACACGGCGTGTTTTCAACCCCTGGCGCCCATGCTTCTTAGTGCGAGGCGTTGCTGGGCGAAGGGCCAAAACACGGGTGGACAAGGGAAGAAACACGGCCGTGTTTTCAACCCCTAGTGCCCGTGTTTGTACTGCCGAGCCTTCCTCTGTACAATTTCAAAACCAAGATTTCAAACAACCAAACCTCATTTGTGCCTTGGCTCGAAAAATACACAACTACAGATGAAAACAGACCGCCCTGGGCATGATATACTTGCCAGACAGACTCCCGACAGACTCAATGACTCAAAAAACCGACAAAATCGAAAAGGATAAAGGGAAAGAATTGCAAACTATGGTGGGGTTGCCTCCCCACAAGAGCTTCTTTACCGTCTTTTAGCTAGGCGCTAGTAGAGGAACTAAGGTCCTCGAGCTTGATCAACAGTTCTGTGCGGTTCACTTTGAACGGCTCAGTTTGAGCATTGTTGATCTCCACCACACGTTGCGGGAATACTTGGGTGATCGTGAAGGGTCCCGACCACCTCGAACGCAGCTTGCCCGGAAAGAGTTCAGGCATGCATTAAAGAGAAGAACACGATCACCTACCTGAAACTCCTTTGGGCCTTTCAACCAAGCATCCTGGAGACGCTTGGTTTGCTCCTTGTAGAGCAGGGTGTTCTCGTAGGCGTGGTAACACCATTCCTCCAGCTCCAGCAGTTGCAGCTTACGTTCAGTACCTGTAATACTCAAATCCAGATTTAGTAGCTTAAGGGCCCAGAAGGCCTTGTGCTCTAGATCTACCGGTAAATGACACGCCTTCCCATAGACAAGCCTATATGGTGAAGTACCAATTCGGTTTTTGTAGGTTGTCCTATATGCCTAGAGAGCATCATCAAGCTTGGTGGACCAATTCTTTCGGGACTGATCCACCATCTTTTTGGTTATTCTTTTAAGCTCCCGGTTCGTCAGCTCGGCTTGACAATTCGTTTGGGGATGGTAAGCCACTGACACCTGATGCTTAACACCATAGTGAGAGAGGAGCTTAAAATTTTCCATCACGCCATCTACTCCGATCCTGAAGACGTAAGGATCCTCCCAGAAATAATGCTTCAGGTCGCAGAAGAACTTGCGCTTGGCATGAGTGGCCATCCCCTTAGGCAACTGTTTGCCCACCAGATAATTGGCAAAGTCAGAATACCAAGGGGCAACGCTCTCTACCAAGGTCATCGCCAGCAATCTCTCACCCGGGAAGGAGTCATTGATCTCTTCCACGAAGTTGTCCGCCGGAAGGGCTTCCAACCATGAAAGATGATCTACAACAACATTTTCAGCTCCCTTCTTGTCCCAGATCTCGATATCAAATTCCTTCAAAAGCAGGATCCAGCGGATGAGCCTAGGCTTTGCATCAGCCTTGCTCATCAGATAGCGAATCGCGGAGTGGTGTATTTAGACCACCACATGGGAGAGCATCAGATAGGGTCGGAACTTGTCAAATGCATACGCCATGGCAAGTAGCTCTTTCTCAGTGGTGGTGTAGTTCTCCTGTGCATCGTTCAAGGTCTTCGACACGTAGTAGATGGGCTAAAATTGCTTCTCGCGTCTCTGACCTAGAACAGCTCCAACTACATTGTCACTCGCATCGCACATCAGCTCAAAGGGGAGAGACCAGTCAGGAGTCACCATGATGGGTGCATGGGTAAGCTTCTCCTTCAATGTCTCGAATGCAACTGTGCACTCAGGAGTGAAATGAAATGGTGCATCCTTCACCAACAGCTTGGTCAGAGGCAGGCAATGTAGTTAAACTATAGTTTTTATGTATAAGCGAAATGATGGGTACAAACTTAAGCGTAAAAGCGGAGCGTAAGAACGTAAGTTTATATGAACCATTGAAATTGTAAAAAAGCAACTTAAAAGACTAATAGGATCCACACACAGAAAATTGGAAAAGATTTTGAACTAGAGTACATTCTAACTCAGAACAAGTTCATAAACATAGAAAAAGAGTTGAATCGTACGCTAATATGAATCATAACTCTGAAATATTCATATTATGGACATCACAAGCCCCCCAAAAAAATTGATCATGATTTATGCTACATTTGGGAAGCAACGTCCACATTTCCATCCAAATCATATCATCTTAATTACCGCCATCATCATAGTTGTTATTGTCACTAACATCATGCTCCTCATAAATACATCAATCATCATTCATGTTAAAAGAATCATTTTGAAGCCAGCGGCATGATCACTTTAGTTTTTTCATCCACAAAAAACCATTTGACCATCGCACGACGTGCCAAATCGCTCTATAAACATTATCATTAAAAGCTCTTATAAGCGTCCTAAAAGCTAGCTTTTAAGGATTTTTTATGCACATATTGTGGTTTTAAAGAGTTTATATTAAGCTTATGGTGTCAAAAGATTTTTCAAAGAAAATTACTATATTGGAGGAGGTAAGAACTTAAAAGCGTAAGCTTTTAGGCTTAAACTATAGCTTTTAACTACATTGGAGGCAGGCAATCTTCGAGAAGTCCTTGATGAAGAGCCGGTAGAAGCCTGCATGACCCGGAAAGCTGCGGATCCCCTTCATAGAAATGGGAGGAGGTAGCTTACTAATCGTCTCTATCTTCGCGCGATCCACCTTGATACCCTGCTTGGAGATCTTGTGACCAAGCAGAATCCCCTCACGAACCATAAAATGGCACTTCTCCCAATTGAGTTCCAGATTAGTCTTGTCGCACCTCTTTAGGACAAGTTCCAGGTTATGGAGACAATGAGTGAAGGAGTCTCCATAAACCGAGAAGTCATCCATGAAGACTTCCATGATCTCTCTAACTAGTCCGTCAAAGATCGCCAGCATACATATCTGGAAGGTCGCGGGTGCATTACATAACCCAAATGGAATCCTACGGTAAGCAAAAGTACCGAAGGGGCAGGTGAATGTGGTCTTTACCTGATCCTCTGGCGCGATGGGAATCTGGAAGTAGCCAGACATGCCATCCAGGAAGCAGTAGAACTCATGGCCCGCCAACCTCTCCAGCATCTGATCAATGAAAGGTAGGGGGAATGGTCCTTCCTGGTGGCGTCGTTCAGGCGCCGGTAATCGATGCAGACTCTCCAGCCAGTCACAGTCCGCATCGGGATCAACTCGTTCTTCTCATTAGGGACCACATTCATCCCGCCTTTCTTCGGGACCACCTGAGTGGGACTGGCCCACTTGCTATCAGATATAGCAAAGATGATCCCTGCATCCATCAGCTTCACAATCTCTGTCCGGGCCACAGCCTCCAAGTTAGAAGTCAATGATGTGGCGATCCGGGGTAAGAAGGGATGGGCTTAAGCTTCATCTCTGGTGGCTCTTCCAATGATGTGGCAATCCGGGGTGATATAGGGATCGGCTTGAATGGATTCTCCCGCCCCTCGATCGCAGCTTCTTCTAGCTCTGCGAGCTGCTCCTCCAACTGCAACTCCTGCGATGCATGTTGCCCTAGCAAAAGACAATGCTCGAGGAAATCGTCAGTACCCGCACTCGTGATGGCGAGTGCGGTCTCAAAATCAGCAATAACATCATGGTAATCTAGATCATCATGGAGCTTGGGGTGTTTCATATTATCAAAAACATAGAATGTGATTTGTTCACCCTCAGCCCTCAAAATTAACTTCCCATCATTCACATCAATAAGTGCCTTGGCGGTGGCGAGAAAAGGTATACCTAGTATTAAAGGCACATCCACATCCTCATTTATATCAAGAATAACAAAATCAACAGGGTATGAGAATGGCCCTACTGCGACTATCAATTCCTCTACAATGCCCCTAGGATGTACAATGGATCTATCTGCAAGTTGAATGCTCATCCTTGTATTACTCGGTTCACCTAGGCCTAGCTTTTTAAACAGTTTATATGGCATCATGTTTATGCTAGAGCCTAAATCCACCAAGGACTTTGCTACATGCAAACTACCAATCATGCAAGGGATAGTAAAACTCATTGGGTCTTTCCGCTTCTCTGGTAGCTTGTTGTGCAGGATGACAGAACACTCCTCGTTGAGCATCACCGTCGATAGCTCCCAAGCTTCCTCTTGTTGGTGAGGAGATCCTTCATGAATTTAGCATACTTGGGCATCTTTGACAATGCCTCCACAAAGGGCATACTAATGTTCACCTGCTTCAGCATTGCCATGAAGTTGACAAACTCAGTCTCCAGTCGGTCTTTGTGCAACTGAGTAGGAAAGGGAAGTTGAGGAACATACTCCTTCACCACTGGTTGCGGCTTAGGAGTAGGCACCTCAACCTCCTTCTCCATTTCTTCTTCATTAACTGGAAGTGCTGAAGCATGGGTCTCTCTCTCTCCTGTCGTGCCTAGACAGGTGGACCCGCAGTCACTTTACCACTCCTGGTAGTAATAGCCATGCAGTGTTCATTTGGGTCATGCAGATGGGGAATGATCTGCCTAGGTAAAGTACCCGGAGCCCTCTGTGCTACAGCCTGTGCCACACTCCCGAGGAGCTGGGTTTGGATATCCCGTAGGACAGCCTGCATGTTTCTCTGGATAGCCTCAAGCTCTAGGAATTTACCTGAGGCTTTTCCATGAACTGCTCGATGTTGCTGAACTTATTCGCACTGGAGGTGGCTAGAGAACCCACTAGATCTCGCATATCGGCCATCGGATCGTTTTGTACTGGGACTACAAGAGCTACACCTGACTGCTGAAATGGCCTCATCTGTGACTGAGGAGGGACTTGCCCATGTCTGGCCGGATAGAGAGGTTGCTGCTGCTGCTGGAATTGCCCATGTCTTGGCTGGAAAGGAGGTCTCTGAAAACCTGGGGGTCCCTGCGAGACTGGTGTCTTAGGATTATTTCCATGCTTGGAAAAGTTGGGATGCTGGCGCCACCCCTCGTTATAAGTGTTGCTGTAGGGGTCGAAATGACTGACATTGCCGATGAAGTCCAACTCTCCTGGGGTGTAGTCGACTCCCTCATTGCTTGACAGTCTTCTACCGTATGATGGGAGCTCTCGCACCCTCTGTTTTCAGAACCGGACCGGAAGCTGAACCGGAAAAGTTACTGGTTCATTGGTTAACGTTAAAAACCCGTTGGTGAACCGTATAGAACCGCTCACACATATAAAATAGAAAAAACCTGTAATAGACTAATTAAAAACGTAAATTTCCATCAACCATAAACAATCAAAATCCTTACTATCCATCACAAAAATTCTCACAAATCATAAAGTTGTCTCGCAAAAAAATTCAACGAAAATTCACATAAAAATAAAGTCATCCTAATCATAACTAAGAGGGCCACAAGTCCCAATCACCATCCTTAAACATTCCTACTCATAACAATCATTAACTCCATCACCATTGAAGCTTGACGAAAATTGAACTCCAAATGTGTTCATGTCAGCATTTCCTGCATCAACTCCAGTGGATGTCTCAACTACATAAAATAAAAGCGAAGCTTATAGAAAGATATTGTAAATAACATAAAATTATCTTAACCATAGAAAACTAAAAATAGATATAATGGTCGACTCGCCTTCATCCAAATTCATAGCTTGTTCAAGTTCATTATCATCAAGCTCTCTAAATGGATTTTCTTCATCATAAAGTACCCACTCCGCAGCCATATCAATAGAGTCAATATCTATTGAATCATAACTCAAAGGGTTCTTCATATAAAAGTCCCTACAAATCAGTTCAATGATTCAATTTCTAAAACAATAATACATAAATGTTGTACATTTTCTTTAAGAAAATCAAATCAATATATGTACATACCTATGCTTAAGACGTAAGTTATAGGAGACATATACCAAAGTACTGAGTCTTTCATGCTCCAACCTGTTTTTTCGCTTGGTATGAATTCGTTCAAAAACACTCCAGTTTTGCCCACATCCCGAGGAAGCCGCAGTTTGACTGAGCAGTCGAACGACTATCTTTTGCAACCTTGGAGCATCAAAGCCATACCATCCCCACCAGATAGCTATGAAATATACAAGTAAATTTCAATTTGGTTAAATAGTCTCTTACTGTTCAGTGTTCAATTGAGCTGCATTTTGGAGGGGCAAAAATGATTGCCGACAATGTCCAGTTCCATTTGGGCAAGGATACAATCCATTAAAAAGTGAATTTCCAAGCAATTCACATCCAGATCCAACCACATGTCATAGGGACTACTTTTTATTATAATAACTTCTAGCAAAATGAACACCTATTTGTTTTACTCAATCAACGTGTACATGAAAAGATTAAATTGATGTAAATGTGCAATTAAGATTCTCAGTAGCTATCAAACAAACTAAAGCCCTTCATTAGTTTCAATTTTTCAATTATAAAGAATGACTAAATAGATTAATATGAATTATGGTAGTTAGAAATTACCTGGTTGCATAGTTTTTGTAGACTGCAAAGAAGATTCACGCCCAAAACTTCCTGAGCGGTTTTCATATATTTTGAACTCATCCATCAAAGCTTGAGTTTCGGGACAAATTCTCTTATTCTCCAAAACATTCAACAGACCATTACGAAGTTGTTTGGATTTAACAAACTCAGCAGAATAGAAGAAGGCATGATTCAAGGAGTATGCAGCAATGAACAAATCTCGATTCAAATGTCTGTCCCATCTCTCTTCAATAATATCCATGTAAAGCTTATGTTTTTCTTCACCATTACCAACCATCTTCTTAATTGCATTTGTCACCCTAATCATCCCCTCATATACATATCCTAAAGCTGGTTTGCTATCGGAGTCCATAATATGGAGCAGCTTAATGATTGGACCCGCCAATTCCACAATAAACACACAATCATCCCAAAACTTCTGATCCAAAATAGTAGCTTTCACTAATTTTCCAGCCTCTATTTTTGAGAGTTTGTGGTCTCAAAAGAAATCACTCACCACCAAATCTTCCAAATGACCCTGCTGCTCAATCAGGCTATGAAGAGTGATAAATGTAGTAGCAAAGCGAGTAGCTGCTGGTCTTACAATCTCCTTCCATTGAGGCCTTTTCCTCAGCCAATTCAACATAGGAAGATGATTGTACATAAAAATAGTCACTCTAGATGCACGATGAGCAAGGTTATCTATTTCACCCTGAGAGCAAATATCTTTCAGCATCAAATTTCAAAGCATGAGCAACACAAGGAGACCAGTAGATGTTACCATATTTGCTTGTTATCTTCCTCCCAACTGCTACCATATTTGCTGCACTATCAGTCACCACATGCACCACATTTTCAGAACCAATCCAATCAATCACATCAGATAACAACATGGAGATGTTATGAGCATCCTTGACAATATTGGATGCATCAACAGATTTCACAAAGCACATCCCGGTCGGGGAATAGACAAGAAAATTAATCAAATTTCTCTGCCTCTGGTCAGTCCAACCATCTGTCATCAATGTGCACCCAAATTCTTTCCAATCACTTCTCAATTTTACAACCAACAAATCACACTCTTTCTTACAATCACCCAACAAATTAACCCTTATATCATTATAAGAAGGTCCTTTGAAACCAAGATTCATAGTAGAAATAGCATCAATCATTGGTTGAATGTAAGGAGACTGAATTGCATTGAAAGGAATGCATGCATCATAGAACCACTTAGCAACAACAAGATGCGCTCTTAAGGTGATTTCCTTACTAGCCAATACACTTTTAAGTCCTAGTTGAGATCCAGGAGTTGTTCTTGGAGCAAAATGTTCATCAATCCTATCAACCGACCTTGAGTTTATGTTTCCAAAAAAAGGTCTTTTTGCATAAGAATGTGAGACATGAGTTTCAACATCAATAGTTTATTTTTCACCAATATGTTGTCCCTCTTCATAATTCTCACGGAATACTTTTTTGCTGCTTCCTTTTGCTTCTTCTTATCATCAAAGTCTTTGAGATTTTTTCGAATCTTCTCACGTATATCATGAGACACCTTCATGCATTTCTCTATATTTGAACCAACCCCGGCTAAGTGTTCTTTCATTCTATGAATCCCTCCCCCTCTGACAATCTTGTTACATTCAAGACAAGTAAAAACTTTTTTACCTTCAATCACTTGAAGATTAACATGTGCCCAAGCAGGATCATGTTTACCGGTTGGATTTGAGGTAGGAGCAACATCGGGGGCTGGAATTTGAGATGTTTGACTCTCCATCTCTCAATCTGCAAAATCAAAATGTAAAATACTTTAGTTAATTATGTATATTATACTTTCTGATCCCTACTGTACTACGTGCTCCTTCATGTAGGGCTGGCTATTTGGTCCGCACTGTTTGGTTTTACCCGAAACTGGACCATATAACCCGGACCGAGACCGGACTGGGACCGGATAGCAAACAATCCAATCTCATATTTGAACTTAGATTTGAGGTAAAAAAAACCCGGATAAAGACCGGATAAGAGACCCCCAACACCTAAAATCAAGATCAAATTAGGACCGGACCGGGTGAAGATCGGACCAGATCAAGACCGGACTGTATCCAATTCAATCTTTGGTCCTTATATTCCTGAAAAGACCAGACTGGGACCGGATCAATTTGGTCCAATTTAACCGGACCGGACCGTACAGCCACCCCTATGGCTATGAAATGAATTATTATATAAATGGGCCTTTTTAATCAATAGTATCCGCATGGCCATGATTTTAAAGAATCAAAGAAAAGCACCATGCACTATATATATAAGTAACTGTATAACACAATAGAAAAGAGATATAGCCACATAGGTTAATAGGCATATAGCTTTTGTCCAATAGAGAAGAACCCATACCACACACGCAAAGCATGTGGGCAGAAAAGACAAAAGAGAGAGGTGTGTGCGCAGTTGATTAATTAGAGAAATGATTATCAGATAGAGATAGTGGAGTGGAGAGAGCAATCGATGGAAGCAGGAGGCAGTTTGGCCGACTCTAGGTAAAGAAAAGTTGAAGAACAGTAGGAGTCAGGAAAGCGACTGCAGCGTCAGAGCTAACTTTATTAGGGTTGTTTGTCTGTGTAGGTCGGTGTTGGCTTCAATAATAGTAGTAGTACTATGATTTTCTTTTATTAGCAGCAGACCGTTGGACTAATAGGGTCATCCCGGTTCTGCGGTTTCACTATGGGATCGCTAAAAAGCGTTTGGCCTAGCAAAGGCCGCTTAAGTACAGAGACCGGACCGCTTTTGTTGACGGTTGGCGGTTTTCCCGGTCCGCTTCACTGGTCTGGTCCGGCTCTTACAACAAGGCTCGCACCACTGGCAATGCATTGCCTGTTGCTGTCATGTTCCTGTAACCATCCCAGAACGATCAATAGTCGAGACCAACTTAGATACAACCTGCACCAATTCAGACGACTGGGTGGCTACAACATGCACACCCCGACCTGGTGCTCGTCTCGATCTCCTGGAAATTCCCCAATCATATCCTGCTCTGCCATCTCTTCAAAGAGTTTATTCAGCTGCAGCGGCGTCTTTAGTGAAACCATGATTGGGACACTTGAGGAAAAGACTGGTGTATCTTTCCCAAGCATCCGGAATGGTTTCATCCTCCTCCTGGGCAAAGTGGGTGATCTGCTTTTGCAGAGCCGCCGTCTTCGACGAAGGATGATAGCAGGTAAGGAACTTGTCCGCCAGGTTGGCGGACATGGTGATCGATCACGGAGAGGCCGAGTGTCCAGCCACTCCTTGGCATGCCCCTCCAGAGTGAATGGGAAGTATCCCAGCTAAATGGCATCGGTTGAGACCCCATTTATCTTGATCCCATCGATGAGCTCGTGGAATCGCAGCAGATGCAATCTGGGACACTCCCCCTCCTATCCACGGAATACCACCGAGTCGCACATCATGGTGATGACAGAGGTGCTCACCTCAAAGTTATTGGCTGGAACTTGAGGGTGTTGGATGGGCGACCTCATGTCCGCGGCTCAAGCAGTCCAGTAATATCTCATGGTGTGCTCGTCAGGGACAACCACATCATTGTCTTGTGGCTAACCCATGTCTTCCTCTTGGTTGATGTGTAGCTGTGCTAGAGCCTCCTTTGCAGCCGATCGCGCCTTTAAAGCTCGCTTGAAGTTCCTACAAGTCAGTTCAGGCTCTTGGTCTAACGGCAATAGTTCTCCTGACTGGCTACGGGTCTTGCACTACCTGCATATAGAATGCAAACACAACCCGTGAAGGCACAAAGGTGGAAGAGAAAGAATGATGTAAAAAAAAGCTAGAGTAACAAACTTTCACGTTTCTACAATAACCTAGGTTCCCCGGCTACGGCGCCAAAAACTTGGCATGCTATTACACAACACCAAACTACGACCAAGTGTAATCGCAGTCCAGAAATGCAGAATAGTGGTAAGTTCAATTTGTCAACCCGGGGTCTAGATCTACTGCCTACTCCGTGATTATCTATTACCTAGTGAGACTAAGTTGAGTGAATGTGATTTTAAGCTAAAGCAGTAAGAAAGCAGGAAAATATCAAAGTTCTTAAGCAAGGGAAGAGTCACTCGGGAATGAATCCCCTAGCTCCTTAGTTAGGTCAAAGTTGTAATTCCCTTTGGTTGATTCACTATTGATTAAACTGCGAAAGATCCCAAATTAGCTTGGAATCTCTTAAGCTGACCAAGCCCTCTTAGACATAATACCCGGCAGGTGACTAGCCTTCACCGGAATAGACTGCTAAAACGATTCACACGGATCTCCACTACTATAATGAATTCCAGCACAAAGCAGTGAATAGACTAACTCTCGTATAATCAATTCACTACTACCGATTGAAGAAGCTCCAACAACCTAATCAGATTCTATCTATCTCAGGTTGCAGCAGAAATCAAGAAACGTTGATCAGGCTTCAATTGACTCAATCAAAACACTTCAATGGATTATAACCAAGCAGTATATCAATCCAAACGTCATTACAATCAATATTCCTAACACGTGGAACTAGGGTTCTTCATACCCAAGTGAGAGAGAGTTCTACTCCATAGAGAGAGAGAGAGAGAGGAAAACAGAATACAAAGCAGTCATACTCATAATGATCGGAAGAATCTGCTTTGGGATGATAATCTTCACCCCACAACCATGTTTTGCTTTTCCCGCCCGTGTTTTTGCCTCGTCTGTGAAATACATACTCGTGCTGAGTAAAATACGGGCGTGCCCAAGGAGTGATACGACCGTGTTTTAGAGCTGCTGCGCCCGTGTTTTGGACTCCTCAGCAACAGTCACAATGAGGCTCTCGGCATAAAAAGCACGGACTGGGGACACGGCCGTGTTTTGGGTCAATGGTGCCCGTGTTTTCTCCTTGCAGCAATTCAGCTCGCGCACTAAAAAGCACTGGCGTGCCCCTTAGCGAACACGGTCGTTTCTAGAGTGGTATGCCCGTGTTTTTGCCCCAGCTTCACCGAATGACCTACAAACGCCTCGAAACTCGTGCCTAGCTCTTATTTCGATGTCTGGGACCTAAAATGTGACAAAATAGCAAAACCCGGCGTAAAATAGGCCAAAGATATACCACTATGAGCCACAAACGGATAAGAAATAAGGGTGTAAACATGTGCAAAGAAATCGTTATCAATGATGAAATGTGATAAATGACAACTAATATATTTCTACTACCATGTATACAACCATTCTACACTGTGGTATATTCATACCACCTTGGTACACTTTTATACCATCAGGGCCGTCTAATGGATAGTGGTGGCCCTGTTCCAATATTGAGATGTGGTTCAAATTGACTTTGAAGTATAAAGAAAATAAAATGTTTATATTATCGTTATGTGAAATGTAATATATATCTAACATTGTTTTAAATAAAATTATCTATTGCCTCGTTACGTATGGTGCTTTCTATAGTCTTGTTAATGATGAATGGTGCTTGCCGGATGAGATGGAAAAAAGAGTTGTTGAGGCTCGGGCTAAAGGTGAAGAACCCAATCATTGGGACATATATCGTTAGGTTGTTGGGAGCCACGCAAAGGTCGAGTACTTGAGATTAGGGCTGGGAAAGGGTGTGGTCTGGTCCAGACCAGACCATATAGATGGTCTACGGTCCAGAACGAAAGACTAAAGTATAGACCAGAGACCAAACCACATACTATACGGTCCATACCAGACCACACCTGTGCGGTCTGGTACGGTCTGGCCCAGATAGACCACATTGAAAAAAATGAACACTTTGTTAAGTCAACCACACTAAAATTGAAGCAATAACTAAGAAAAAAAAATTGTTTTCTTCCTTAAAAAATAAAATCCGACATGCATGAACAATTTCGACACCATATATCTTAGTAAATAACAAAGATACAAAGTCAAAGAATCTCAAGGCACAGCATAACGTCACAAACATTAACATAATATCATATGGAGACACGATCATCTCTACTCTCTAGTGAAATATGGTTGTGAATGAAGGAGGAGACGAGATTCTCAAAATTAAGGTTGAGACTTGAGTCTCGTTGGGGTAGTTGGGAGGGTGGTCGAGTGGGCTACTAACATGTATTGGAAAGTCGGCTAGATCCACAGTTTGGTCAGGTAAACCGCGGTCTAGACCAGACCATACCAAGATATCAAAACTTCATATAATACAGACCATGGACCAGACCATTCTTTACGGTCTAAGGTCCAGACCAAACTGTGTGGTCCAGTTTGGTCCATGGTTTTTCAAATGGTCTGGTTTATTTTCCCAGCCCTACTTGAAATGTTTTTGGGAGTCACAACAAGATGTTTATGTCTATTTGATCACTTCGATCCGTGCAAATTATTATCAATGGATAGAACATGTCAACAACTACCTCATCTTAAGCCAAGTTTAACCTAAGACGACATTGTCGTATAGTGGAATCAAGGTCGTATTTTACTCTGGTCCTGGTACCCTAGCCTACTTCCCACCCAGTTACTAATTAGTTAATCAGTTTTTTAGGTTTGAGTGGAGGATTTGAGGAGATAACTAGACTAGAGATTGATCATAGCTAAAAGAAGGTACTTCGGGGAACTAACCCTCCCCCTAGCTTAAGGTTACTATGCATGTAAGATACTTAGGGTTATAGAATGTGTCGAGTGAACACTTTTCTGTGGGCTTTCATGGTTATCCACACGCCTCTGAGTACTCCTCCCCTAAAATCATATATAGTCACCTCGATCTAGGCTATTGTATCTAGGGAATTAAGCATATGGCTCGTTTCAATGGATACTATCCACCGTCCACACCGAGGTTTTATCCCGGGTTTTATTTAGGAATGCTAACCTAAGGTAGGGGTTATGTCGCCTCGACCATCCTATGTCCTATTCATACATATATCACGTTTTGATCTGTGGCACATACTCGTTTAATCCTAGAACTCCATAACCACAAACACAATCCATGATAGAATAGCAATTAAATCAACTAAATAAACACATTCATTCATTCGAACCCTAAAATATCCATACATACATACATAAGAATCCTTAAAACTAGGGTTTGGGGTTTAGAACCCCTAGTACCTTAGAGGACTACTCCATGAAGTAGGGAAGAAGAAACATAGAAGAAATTGAAGAAGACTTGTGTTGAGGAAGATGCTCCCTTTCTTCTAACTCCTTCTTTTAGCTTCTCTCTCGTCTCTCTCTCTAAAACCATAAATTTCTCTCAAAATCAGCTCATCTAAAAGGGGAAAAAGTGTCTACTATCTATAGGCCTTCTGAGACGGAGAAGTTCACGGCCAGAGGCGAGGAGATCTCAAGCGGGATCTTCTGAGGTGAGGTCGTGATCTCAAAATGTTATCGTCATGGCCTTCTGAAAGGGGAAGATCGTGGGCTGACTTTACGGTCGCGATCCACTTGTCGCGGCCACAATCTTCCTCGCGGGCAAAATGTGCTTAGGCCGTGACTTGACTGGGGAAACTTTTTGTTTCTCCATGGCTCCTTCCTCGCGAAGTTCGCGCCCTGAGCCCTCCAATTCGCGATCGCGATCTTGGGCTTCCAGGATGCGATCTTTAGCTTGACTTCGTGGGTTGTGTTCTCGGCCGTGATCTTCAGCTTCCAGGCCACGATCTTTAGCTTCCTGGCCCTTAGCTACACTTGTGACCTTGTTTTGTACCTAATTCGCATGTATCATCTAATACACTCTAAAATCACATCGAATTCAAATAGGAACGGAATAGGATTTCAATTGATGATGTTTAAGCATTTATGCACATGAATTGGCACGAAACAAACCTTAATATGAAGGGTAAATAACACCAATTTAGGTGATATCACTATACCTCAACATATGGTTTTAGTAAACGCAATCAAGAAGATAGCTTAAAGGAGAAAGAAAAAAGTGATGCAGTCATCAAAGAATTGCAAGAAAAGATAGTATCGCGGGAAATTCAGTTCCTTAGCTTGTTCAAGCTGCCTTGACTCAATTTGGTATAACGGTATGACACATGTTACAATTCTTACTATTTTTACCTATAGAATTTTGTCTTAATCTTATTGTTGTTAATGTTTAATAGGTTAACAAGACCAACCAAAATGGTGACATAAGTGACAGAGATAGCAGTGATGAAGAAGAAGGAGAAGGAGAAGAAGAAGATGAAAATTTAGAATACAACTTAGATAATCAAGATTGATATTTTTTTTGGACTAGTTTTCATATTCTTGGATTTCATATTTCTCTATTTTATGTTTATCAAATATTGGTCACTGCCATTTATGGGCATAACAAGACAGTTGAGAGAGTTGATATGTATGAAGAGTTAAGAAAGTGCATAGTACTTCAAGAGCCTAGTATTTTTCTTGGTGATTTTAATGCAATTGTTGAGGCGTCAGAAGCTTCAAATAAACCTGTATGTAACCAAAGTATGGGTGATTTGATCGTGCCCTAGTTAATGATGAGTGGCTGGGTGTTTTCGAGGATAGTTTGGTTAAAACTTTGTCCCCTGGAGTCTCGGATCACTGTGGTCTTTTTGTTCACACTGATCCTTTGGTAGAATCAGAGTTTGTTGGAGGGTGCTTGGCAAATTGAAGTTGAGGGAGTTCCATATTTCCAATTGTATCAGAGGTTGAGAGAACTAAAGTTAAAGCTGAAGGGCTTAAATAGGTCTCAGTATTCTGAGATTTCTTCAAGAGCAAGGGAGGCTGAAGGTAAACTTGAGGCATTGCAGCAAGATGTGCTAGATGATCCTTCTGTTCAACACTCTAATGCAGTTTTGGAACATGAAATGGTTTGTAGAGACTTGCAGAAGGCTGAAGAGAAATTTTACAGACAGAAATCAAGAATTAGAAGAATTATTGAAGGAGACTCCAACACTAGATTTTTTCACAGTATGGTTAAAGTTAGAAATCATCGACAAACTATTCAAAAGTTGATTACTGATGATGGATTAGTTCTTACTGAGGTTAAGGCTATGGGTCAGTTGGCTGTTGAGTTTTATAAGGGCTTGCTAGGTAGAGCAGATCCTCTGGTGTAGGACACTTCGCTATCTTTTTTTGCGGATATGCTCTCTCGCAAGCTTGGAGAGGATGATATGTATCTTTTGAACTCTGCTGTTACAAGAGAAGAAATTAAGGCAGTTTTCATGTCTATGGGTAATGATAAGGCTCTAGGACCAGATGGATACACAGATGATTTTTTTAAACTGGACTGGAATATTGTTTGCAAAGCTGTTGAAGACATTGTGTTGGATTTCTTCAAAACTGGTATCATGGCTCGATAGGTAAACTCAACCATTCTTGCTCTCATTCCTAAGCTAGCACTGGTTGATAGAATGCAAGATTTTAGGCCAATATCGTGTTGCAATGTTGTTTATAGAGGGATCTCGAAACTGTTAGCAAATAGACTCTCCCTAGTGTTGCCAAAACTTATAGGGACTAGTCAATCTGCATTTGTTAGAGGGAGACTTATTAGTGACAACATCCTTATGGCAAGAGAATTGGTTAAAGATTATCACAAGGCCACTGTCTCATCTAGATGTGTTTTGAAGATTGATTTGATGAAAGCATTTGATTCTGTGGATTGGAAATTCCTTCTGAAGGTTATGACTGCTATGAATATTCCATCTGAGTTTCATCAAACTGATTGAAGCTTGTGTCACATCTCCTATGTTGAGTGTGGCTTTCAATGGAGGACTTTGTGGTTATTTCCCAGCAGGCAAAGGGTTGAGGCAAGGGGACCCTCTCTCCCCCTACCTGTTCACTATTGCCATGGAGGTCTTTTCTTGTATGTTAGCTAGGGATGTGTATCGTGATTTCATCCCTTATCATCCATGATGTAAAGGTCTTGGAATCACTCATCTTTGCTTTGCGGATTACCTCCTGGTCTTTTCAAATGGTTCAATTGGAGCAGTTGTTGGGATTAAAAGGTTACTTGATAGGTTTTATCAAGTTTCTGGGCTAAAATGTAATCTTACCAAGTGTCAATTGTTCTGTGTTGGTATTTCCAAAGAAGAGTAGAAGTGGATATCAAATTATATGGGGTTCCCTTTGGGAGAACTGCTAGTAAGATACTTAGGAGTGCCTCTTTTGTCTGGGAAGTTGTCGGCTCAGGACTGCAGCATCTTGGTGAGTAAAATAACTAAGAGGATCACATCTTGGCAAGCCAAAACACTCAGTTATGCTAGGAGAATACAATTGATATCTTCTTTTATCACTAGTGTTTTTCAATACTGGATGTTTGTTTTTCTGCTACCATTGAGGGTCTTAAAGTCGATTGAAGAAGTATGTAATAAGTTTCTATGGGGTGTTGGTTCAGAAGCTGGGAGGAAAAAGGCTCCAGTATCATGGTCACGAGTTGCTTTATTGAAAACAGAAGGAGGGTTGGGGATATGGGACTTCAAGACATGGAATAAAGCTTGTGTTCTTCGGCATCTGTGGAACTTGCTTGCTGAAGCATGGTCATTGTGGGTAGCCTGGATTCAGAAATATAGAGTTAAAGGACGAGACATTTGGACAATCCCTGCGAGCTCTGTCAGTTCGTGGGTGTGGAAGAAGATACTCAAGTGTAGAGTGCTTGCTCAGTCCCACATCACGGGGGCATGTAATACTCTTGCTTGGGATGGAACTTTATTGAGCAAATATTATGTTAAGATGATTTGGTCTTCCATTCGTGTCCCATCCCCCTCTATTGAGTGGTATTCTATATTGTGGGGCAAGCCTTTTATCCCAAAGCATAGCCTCTTGGTATGGTTGATAATATTGAATAGAGTTACTACGAAAGACAAGCTTCAAGGATGGGGGTTAGCAGGTGATAGTTGTTGTGTCCTCTGTCCTGGTGGGTTTGAAAGTCGCGATCATCTATTCACTACGTGTTCTTACAGCATGAGATTTTCCAGACTGTGCTAAGGAAGGTCTGCAGATGGCCCTCTTTCCAGGACTGGTGTTCCCAGTTGGCTTGGGTGACGCAAAAATGGTCAGGTACAAGCTCGAAAGATAAGATTGGTAGAATGTTGTGGACGATGAGTTGTGCATATATTGGCGCGAGCGATGTACTCGCATTTATGGTGCAAGAAGAGTTTTAGATCCCATTCAAATCTCAGCAAAAGTAGTGCAGGAGCTCCAACAAGTAGTACGATTGCCTTACAACATATGGTTATGGAAGTGCTGGGTTTATAGAGTTTTTTGTTGTTGGATTTGCTTCCTTGTTAGTATAGCTTTTTCTTATGAGTGAAAGAAACATATCGTTGCTAATATTATAGTATCTTTTCGTCAAACTGATTAAATTAGTAATGGCTACATATCATCGCGAACAATATTTTTTTCGACAAAGTGCTTATTTTTGTGACGGCTACATATCATCGCAAACTATATTTTATTTGTCAAACCAAATAATTTAGTGACAGCTACAAATGATCAGCAATAGTATTTTTTTTTGTCAAGATTTAGCAACGTCGTATATATTGGAATCCTTATTTGTGATATCCCTCCTTCGTCGTAAATATAATATATGTAACGATGTTTAATTGTCTCAAATACCATTTAACTTTTTCCAAAAAAATGTATTCCCGATGACTTTATTAACTATAGAGATGGATAGGTATAGTCATAAATAGACAACGTCATAAAAAAAGTATTATCGATGACTTTTTTTATCATAGCGACGACTATATCTCATAAAAAACAAACAATGAAGTTAATCTTCGTCGATGAGAATTTATTATTGAAGAGATTGTTTATTTTCCCAACGCTTCTTTGTTGTCACAAAAACAAAACTGTGTAGTTCGTCAATTTGAATAGCTTTTACGACGGCTCGTCACGATGAAAGTTTTTGTGACGCTCGTATTTGGAACGGCGCACGACGACCTCATGGCGTCGCAACACCCCATTTGCAGCGACATTTGGCCTTTACCGACAAAAACCTTTGCTCACTGATAATTGTCGAAAACATATTGATATTATGTGTTTAATGTGATTACTTAATGATATGTTTGAGACGTAGAATGCTTGTTTTAGAGCCGACTGACCCTGGAATGGCTATAAGACCATTACCACCATGTGTTAGAATTTTGATACGTTATAGGTGGAAAGCAAGGAAAAATGAATGCAAATGCTTAATGATAGAAAAGCATTCCAGGGCCCGACCCATTCTTCAAATGATTTGGAACGGTAGCGTAGAGGGAACTTGGGTCGGGAACGTTGCTTTTGGCGAAGGAAGATGGGTCAGAAGGAAGGTAATTACTTGGATCGAGGGGGTAGCGGCCAGAGTGAATTCTTTTGGGAACAGCAGAAGGTAATTACTTGGATCGAGGGGGTAGCGGCCAGAGTGAATTCTTTTGGGAACAGCAGCAGCGCCGAGAGCAGCGCAGCGACGGGACGAGTTGGGCACGAGAACAGCTGATCGCCGGGCATAATTCAATCAGTATTTTCTTTCCTCGTGATTAGTTGGATGATAATTATAAACATGATTGTGTGTTTTATTTTCGTCATGAACTAAACCCCAATTTTTGGGGGAAACACCATAGGATGTAGCTATTTCTAGAGTTGATGGATTGATTCATATTTCTTTTCTTCCAATCTCTATTGCATGAAATTAATTAACGCTTTGTGTTGACTGGCCACCAATACATCGATTTGTAGTTAATTAGGTTATTAGCGACAGTGAAACCCTAATAACTGAACCTATTTCATGTGACATAGTAACTTATCGAAGCGACAGTGGATTAAATAAGGTTCTATGCAGTCTTGATTGGGATATCGGTCTTAAGGCTAAATAATTAATTCATTGAGCTACGACGGTAGGATTTGAATTGATTATTTAGTACGTAGTAATTCCCGACAGGGATAGCTAACACAGTAGAGATATCCTGGCTATAGAGAATTGGATTAAACTGATTAGAATATGTGAATTAATTTGGATGTGATAGGTAGTGAGGCCTGGTGTTTCTCCCAGAGCTTTTTCCCATTGAATTTCTCTCGACCATTTTAATTTGCTTGTTTTGTTTGATTATTTTGCTATTAGATAATAATTTCATCAACCAAACCATTTTCACCTATAGTTTGCTCCATAGAATTGTAAATCATAAGGTTGTACCAGTCCTTGAGAGACGATACCCGAACTTTCCGGTTTTACTACGAGATAGGATTGAGGCATTACTTCTGAATGTAGAGAAGGTAACCCTTACTTCTGAATGTTGTGTTGTGATTCAGAATAAATTACCAGAAAAGAGGGATGATCCGGGAGAGGCAAGTTGACATTCCGAGTAGGTAAGGAGGAGGAAATTTTTAATGTCTTTCAAGTTGACCATAAACACGATGCATTTGATGACTTTGAAAGTGGAGCTCGAGAAAGGAAAATTCCTCTTCCTGTGATAGTGGACTGCCCAAAGAACTATCACATGTCCTAGCAGCTCAAAGTATGAAATCAAAGCAAGGGCGGAAATCCTTGCCAGGTCACCTTAAGTAAAGATATTTGGGTAAGGATTTCAATCTTCATGTTATTATTCCTTCTTCACTGACATTGAAGCAGGAAGAGTACTTGCTTGAGGCACTGCAATACCACCTACGCCTCACTAAGGGGTCCAACATGCAAGCTAAGAATGTCATACCCAATTTCCGCACACCTGGCCCTGCAGAGGTGACTCATATGTTGGATGGAGGTTATGCATTTTATCATTGCTCGGGAGGGTATTCTGGATACCTTTCCATACACATTGGTTGAAAGCTCCATAAACGTTAGGCTGGGGACGTTAAACAAGCGCTTCTTGGGAGGCAACCCAAGGTGAGTTTTGTTTTTTTTTTTTTTTTTTTGCTGTGTCAAACCCGTGCATGTTTAGATTAGGAGTTGAACATTAGGGACAATGTGGTGAGTCTTAGTGTTGTTTTTCCCTGTTGCATGTGGTAAAAAAATAAAAAAATGTCATTTGGGTTGTGCACAGCCAAACTACATGCAGTCTACATGTGCTGGTGCAGTCTGCCTGTGCTAACCTAATGGCTAAAAAAATACCTAAAAATCAGAAAAATTAAAAATAAAACCTTGTACTCTTGGGGTAACATGATGTAAATGACCGTGATGACTTGAAAATGAGTTTGTGTTTGAATGAAATCATCAAAATCACCCCACTAGTGTTGAATTGCAAAGTTCTTCACAATGCGCTTGTTGTTTTGACTGACTTGAGATGCTTTGAATTAGCAAACTCTTTTAGCAACACTCTATTTTGTGAGGATAGTGTAATGACTTTTGGTGAAGTATTTAGGTGGAGAACATTGATCATTCGACATGTTTGGATACCGTGCTTACTTGCATTTGTTGTGAGCTTTTGACTTTGCATTGAGTCTCTCTGTTGTAACATCCCGAACCTTTTCCCGACAAAGATATTTTCCGCTTTGGGCCTCGACCCTCACGGTTTTCGACTTGGGGTGCAATTCAAGGCGACTTCCCATAAGGTCACCCATCCTTGTTGTACTCCACACTGAGCACGTTTAACTTCAGAGTTCTCACAAGAACTCCTCCATTACACCCCAAAACGCGTCTTGTAAGTTAAGGTTGGTTTCCTACTCTTATGAACCATGGATCTCTCCCGTGCTTTGTCGATGTGAGATTTGCCTAAGGTGTTACATACACCCCCACCCCCTTGGGACTCAACGTCATCGTTGAGGTTTGCCCCACCATCGTTCAAGAGGGACGCGGAGAGGCTCTGATACCACTTGTAACATCCCGAACCTTTTCCCGACGAAGATATTGTCCGCTTTGGGCCTCGACCCTCACGGTTTTCGACTTGGGGTGCAATTCAAGGTGACTTCCCATAAGGTCACCCATCCTTGTTGTACTCCACACTGAGCACGTTTAACTTCGGAGTTCTCACAAGAACTCCTTCATTACACCCCTAAACGCGTCTTGTCAGTTAAGGTCGGTTTCCTACTCTTATGAACCATGGATCTCTCCCGTGCTTTGTAGATGTGAGATTTGCCTAAGGTGTTACATACACCCCCCCCCTTGGGACTCAACGCCATCATTGAGGTTTTCCCCACCATCGTTCAAGAGGGACGCAGAGAGGCTCTGATACCACTTGTAACATCCCGAACCTTTTCCTGACGAAGATATTGTCCGCTTTGGGCCTCGACCCTCACGGTTTTCGAATTGGGGTGCAATTCAAGGTGACTTCCCATAAGGTCACCTATCCTTGTTGTACTCCACACTGAGCACGTTTAACTTCGGAGTTCTCACAAGAACTCCTCCATTACACCCCAAAACGTGTCTTGTCAATTAATGTCGGTTTCCTACTCTTATGAACCATGGATCTCTCCTGTGCTTTGTCGATGTGAGATTTTCCTAAGGTGTTACATCTGTTTTAAAAGGTTTTATGATGGGGTGAACTGTATCTTTATAAAAAAAAATCCTACCTGACAAGTAAAATATAAGAAAGTTGCCATAACAATGAAAATGTGGGTAAAATGCCAAAATCGTGTGAGGCAATCACTCATTGCACAGGGGGATTAGGAAAGGTTCAACTGAGCATCGGTTTGTGACCGTACGATGTTGCTTATCAAGTACGATCCCCCGTTGAGTAAAGTGCCATTTGAGAATGTGTAGTGACCCTCCACACGGACCGAGGAAAAGGAGTTGAAAGAAGCCCTTATGTGAGTGCTAAGAGACTGAAATTGCTCTTGCTCTTGCTCGGTCACCGGTAGTAAGAAACAAATCTCACTTTTACTAAATACGACCACTCGGCAATCAAAATCAGAAAGAGAGAAAGCCTCTCCTTGTCAGAAAGGTAGTGACATGCTTAAAGTTAAAACCAAGTTTGCGAAAGGCTTCCCCCATTTGCTTTTAGACTCATGCTTAGCAAATTGCTCATGCTTGGTATGAGTAAGCCAGATTGTCTTCACGAGATATGCACCTCACTGATGTGGTCAGACTCTCCTAATAACTGATGCACCATAAGTTGTTAACCACCCACTTCCGACGACCTGAATTGAGTGCTTGGTAATTGAGTTTTTGGTGGATTTGAGTCGGTCAATGTTAAAGGGTTGCAAGACCTTGAGTGTGGGGTGAAAGGGTATGATCAATAAAGCACAACTCATCCGTTGAGAAAGAAACTACTGATTATCACAAGAGTACAAGGATAAATTTATGGTGTCGATGTTGTGTTTTGTGTCTCGTGAGTCATGGTGTTAATGATTGTGTTCCATGGGTTGCGTGTTTTGAGCAAGGTTGTCCCTATGTGGCTTGTGTTGTGTTTCCTCCAGTTATCGTTTTCTTGTTTGAGTCGTTTCTAGGGACAAGCAAATATTGAGTGTGGGGTTGTGACAATTGTTGAAAACATATTGATATTTTGTGTTTAATGTCATTACTTAATGATATGTTTGAGACATAGAATGCTTGTTTTAGAGCTGACTAGCCCTGGAATGGCTATAAGACCATTACCACCATGTGTTAGAATTTTGATACGTTATAGGTGGAAAGCAAGGAAAAATGAATGCAAATGGTCAATGATAGAAAAGCATTTCAGGGCCCGACCCAAACCAGTTTGGGCTATTCTTCAAATGATTTGGAACGGTAGCGTAGAGGGAACTTGGGCCGGGAACGTTGCTTTTGGCGAAGGAAGATGGGCCAGAAGGAAGGGAAGTACTTGGATCAAGAGGGTAGCGGCCAGAGTGAATTCTTTTGGGAACAACAGCAACGCCGAGAGCAGCGCATCGACGGGACGAGTTGGGCACGAGAACAGCTGATCGCCGGGCATAATTCATCCAGTATTTTCTTTCCTCGTGATTAGTTGGATGATGATTATAAACATGATTGTGTGTTTTATTTTCGTCATGAACTAAACCCCAATTTCTGGGGGAAACACCATAGGATGTAGCTATTTCTAGAATTGATGGATTGATTCATATTTCTTTTCTTCTAATCTCTATTGCATGAAATTACTTAATGCTTTGTGTTGACTGGTGACCAATACATCGATTTGTAGTTAATTAGGTTATTAGCGACAGTGAAACTCTAATAACTTAACATATTTCATGTGACATAGTAACTTATTGAAGCGACAGTGGATTAAATAAGGTGCTATACGGTCTTGATTGGGATATCGGTCTTAAGGCTAAATAATTAATTCATTGAGCTACGCCAGTAGGATTTGAATTGATTATTTAGTACGTAGTAATTCCCGACAGGGATAGCTAACACAGTAGAGATATCCTGGCTGTAGAGAATTGGATTAAACTGATTAGAATATGTGAATTAATTTGGATGTGATAGGTAGTGATCCTGGTGTTTCTCCCAGAGCTTTCGCCCATTGAATTTCTCCCGACCATGTTAATTTGCTTGTTTTGTTTGATTATTTTGCTATTAGATAATAATTTCATCAACCAAACCATTTTCACCTATAGTTTGCTCCATAGAATTGGTAAATCATAAGGTTGTACCAGTCCCTGAGATACGATACCCGAACTTTCCGGTTTTACTACGAGATAGGATTGAGGCATTACGCTTTTGCCCTATCAGTCACTAATGGCATGCTTTTTTGTAGTGATGATATCATTTTCAATTTTTATAATAGCTATTCCATTAAGATTTTCTTGTATTATTTTTTAATACAAGTAGGATTTTCGAAAGGGTTAATATCCTAGTTTGGCCCAAAGATTGGGGTAAGTGACAATTCTGTCCCAATTTTTCAAATAAGACATTTATTACCTACTTTGAAACTATTTGATAAATTTTCTTTTTACCGTTAATATTGACGGTCAAACGTTATTCCGTTAATGACTTAGGAAAAACCGCTGATGTGGCATGACACATCATTAAATAATATTATTTTAATTTTATAATTCAATTAAAAAAATTTATAACTCACCCCAGATCCCCCACTCGCTCCTGCCCTCTATCTCTGCCTTCTCTAAACCCTCGCAAAGTCCCCACCCTCTCCGGCCCTCGTTTCCTCCAAAATCCTCCGTCCCAGCGATAATCACCATCCTCTAGCTCCACCTAGGGACCACGCACGACAATGATCACCATCTCCAGATCCTCCTGAGAACCCCCTCGGTTCTTCTTCTCCATACTTACCCTCTGCACCTTTCCCTGACTCTGCCGCGAACTGACCCTTCACCTTCCCCTCCCACCTCGCCTCTGCCTTCTGAAAACCCAAGACTTGGTGTTTCTATTATTCAATCAACATATTTATAATACTATTGAGCAGAGTGTTGCGGCATACAGGGAGTGAAATAAGGTACTGCTCATAGTGGGCAACGTTCCTATTAACAACAACTAACAGAAATAGAGTAACTTCAGGAACAAGTTCCTCTTCACGCCCCCGCAAGTGAAGTCTCAGAGAGTTGGAACTTGGAACAAAACTTGTTAAAGGACTGGCGCGGCAAAGGCTTGGTTCCGCTAGCTTATCAGGAGCTTGTAAGTAGTGAACACGCAGATGCCCTTTGCTGACTTGATCACGAATTAAATGAAACTCTATCTCCATGTGCTTGGACCGATTATGGAACACCGGATTGTGTGCAAGAAACGTCGCACCAAGATTATCACAACACAATGTAGGTGCAGTGGGAATGGATTGACCAAGTTCATGGAGTAATGTGCGTAACCAAAGAACCTCATAAGCAAGGGTGGCAAGGGCACAATATTCATATTCTGTAGAGGATCGAGCTACTGACTTCTGCTTGCGAGTGGACCACGACACCAGGTTGGTGCCACAAAATACTGCGAACCCGGTGATGGACTTGTGATCTTTGGGACAGGAAGCCCAAGACGCATCTGAATAACCATGGACATGAAGAGAAGGCGACTTGGAGAAAAGAAGACCACGATCCAGAGTTCCTCGGAGGTAGCGTAAAATACGCTTGACATCAGCCCAATGATTGTCCGTTGGAGAGTACTGAAATTGAGAAACGTGGTTGACCGCAAAGGAAATGTCTGGGCGAGTGAAACTGAGGTATTGCAAGCCGCCAACAACGCTGCGATAGAGAGCGGGATCTGCGAACAACGGAGAGGAATCCATTGCAGAATTCTGAACAATGTCAATAGTGTAAGGGGTGGAAATGACATTGGCATTAGACATCTGAGCACGATCAAGCAGATCGTGAATAACCTTCCGCTGTCGTAGAACAAGGCCAGCTGATGATCGATGAACTTCAATGCCGAGGAAATATGAGAGATGCCCCATCTCCCGGAGTGCAAAATTATCCTGAAGGAAAGCCAACAGCCGCTGAATGATAGAAGCATCATTACCCGTTATGACAATATCATCAACATAGATTAGCATATATAATCGAATGGCACCGGTCTTGTAGATGAAGAGAGATGGATCGGTGCGTGAGACGGAGAAGCCGAACCGAGAGAGGGCAGCAGCAAGACATTGAAACCACGTTCGTGGAGCTTTTCGAATGCCATAGATGGACTTTCGAAGGCGACAAACATGGTCTGGTTTATCCGGATCGACAAAACCAGGGGGCTGCTGCATATACACAGTTTTCTGCAACTCACCATGTAAAAATGCATTAGCTATATCGATTTGACGGAGTGGCCAACTCTGAGTAACAGCGAGACCAAGGATAAGGCGTAGTGTAGAAGGCTTCAGGACCGGGCTATATGTCTGATGAAAATCCAGACCCGGTATTTGTTCGAACCCACGAGCAACAAGACGGGCACGACATCTGTCTAGTTGACCATTGGGATGAAGCTTTGTGCGATAAACCCATTTGTTGGAGAGTAGATTACAACTCGGTGGCCGTTGAACCAAGTCCCACGTGTGATTGCGTAGCTGAGCAGTAACTTCATCGGCCATGGCCGATCGCCATTGGGGGTGCTTGAGAGCCTGGGTCACAGTTGTGGGGGTATCATCAATATGCAGGTGGGAAAGAAGAGCGCGAGGCTTGAGATTGCCGGTTTTGATTCTGGTGGTCATGGGATGGGTTGAATTGGTGGGATGGACGATAGGGATTGGGCGAGGGGAAGTGGTAAAAGGAGGCCATTTTGGTTGTGGGCGACGAGGGGGAAGCGGAGTGGGATGAGGTTTGGGAACGGGAGTGGGTGAAGTACTTCGCTGAACAGAAGAAGAAGGAGCAGGGGGGCGGGTAATGGGACGGCGGCGCTGATATTGGATAAGTGGCCGAGGGGAAGCGGGGAAGGGAAGGATAGCTGGGGACAATGTCGACAAGGGCTGGGGAAGGTCGGGTGGAAGTGATCCGCTCGACAAGCCAGGTGGGGTTGGATCAGTGGGTGGCTGTGGAGGATTAGTGGGTGGTGATTCTAGGGGGCAAGGTGTAGTAATAGTGGGCAAAGGTGAATGAGCGGGCAAGATAATGGGAGGGGCCGAGAGTGAAGGGGAAGGGGATGAGGAGACAGAGGGTACAGAGGCAAAAGGGAAACAAGTCTCATCGAACAAGACATGACGACTAATATAGATTCGTCCTGTTGGAATGTGTAGGCAACGGTAACCCTTGTGGAGTTTGTTGTACCCTAAGAAAACACAGGGAACAGAACGGGGGGATAATTTGTTTGCTGTGAGTGGGCGAAGCCAAGGGTAGCAGAGACACCCAAAAACACGGAGATTAGCTATGTCGGGAGAGAGAAGGAATAGAAATTGAAAGGGTGAATCATGGTTTAGAAGGGGGGGTTTGAGTGTGATTGATGAGATAACACGCGGTGTCAAAGGCGAGGGGCCAGTATTGAAGAGGAACACTGGCATGATGCAGAAGAGCAAGACCATTATTGACTATATGGCGATGTTTACGTTCAGCACAGCCGTTTTGCTCAGGCGTATAAGGACAAGAGGACCGATGAGCAATTCCATTTTGAGAGAGATAAGCAGACAATGCTTGATATTCACCACCCCAATCAGATTGAAAAGACTTGATGGGAAGACCAAAATACTTTTCAACTAGTTGACGAAATTGAATGAAGACATTGAGGAGTTGAGATTTATAACTAACAAAATAAATCCACGAGAATTTGCTGTAATGATCATAGAAAAGAATGTAATAGGATTGCTCATCGTATGACAAATAAGGCGCGGGGCCCCATACATCACTACAAACGAGTTCAAGAGGAGCATTGGCATGAAAGGTGGATGGTGAAAAAGGAAGTTTATGAATTTTGCTAACAGCGCAACCATGACACAAAGAAGAAGATGAAGGTGTAAACTTTATTTGATGTTGATGAAGTAGATGTTTAACTGCCCGTTCATGAGCATGACCAAGACGAAGATGCCAAATGTCGAAGGAGGCGGCACAAGCAACAGGAGAGAGGCTGCAGGAAATATTAAGAGGAAGGGAATAGAGACCGTCCACCGCATAGCCTCGATGGAGTTCACGCCCCGTGCGTCGATCCTTGATGAGAAACAGAGAGTCAAAAAATTCAATGGAAATGAGATTAGAACGAGTAAGAGAACTGATCGAGAGAAGATTATATGGGGCATGACGCACATGAAGAATATTATCCAACGAAATGGAAGTATCGGATAAAGAAGTAATGGAAGAACCAAGACGAGAGATGGGAAGAGAGTTACCATTGCCAAAAATGACTTGATCGGTCCCATTATATTTAGAATGATGGGCAAGATTTTCTAAGTCCGACATGAGATGATGATTGGTGCCCGAATCAAGCAGCCATTGTGACGGGTTGAAGGGTTGGGCTGGGGAAGAGGAAAACATGGTGTGTGGGCCTGCAGGAGGGTGGGCCGAGGTGTAGACAGGATAAGGGGTAGTGTAGGGAACAGAATGGGTCGAAGAAGAAGGTTGGACTGGGCTTGGACAATAGGGCTTGATGTGGCCACGACCCCCACAATTGTGGCATATGAGACCACTGGGCCGAGGCCCAAGCAACCCACCAGGTGAAGGCGGCCTGTAAAAAGAAGAAGCAGCAGGTGGGTTAGTGTATAAACGAGCGCGTGAGGGTCCCCGGTCTCTTCCACGACCGCCGCGACCGCGGTAGCCACCAGCGTAGGAATAAAAAGCAGTCGGCGCCGGAGATTCGGATCGAGAAGCATAGGGTTGAATCTGAAGCTCCTCGCTCATGAGAAGCGAGTTAAGATTTTCAAAGCTTATGGGTTCCATACGAGCTTCGATGTGCCGCACAAATGGCCGATACTCCTCGCCCAAGCCGTCAAGAATCCAGCTAGTAAGATCGGCAGCGGGAACAGGGGAGCCAAGAGCGGCCAATTGATCAGCTTTAGCCTTCGCATCCTGAAGATAATCGTGAATAGAAGCGTTACCACGACGAATCTGCTGGAGCGCTTTGCTGAGATGCCGAATTTGAATATGAGATCCAGACGCGTAGATGGTGGCCAGCGCAGTCCAATCGTCGAAAGCGGTAGCTTTGTTGATGACGTTGGGTAAGACTACCTCAGAGAGGGAGAGGTTGATCCAGGTGAGTACGTACTGATCACGCACATACCATGGCCAATAAGCAGGATTGGATTGACCATTGAGGAATTGCGGTGGAGCAGCGAGAGAACCGTCGACATGACCCATCAATTGATGGCAATGCAAAAGAGGGGTGATCTGGGCATGCCATAACAAGTAGTTTGTTTGAGTGAGTTTAATAGTGAGCTGTGGATTGGCCGGCAGAGAGATGGAAAGAGCCGACATAGTAGTGGAGTCACCGGAGACAGAGGATGAAGAAGATGATTCGGTAGCCATTCTTGGCGTGAACAGAGAAGAAGAACTAGGCAAAAGAAAGAAGAGAGAATTGACTCGTTAGAGTTCTATAGGCTCTGATACCATGAAAACCCAAGACTTGGTGTTTCTATTATTCAATCAACATATTTATAATACAGGAGAGCAGAGTGTTGCGGCATACAGGGAGTGCAATAAGGAACTGCTCATAGTGGGCAACGTTCCTATTAACAACAACTAACAGAAATAGAGTAACTTCAGGAACAAGTTCCTCTTCACCTTCAACCCAGCCACCTCCCACTAAACACCCCCACCGACGACGAGCATGGCAAAATCGATGGCAACACTTCCCCTAACTTTGCCGCGAACTGAAGCTACTCCTTTGTTCCAACCTAGCCGGTGCGAAGTAGGCTGAAATCGACGGGCACACGTCCCCTCTCCTCGGCCTTCTCTATTCTAGCCTAGCTGATGACGAAGAAGTTTGAAATCGACTCAGAGGGTGAGTGAAAATGGATGATATATTCAATTGAGCTTTGTTGGTTGTATGTGCTATGAAAGCCGGAAACTTTGATTTTTTTTCCTGACAGACGAAGGGGAAGAACACGAGCGTTGCTGGATTTCCTCATCGCCGAGAAGGTTACCCTGTTGTATGAACAAATTATGTTTTGCGGGGATAGAGCGGTGGCGTGTCTGACACGAAGTCGACGAAGCAGATGGAGACAACGACGAAGAAATTGCAAAGAGAGAGGCAGGGATGGTAGTCCCCTTTTTAGTTCTTTTCTTTTCTTTTTGTGATGAATTGATCTTGCCAAAGTTTCCGGTGTGTTGGGCGGAGGAGGAAAGGTTAGAACATTTGTTGTTCTTCTGTCTAGTAGCGGTTTCCCTCTGGGAAGCCGCGGGTCTGCGGAAGTCCATGGCCCTCTACCCTACACAACATGTTGGCATCTTCCTCCGACGTTTCTTGGCAGCGGATGACGACCCTGGGAGAGTCGTGCGGATTGTGGCCCTTCTTTGGCGAATCTAGAACGCCCGTAATTGGGTCGTGTTCGAGGAGAAACATGTATTAATTTATGTACTGGTAGCCCATTATCAAACACAAGTCGCAAAGTGGATGGCGATTTCAGGATCGACGGATGGACAAGGGCATGCAAGGGACGAGGTTTGTGGACCCCTGGGGACATTAGATGTACCAGCAGTGCCTCCGGGCTTCATATGCTATTTCGACAGTGCGATTCGTGCGGAAGAGCAAACTGTAATTGGAATGGTGATTTGCGATGCGTCAGTGGTCGTTTTTAAAGTGAAAGGAGAATGGCTCCAGGGTATCTAGGATCCGAAAATTGTGGAATTGGTGGCGTTAAGGGAATCCATTAGGTGGTGTCTCGGAGCGGGGTTTTCATCGCTGCGTCTGGCGAGTGATGGAAAGGGGATCATCGATAAAGTCAGAGCAGGGATGGTAAATGATGCACTGGGCGGGGCAATCTTGCAAAAGGTTCAGTGGCTGCTTCGAGATAACTGACGATTCTCTATGCACTTTGTAGGCAGACAAAACAATAAGGTAGTCCATTTAGTGGCTAGAAAGGTCCTCTCTACTTGCATTGAGCAGTTTTGATTTTTGCGCTTAGCTCCATTTTGAGTTCTGAACGTTGTATCTTTGTTTTTCTTGATAATGCAAGTGATCTTTGGTTAATAAAAGATTAACTTAAAAATAAAAATTATAATAATTTATTTAATGATGTGGCAGCCAAATCGAAGCCACCTTAGCATTTGATGCTAAGTCATAGACGGAATAATGTTTGACTGTCAGTTTTAATGGTCAACAAAAATTTTGGGCCATATCTGTTCATTACTTTGAAAAGTTGGTAATAACTGTCTTATTGAAAAAGTCGGGCAAAAACTGTCACTTACTCCAAACTTTGGGCCAAACTAGGGTATTAACTCTTTTCGAAACACATACATTTATCTAGTGTATATATATGGGATATTAAGTATTAACTAATGACTAACCTTAATATTAATTAATATAATTAAATTAGTCACCATACTCATAATCAATTAAGCATATACTACAACTACAACCTATAATTTACGATTACTGCAAAATCTAGATGGAGGCCCCCTAATATTTGGCAACCATGTGCCGGTGAGTTTCCTAGTACACCCTCTTGGTCGATCCTGCATACCATATGGTATATAATCTTAAGTACATATCCAGCAGAACCATATGGTATGAACTCTGCAATGAAAGTCTCAATTTAAGACAAGGCATGTCCAATAGAAGGATTTACCAAAATAAGACATTACCTTCATAAACAATGCAGGTTTTTCATGAGCCTTTACATTCATAAGTCAATTTTAGGGATTTGTATGGGTCGGGTTGGGTGCGGATAGTGCATATCCGTTACCCTACTTAAAGTAGTTCGGGTTTTACCCATTCCCGCACCCGCATAAGAAATGGGTAGAAAATCAAAACCATGCCCATACATGTTCGGGTTTCGGGTATCCACGGTTATCCATGGATAATAATTTCCCTTTATAAATTCAACCAATATGTTAACATTCACACATATTCTCACATTACATAAGAGGAAAAGTACGGCAATAATTCACTAGAATGAAGAAAATTACTTAAAACAACACAATTTCATGAAAATATTATATTTATATGCTAAATATAAAATATGTTAGAGAAAAATAATGATTATTTTTATACAAAATACTAATGCATGTGTATAATCGGGCAGGTTCGGGTTGGATAGTGAAAAAACCATGTCCACCCATTACCCGCATTATTCGGGTTTGGGTTTTACTCGTACCAAAAAAAAAAGTCCTCGATTAGGTCGGATTCGGGTGAATATCCACGATTACGGATATTTTTGTCATCCCTAATCAATTTTACTCTTTGTGAGCCTCTAATCACATACCTTAGTGTAGTGTCTATTTGAGTTGTTTGTCTTATGGGTTGAGGTGCCATTTTCATATGGATTGGACCTTAGGACCTTTTTTTTACCCGAATGGTGATGCAAATCGCTCGACCTGCTTAATACGTACATTATCAATTTAATATTTTACATGGTCCCGTAGTTCTCTTTTGTAACAATGCTAGAATGTTTTTATAATGACGAGCAAGTAGCAATATAAAATCTTACAATGTACTGTTATAATATTTTAGTTATTATCTAATCTAACCAATCCTATACGGAGGTTCTCCTCTAGAACCCCCATTAAATCAAATTTTCCTAGCTCCTGCGCAGAGCACGAAGGGACATTTGGGTCAAAAATCTAACCAATCCTATATGGAGGTTCTCCTCCAGAACCCCATTAAATCAAATTTTCCTACCTCCTGCGCAGAGCACGGAGGGACATTTATCAATTCACATGGCCCCATAAAGCAAATATGGAAGGACCGTATTGTGGGGTTTTACATGGGCCAGGTAGTGATAAAAAAAATAATTTTTATATGGGCAACATCTAGACTACTTATAATCTATCTATCTACTATACTTATAATACGCCGAAGGGGAAAACAGCTTCCACATTTCAAATTTCCCATGACCATTTTATAGAAAAGCAAAGATCATAACCAATCACACTAAGTAGATTTGTTATATCTTTTTAAATTAAAAACATATAATAGCAGGGAGGAAAAAACTCTTCCCCCATTTCAAATTCCCTGCTCTAGGAGCGTTTGCAGGAAGGGTAGAATAGGGAGTGTCAATTTTTTTCTCTTTCCTCTGTGGAACGGGCCAACTTACAGTAGACATGCGGATTTAAACGGGTCCAAGAGTGTTAATTTTTTCTTTAAGCCCTTTTATTTCTCCGTGGTGATAAAATATATATGAAAAGGCAAAAATAATACTCCTTCTTATTGTTAAAATAAAAAATTTAACAATAAACTAATGAATGGTATCTAATGGCTAACCGCTAACCATAAAATAAAAGAGTTGAATGGGTCTGACCTACACGGGATTTGGCCATTAAGTAAAACAAATGAACATCATTGGTTTGCCATTCTAAAACAAGCTATTTTCTCTGGCATAATATATATTATGCTATTATTTTATATCTTAGTGGCTAAAATATAATGTATTTTAAAGTTATTCAATGGTTGAACCTCGACCAACCCAGTTAGTCTAATTTTTATAATTTCAAATATATATTATATAATTATTTGATATCATAATGATCAAATTATAGTGTGTTTTATAGGGAATCGTACGATATTTGTTAGTAAAAAACTAAACAGAAATACCTATTTGGTTATTTTAAACATTAAAACGATCCTAAACATTTTCAGTTCGTTTTGAATTTCTATGGTTTTATTCCCGAATAAGTGATGTGCAAATGGCGAATTGCAGTCATCTCTTTTCTTTCACTATTTTTTATTTTCAAATAGAAAGTTTAAAATTAAAGAATAATTAGGATTTGGCATGGGTCGGTCAAACAGGCTGAATTTCAAGTTTTGGCCCGTTTGTTTTATGCATTGCAAATTTATTAGCATGTTGATGGAAATGGCTTGGAAAAAAGACATATAAGTTGTACCTTTGCAGAAATGTCCTCAAATGTTTGAATGCTTTGCGAATCAGGTTCCGTGACTTTTGTGAAAGTGTATGTGCTTGACGATTGCTCGATGTTGTAACTACTTAATTTGACAGTATATCTTTTGATTTTCCCTATGAGTTGTGATACCAGTTCTGATGGTTGCAGCATGTTGTCGTTGTTGGCCTGTAAAAGTTGTTCCGTCGTGATGCTAAATACTTTTCTTTCTTTTTTAACAAATTGTGTAGTAGTGCTATGAAACAGACCACCCATGAACGCTACGCTTATTATGGTCTGTTCTTACTTCCGGTGGTGAGAAATTGTGAATTGAGAATCATATTCGCCTACCGCACTGTGTCTGGCTGGTGGCTGCTTACTATGCTCTCTAGAGTTATGAAACAGACTACCCATGAACGTTACCCTTAAGAGTCCATAACTTTGCGAAAAACCAAATTTAGGCAATCAAAGGTGGTGGATGTGTGATGATTTTTTATGGCTTAATTGTTTGTGGATTGGATATCATATTTGTATGATTAGAAGGGATGTTTGCTTAATAGAATAATCCATTTTAATTCATGTTTATTTTTAACATGAACTTTAGTAACTCAAACCTTCGAGACACATATCACCTACTGCATTGTATCATTTTGCCTGGGTGCTTGCTGTGTTGTCAAACTTCTTTGCTGCTGCTGCATTTACACTAACAGGGGAGTTAAGAACCCATGAATGTTTCCGTTTGACACAAACAGGAGGACTTGCTTCTAAATCGTGCACTAAAGATGATTGGAGGAAACATCTCTTTTGCAGTTGATATACTGGAGACCAGAACAAAAGCAACGTATAACATCAAAACCAACCATCTGAACTATTAGCATTGTTGCTTTACTCTTTCTTCGTGGTTGAGTCTCCTTCAAAAAATTTAGTTTGATTTTAGAAAATTTTGCTTCTTCAGTCCTGTCATGCCACCAACGCGTTCAGTAGATGGAGATGGCAGAGGCGAAGGCTATTTTTGTGTTGTTGTTGCTGGTTTAGGGATCGGTTTGTGAAGAAGAGGGAGAAGAGAGGGGGAAAGGGAAATGCATGAGAGGGGATAACTCTTTTCTCCGACAAAAATGGAGTGAAGAAAGGAATTATGATCAGTAAGGATATGGTTATCTTACATAACAGTCTCTATTCTGTTTGAATTGAGCTTGGGAGGCAGTGATAAGGACGAGCTGCAACCAATTCATAGTGAGAAGAGAGCTATGAACTGTGATCATGTCTTATTTCAAGTTAGAAGGTAGTTTCAGTATAAGGATTATTTAATTTGACAAGTTGTTTCGTCCATGATTCTTGGTAGTTTCAGTGCCACTCTAGCCATTGTTTAGTCTGTAATTTTTTAGAATTGATGTGCGAGTAATGACTTTCACTTAGCTTCAACTATTATGTGTGTATTTATTGGCATGTGATAGAATTCTCTTTTCCTTTTCTTTGAATTCAGTTTCATACTCTAATTGTATCATTTGTACATAGGCAAATCATGCTCGAGATAACAACTCGCTGATATGGCTGGTGCAAGGAATAAAGCCATCATTAGAATTCAGACTGACAACGGGGAGGGATATCCAGGACTAATTCAATGATGATTGTTGATGGTATAATAAAAACTGCAGTCTGCATCAGCACCAATTTCTAGGCCTAAGTAAAGTTATTCAACCCAGAACTCTGCTTAGCGCTAAAAATTGCCCTCACCCAACCTTGATCCTGTTTGACCCACTTCTGAAGAGTCAAGATATATGACTAATGCTCTTCGTTCGTATTTTCTTATTGACTCTTTCTGACCCTTTAGGTTGGGGAGGGTCGGGAAGAATAGGATTAGTGGGTCGATCCTAATCAAGTGGAATTCCAATCCCTTCACTCTCACTTGATTTCTCTCCCATTCCACAAGTGGGTAACACACAGTAATCCGGCCAACGGGCCGGGTAATAAGCTTGTTATTATTATTGACGTTTCATCTTGGTGTTGAATAATTTTGATTATCATAAAGTAAAAAGAGAAGTGAAAATGTCAAAAATTAAAAAGGCCAACAATGTTATGATATTTGAACACCTAAGTTACTTTCCCATTCCTAGATCCTTTTACCATAAACATCATTGTATTAATTAAAACAAATTATTGTCATTAAAATGCATTTACGGAGAGGAAGAGATTATTTGAAATCAGAAGGTGGTAGCAACAAGTTCATTTTACTTATTTCTTTTCCATTCACATTACAAGTACTATAATTATTCGCAGCAACAACACATTGTCTACAATGACATTTTGCATGTTTAACTCTTGTTATCTTTATGCCTTGCACTGCACTACTATTACAGTGGAGGAGAAGGATGTCCATAACCCTGAGAAGGTGTTGGCGGTGGTTGATGAGCGGAGTATGGTGGAGGTTCGATGGAGAGAGGACTTGGCGGTGGATTATAGATGACAGGAGGAGGTTGTCCACTCTGAGATGGTGGTGTTTGGATCGGAGGGCTTAACGAAGGTGATGGTGGATAGCCATGTGTTGGTGACGGTGGGTGCTGAGTTGGAGGCGATGGAGAAGGATAGTGATGAGTTGGTGGCGTCTGAGTTGGCGGTGGATATGCATGAATAGGTGAAGGTGGATGATAAATTGTAGGTGGTGTCGGGTAAGCATGAGTTGGTGGTGTGAGTTGAGTAGGAGGCGGCGAAGCATGAGTTGGTGGTGGATGTGCATGAACAGGTGGTGATTGTCCGCCGCTAGGAGTTGGTGGGTTATAACCATGAGATGGCGGTGTTTGGATAGAAGGGGGTTGTGTGTAACCATGAGATGGTGGTGGTGAGATTTGAGTAGGAGGGGATGGGGATGGGGATGGATAACCTTGAGGTGGTGGTGTTTGGATTGAAGTAGGTGGTGGAGAGGGATAAGCATGAGTTGGTGAAGGCGGATGATATATAACAGGTGGAGATTGTCCACCATAAGACGACGGAGGTGTTTGGATTGGAGGACTTATAGAAGGAGGTGGTGAATAAGCATGTGATGGAGGTGATGGGTGTTGAGTCGGAGGTGGTGAATAACCATGAGTTGGAGGCGGATATGCATGTGTTGGTGGAGGCGGGTGATAAATTATAGGAGGTGGTGGTGTTTGTATCGGAGGGGTTAAGAAAGGTGGTGATGGATAACCATGAGTTGGTGGTGTTTGACTTGGAGGTGGAAGTGCATGACTAGGTGAAGGAGGATGAGAGATTACAGGAGGACTGTAGCCATGAGATGGCGGTGTTTGGATTGGAGGTGGTGAATGTTGAGGAGGAAATGGTGGAGAGGGATAACCGTGAGTTGGTGGTGTTTGGATCGAAGGTGGAATTTGAGAAGGAGGTGTTAACATTGGAGATGGATACCCTTGAGTTGGAGGTGCACTTACTGCTGGTGGCTGCAGGTATCCTCCATCTTGACTAGCTTTTCGAACTAAAACTTGTGATCGTTGAAGTTCAAGTTTCCTAAGGAGAGAATAAGATGAGGCAGTAACAATTTTGCTTTCTAAGGCAATCAACCATAGCAACAAAATAAGGATGCAGTTTGCACGAAGCTGCATTTTCATCATCTTAAGCCATACAAATCTTTTTATCTCTTTTCACTACAAAGGCAACTTTATTTTGTGTGTAGAAGACCACACTTCACTGTCGTGTTTTTATAGAAAGCATATATGAGATGGAAGGTTGTCCAGATCTCCGCATTTTTTTAGCTGTGCTGGCCAAACCACACTAAAACAAGGAAACAAATCACCTTACCTTCTTCCACGTTTGCTTGGCCAAACTGCCAAATGTATGTCTTCCACCATACCTAGCTACTCCCCTGAGCAGCTCAACGCCCAATTTGCTAACACGACAAAATATGTAATTAAACCCATTGTCTAAAGTCAAACTAGTTAGGTTTCCTTTTCAGAAGATTTACTTCTTTTGTAACGCTTTCATGGATTAATGGTGAAAAGAATTGCTCTTTTTCCTAGTTTTCTATTTTTTTCCAAAAGTATTTCTAAAATAACAGTATTTAAAATGAACTTGCTATTATATTTCAATACAATATGGATTTTTTTTTCTATATAATTGGTGAGTGCAAACCAAGGATACCAAGAGTAAATTTGTAAATTAATTGATTCTCAAAAAGTAATCAAATAGCGGGCGAAATTTCCACCTTTCAACTCAAATCAAGAAAGTTTTAGGAAATGCTCCTAAAATTTATAGCTATGAAGATAATAATGTTCCTAAAATTCCCTGAACAAGTTGATGTCTAAACATTCTTGCAAATGAAATAACAATAATTTATAGCTTGAAAAAAAAACGGCAAAAGAGAATGTATTTGCACAAGCATTGCAACTTCTTGTGAGAAAATTAGTCAAACAAAAGGAAAAGAAGGACAAAGTACATTTTATTTCACTCAATATTTTTGTTTTCTTTTTAAGATGATAAATACGATATTAAACTAGGCTGCTCTTTAGAAGGCATTCCCATATATCATATCATAGTATTTTATGCTGAAAAGAGGTACATAAATGATGAATACATTTACACATTGTTGCAACTTACCAATGAAAAAATTAGTAAATCAAAATGAAAAGAGGACACATCTCAAGCCTCTGTCACGTTAAAGCAAACAATTGTTTAACAACTGGTAATAAGTTCTTGTTACTATTTTAATTCTCTCAATCATTTGATTTTAAAGATGATAAAATTCGGTAAACTCTGAACATATTTGGAAGAACATTTCTTACATATGAGATCACAATAATTTACTGCTCAAAAGAGGTTTAAAAAGATATTTATTTACATAGCCCTTGTAACATCTAGTGAGAAAACTAAACAAAAAAGGACAGCAAACTTTGTCGTAAACAAGTAGCTCCATAATGAGAAGGAAGTTTGAAAGCTTCACCTTCATAAGATAATGACTACAATAAAGTATTTCTAATTAAGGGAGCTGGAGATTTATATGAAAGGCTAGAGAAGTTGGAGCATTGGGCCTGCTAGCAATAACCATGATGAAGGAAGGAGCTTCTTCTGTTGGGACCATACGAGATCAAGTCAGACTGTAAAAGCCCTTGTGACCAATTTGAAAATCCATCCTAGAAGAAGCTGTAGAACAAGGCGACTTTAGAACCTGGAAGTATGTACGACGAGAAGCAAATGTGGTGGCTCACAAACTTGCTCACTTTCCTCTTTATGTTAATGAATGTATATATGAGGTGTATAGATAGTAACCTGATGAGATATTGGAGCATATAGATTTGACATAAGCAATATTGGAGGCAATGCATATTTCAAATAATTAAATTCTTTTTCTTTTTTTTTAAGATGATAAATAAGCGATTAAACTAGCTAGGCTACTGTTTAGAAGAAATTCTCATATATCAAATCATAGTAATTTATTGCTTAAAAGAGGTATATAAAATATTATATTTACACGATTATTGCAACTTACCAGTGATAAATCTCGTAAAATAGAACGAGAAGAAGTCAAATTTGAAATCTCTTTCAACTTAAAGCAAACAAATGTTTTACAACATGTAATAAGTTCTTGTTACTTTTTTTAATTCTCTCAATCATTTCCTTTTGAGATGATAGACTTGGTAAATTCTTAACATATCCTGGTATTTAGAAGAAATTTTTACAAATGAGATCACCATAATTACTGCTTGAATGAGATTTATTTACATAGCCCTTGTAACATCTAGTTAGAAAATTAAACAAAAAAGGAGAAAAATTATGTATAACTCCGATCATGTTACGTATGCCATCATGCATGCAATGTATATGTATAACTCCGATCCATCATGCACGAATAGTTAGTTCTAATTTAGTAGATGACGAATATTTTAGATATATGAGCTAGCTACTACAAGAAACTGATGAATTGGACCAGTTTATGCTAAAATATACATATACCATTATAAAGTCAAAAAGATAAATATGATCACGTACGTCAAGAAACTTACATTAGTGATCGATCATAAGCAGAAATTAATCAAGTGAGTAACTATATCTTGATCTTCACAATTTTTTGTCAGCTGGCTTAAGTATTTGAAAAGAACACATCAAAGTTTCGTCAACGCTCATCATAGCGCCAGAGTTATCAAACTCGCCGCAATAATTTGGAGCAGAAAAGATGGTCACCAGTTGTCTATCTGCAAAGAACTCATATCCGTCCTCCACAACCTGAAATCGGGCATGAATTGGTTTACATAATTAAGAGAAATATGTAATTCATTCCATATAAAGCAAAAGCAATTTTGTGAGAGATCGAAAGAAGAAAGCAAATTAAAATTTACTTATAACAACCAACCTGATGAGCACGACAAATTAGGTCCATATCATTTTTCATTAAAAATTCTGAAACCTTATCTGCACCAAAGGTGTAGGAGACACCACGATCATTCATCCCCCATCCTTTAACATCCTTTCCGGGATCAGACCAGAGCAGATCACATAGCAAACCCGAATCAGGAACATCAGCTGGACGAGTTATGTTCCTTATTTGGTCTAAGTTTGTCAAGTCAGGAGAGAGACCTCCGTGCATACACAAGATCTTGTCATCTACGAGAGCAGCAACAGGAAGACAGTTAAAAGAATCTGTAAAAGTTTTCCACAGCCTCACATTGAACCGACGCTTGCATTCATCATAAAACCCATATATACGGTTAATAGATGCAGATTCATGGTTTCCTCGTAGAAGAAAGAAGTTCTCAGGGTACTTGATTTTGTAGGCAAGCAAAAGACATATTGTCTCCAGACATTGCTTCCCGCGATCAACATAATCCCCCATGAATAGATAATTGGAATGAGGAGGGTAGCCACCATACTCAAATAGCCTCAAAAGATCAGAATATTGCCCGTGAATATCACCTGTAGGATATATAACAAATTAAAGATAGAGGGAGGGGGGTCACATAGAATATATAGAAGCAATAACGTACGTACACACGAACGAATCTAGAATGAATGAATAAAATCCACTAACATACAACATGCATCAACAACTTCAACATATACATTTAGACATAGTAATGAGAGTCATGCATGTGTACTTATTCGATCTTAGAAGCCTCTCCACACTGTAATTATGGGACTAACAATTTTAGCCTAAACACACAATACAATACTTTGACCTGTCCTAGCTATGTGAAGGAATGATGCAGGTAGCAGCTAACGATGAAGAGCTTCAATGACAGAGTCGTCTGAGGCTTCCTTTCACCACAGACGACGAAGAAGAAGATGTTGTCGTTCCACGACGTCGTTCTAGGCTAAGCAGTAAACTCCGCAAGCCAGAACGGTGTCGCATAGTAGTTCGGTTAATAAACTTTTATTAGCCAAGTGCCACGTTGTTAGTGGATAGCTTTGTTACCGTTGGTAGATAGTAGAATAACTTTACTCTCTTGTTCTGTAGTGGTAATTCTGATAGTGTCCTGATGTATATAAGCAGATCAGAAAATGGAATGTAGCCTCTTGGCAAATTCCCCCAACGTTGCCATCTTCCTTTCCTTTTATTGCGAAATACCCTAATTTTGTGCTAGAGTTTCAGGCTTTCTCATGGTATCAGAGCCTGGTTACGGCTACTGATCCTTCTTCTTCTTCTACTCTTTTTCATTTCTGAAACGATTTCTCTGTTCCCGTAATGGATGACCTAACTTCTCCGAATCCTGGGTCGTCTACCACCAATGCTTCTACCACGACCCAGACAGCTCGTTATGAAGATCCATATTCCAATCCTCTATACTTAGCTGCCAGCGACAATTCCTTCCTTCCCGTCATCGGCTTCAAGTTGAACGATGACAACTATCTTCTCTGGAGCGAGTAAATAGAGGTTTCCCTGAGGACCAAGAACAAATGGGGTTTCATCGACGGCTCAGTTCAGGTACCCAATGAAACAGATCCTTCTCGTAGTACTTGGATAGATGCAATGTGTACCATTCTGTGTTGGATTCGTAATTCGGTTTCTGAAGATATTGTTCCGAGTCTGAGGAACATCAGATCTGTTGCTGATGCTTGGGGTTATCTGAAATCCAAGTTTAGTCAAGGCGATTCTGTTAGAATTGCTAACCTACAGGAGAGGGTTGATCTTGCTAAACAGGGAAATCGAACAGTGAGACAATATCATACTGATTTAAAACTTTTATGGGATGAACAGCAGCATTATGAGCCCATTCATGTGTGTGATTGTCCTTCTAAGACTTATGAAACAGTCATGAAGTATCAGGACAGGGGGAGAGTCATTCGTTTTCTGCTAGGTTTGAATGAGAATTATCAGCAGGTCAAGACACAAATGCTCATGCTTGACCCTCTACCAGATATGGATACTGTTTATAGAGCAGTTGTTCAACTTGAGAGGAAAATGAACACTGGCAAGACCAAGGCATCAGTTGACTCTATAGATCTTGCCGCCTCATTTGGTCATTCTGGTCAGAGGAGGGAGACTGGGAGAGATGGAAAGAAATCTCAACCTCAAGAGCTCTTTTGCCAGTACTGCAAGAAAGATAACCATGTGATTGAAGACTACTTCAAGCTAAAGAACAAAAGGAAAAATGAAGGAGGTGGAAGGATTTTTGCAGGTTCTATTGACACCAATGGAACTGATGCAGTGCTTCCAGCAGGAGGAGGTAGCTCTCAAAGTCC